TACTAAAGGAGCAGGGCTCGATTTAAGTTAACTTGATTTAACCATGGACCCTAAATAAAAATTAGGTGTCCATGATTTATCTTGCACCAGGTGCATGTTGACATGAAAGAGCAAGTTGCAGCAAACAAAACCAGGATGACTTTGGTCATGTAAATTTATCAAGTGGAACATAGGCACATCTGCTGCCAGTGTCACATAAATTAATGACCCATTGCTGTAAAACGTAAAAGAAACGTGCACATAATCTTGAAGTACCCACAGTTTGCTGACGTCACAACAAAAAGCATGACATATTACATGTGACACTGCAATTAGTGATGTTGTATGGTAAATAAATTTTAAAGGTATTGAGTGTGTACACAGATTGATTTTGTGTAGACAAGTTAAGGCTAGTACACACAAATTTTCATGCACTTGGCTCTTGTAGATATAAATATTAGGTTGCAGTTTTCAATAATAGGTTGAGTTTGTGCATTTTTTATGTAGATAAATTGAGCCCTTGGTATATAACATTTTTAGCAAGAAACCGATTCAGACTGATAGGAGTGAGTGAGTGAGTATGGTTTTACGCCGCTTTTAGCAATATTCCAGCAATATCACGGCGGGGGACACCAGAAATGGGCTTCACACATTGTACCCACGTCGGGAATCGAACCCGGGTCTTCGGCGTGACGAGCGAACGCTTTAACCACTAGGCTACCCGACCGCCCCCAGACTGATAGGAACCAAAGTCCCAAAGACCATATAGAATCCAAAGAAAGCGAAAGTTTCAAAAGAAATGACTGCTTAAGATTGTTTCTTTCTGAAGAAATTAGTTTTTGTTTTGTCACGTTGTTTCTTCTGCACTTGCAAGTCCATGATTTGGCACAAAGATCTAGTCAAGTACTGCACATGACCATGCTGACTGATGGACCTTAACCATACTATTTGTACCACAAGAACACAGTGTTAGGGAATTACCATTTGATATTCTGGTAGGGGCCTGGGATTTTGTTTCTAGATTAGATATTTTTCCAGCTACAGCTTCAAAACCAAATATATGTGTTACTTTAAACTATGAGAATGAATTCTTTTTAAGAAGAACACCTTGAAACAGTGTAGTTTGCGTGGCAGACAATTACTTCTTCTTCTTTTTCAACAATCTGAAGCATAATTATTTTTTTGAAGAACTTTCAGTTTATTTTATGATGATATCGAATGGCCGGTCTTCATCATGTTCATGCTTTCGTGTTGATTGAAAATAATTTAAAATTGACCTGAATCAGTTAATCAGCATGTACATTGAGGAAATCTGAAATGTTCTTGAAATACTTGCAGCCTAAAAATATATGATGTTCACAATATTGTTTGTTTATTTGTTGTGTAACGCTGCACACGGCAATATTCCAGCTATATGACAGCGGTCTGTAAATAATCAACTCTGGACCAGATAATCCAGTGATTGACATCATGAGCGTCGAGCCATGCAATTGGGATACGATGACATGCATCAACAAAGTCAATGAGCCTGACCTCCTGATCCCATTAATCACCTCTTACGACAAGCATAGTCGCCTGTTGTGGCAAGCATGGGTTGCTGAAGACCTATTCTACCCTGGATCTTCACGGGTCGATGCTCACAATAATGCAAGTAGTGTTCATTGCAGTAGGATGAAATTATATATCACCATATACCTACCAAGAAGGTCATTAGGGCTGGGACGAGTCCAAATTTACTACCCGGGTACCCACCCCCCTACTACCCGACCCTACCTGGGTACCCACTGTAGGTCTCATGAGATAGTTAAAACATGTCCGATTGGGAATAGTTTGACCGTACTCCTGTCAAAATAAATTTAGATACACGTATAATCCGATCTGGTCATGCATACACTGACGTTGACTGATGTTTTATCATATGCAAACATATAAAGTCAGAATGTATGTGTGCAAAGTCAGAAAGAAATGAGAACATTTATCACTTATAGTGTAACCATAGAGTTCAGGATAATTTTTGCCATTAAACAATATAATCACGTGACTAGCCACGCGTCCGGGTAGTCCTGTGGGTACCCGGGTGCCAACTCAGTACCCACCCGACCCGGGTACCCGAGTTACCCATCCCAGCCCTAAAGGTCATGCTCAGGGTACTTCTGCTTCTTTGTGTTTGTATGACATGCTTGTAAGAGCTTGTACCAATGTTTTCAACTGGAAATAATAAAGCTTGTAATTGGCTATAAATGAATTGAGGGTCAAGGTCATAAAACCAGAAGCGCATAAAACTTTCTCATTAAGGTAGCTAGAGGTTTTGAAATTTTGTTGTAAAGTTGTCTTGCATTGGATAAACTACAAGCATAGGGGCTTCCTGTTATAAGGTTGTCTTGCATTGGTCATATGTTTTCCCAAACCAGAAGTGATGTTGTGGAACAGGAACTGCTTATTTTCTGGTAGCTAGAGCATGTAGGGGCACAGGACAAAGTTGTCTTGCATTTGACAACATCAGGGATCAAAGATGCATATAGATAGATATTGGCGGTCATCTGTCACTGTTCTTGGTGGGAATGTTTTGACGAAAATGTGCTTGCTATCTGGGTGGGAAAATGACAGATAAGGCAATTATATTTTTTAACTTTTTTGACTGATAAGGCAATTATATGTTTGAACTTTTTGGACAGATAAGGCAATTATATATTTGAACCTTTTTGACAGATAAGGCAACTATATATTTGAACCTTTTTGACAGATAAGGCAAGTATATGTTTGAACTTTTTTTTACCAGATAAGGCAATTATATGTTTGAACTTTTATTTAGGGACTGGTCATTTGTTATGGGTATGGGAGTCATGATTTCATTTTACATGGTTTTGGGGCCATGAAAAAAGTTACATAAAATGGAACGTGTGAGTTGGTGGGGTTGAGGAAAATATGATGCAGTCTTAAAACCAATCTCACCTCCCACCCCTTTTAATATATGAACAGTACCTAACTGGAATATTGTTCATTCAAAATGCAGCATGCATGAATAATTAGTATTTATAGCCCTTCCAACAGTACAATGGGGGTATATGTCCAATACAAAGCTATGGACTACTTTTGAATATTTCATGTTTCTAGCCAGCCAAACAGGTATTCAATGTCCCCAAAAAGGTGAATGTATTCACCCAGAAATTATGCCCCATCGTTTGTTTAGGCAGAAAAATAAACATGGTTTGAAATATTACCTACCATGCTTAGTGAGTATGTCAAGTTTGTATGATCTTGTTGGTAGGGCTGGAACGATACACCAACTGTGCGATCTGATACGTATCACGATACCTTGCTCACGATGGGTGAAAATATGTACCTTTTCACTTCTCATTTTCACTTGTAATTTGTGTTTAGCATGTTTAGTGTAACATTTATTAAAGAATACATTTAAGGTTAGAATCGATACTTTTTACTTAATGTGCAATTGTGATCGATACGGTGTATTGTTCCAATACTACTTGTGGGTATGTTGATTAAACCACTCAGTGTCTGAAGTAGTTTGTACTTGTTGGTTAACAAGAAAGGTGGGCTGGTGAGTGAGAGAGTGAGTTGGGTTTATGATGCTTTGAACAGTATTCCAGTTATATCAGTGTGGTTCAGCTTAATGTGGGAGGAAAGCTCAAATTTATGCAGTTCTCAGACATTTACCACTTTGGTGAAACCTATAAGCCTGTTTATGGTACTGACAAATCTAGAAACATGTTCAGCGCGAACTGGAATTCAAACCCACGATCATAAGTTTCAGGCAAGCCCAAGGGACGCAACTCTGCAAGCAAATTGCGGCGCGTTAGACAACAGGGCCACTCATGCCCCCAAGGGCTTGTAACTCAACAATGTAACAGGCCCCGTCTTGAAAGTTGCAGGCCTGCATTTGTACATTCGGTATATACTAGAGTAGGTAAAGAAACTGCCTCTTTGATTAGTGAAGGTAGGTGAGTTGGGAATTCCAGGATTAGATCTTGTCATTCATGCCCTGCGGGTGGATGGTTTTCAGATCAAATATCCATTTGAGTTCAATGGATCGGCATGTAGCCGTGCTCTGGACTGATTCAGGGTCTGTTTTAAGCTGTTGTATGATTTGATAATATAGGTCTCTGGTTGAGTGTCCTACAGAGTTGAAGTGTTTTGCGACAGGTTTGTCCCTTTGGTGGTTGATATCCGCAAAGTGTTCTTTGAGTCTAATACAGAAGTGTCGTTTGGTTTCACCTATGTATTGTTTACCACATTTGGTGCAACTTAGCAGGTAGATTATGTTTCTGCTTTTGCAAGTGAAATGCAAATGACATTTATATTGTTTGCCTGTAGTGTGGCTGCTGAAGGTGTTGGCCTACTTCATATTTACGCAGATTTTACATAGTTGACTCTAATGAGAGCACCTACAGCTCGAAACTAGTAACTAAGATTGCTCTTGGGTTTTAGCCCAAAACCTTTATGCTTCTATGATTAGTTTGATTCCTGAAATGAACCTTTCCTATGCACGCTTTAAAAGTTCGTAAGCTCTGAATCTGATAACCAGGAAATGTTAACACAACTCTGAAAGAAATCCAGTCGCAATTTGCGTTATGGCATATGTGTTTTATCAGTACAGTAAATCTACTTGGCCTCCCAAAGTAAATACAGTAATAAGTGCAGGTAGAAACATATTTCACCTATCACCATGATCACGTTAGAAATGTTACCAGCCATGGGACACGGGCAGGCAGCTATTTCAGACACTGAATCCACATGATATTTAATAGTCCCAAGTCAGCATGCTTTTCTGTTAGGAATTGCTTGGCCATTGTTAACATTGTTACCATTGTTGTCATTGTTGTTATTGTTATCATGGTTAAATTGTTACTAATGTTAGCAAGTGGTGTGTGATTCCTCATATAGTGATGATTATGTAAGATGAGGAGATCGGGAAAGGATCTTCTTCTTTTGACTCTTGTAATATTTCAAGCTGCCATAAAACTGAGGAGGTTAGATATATGTTACTTTTTGTTCGTTTACAGGAAAGAATGTGACGACACTCAAAGACTTAGACTAACAGAGTGAAATTAAACACCGGCGCCATGGGTTTCGGTAATCAGCTCCTTCTGCTATTGTGGAAGAATTTTACTCTAAGAAAACGACAGCCGGTGAGTTGGAATGACCTGTATATGTAAAGAATTGTCTCCTAGATCATAGGAGTCTCTGGGATATAACAATCAAATTGGCTCCAATAATTTCTTGCATTCATTATCTAGAATGTATTTAGTGGTATTTACTTGTTATTTTCATCAAATAATAATCAGGATTATAATGTGTAATTATTTTGAAATATTTTTTTTATTTTTAACAATTTGTAGGTTGCTCTTTTAAGAGAATAATATTGAACTTTATATGAAGCATAACTACTTTGTTGGTATATTTACACAGAATAGTGTTCATATTTCTTATTATATAACTGGGTATACATACATACATACATACATACATACATACATACATACATACATACATACATACATACATACATACATACATACATACATACAGTCTTATTAAGGTATGTAAGTAATTGCTTTGACCATTTTTTCCCACACTTTGCAATACAGTTGTTCTTTGTGGCTATAAGATGTTGCAATATCTTTGATTGCTCTAAAGAACATCAAAGTTAATATAGTACTAGAGATATAGATATATTGTTTATTGGATAAATTCCTATTATTCAAGAAGTTGTATCCAGTATATTATTGCAAATTCAATGAAAACGATGTTGCAGATATTCTTCAATTTATTTAACTCCAGAATCTTTTGCACCAATTTTTCTTTATCTCACTGTAGATTTATGTACTGAAATGCGATTCACATGTCATAAAATTATTTCTTCAGAAGTCAAGTTAGCTACCGAGGATTGTGGCTATATTTTTCAAGGGTTTTGTTTGTTTTCTATCCCCTGACTCATTGAATTTTCAAATTTCCTTAAAACTCTTTCCTTGATATAATTCCTATTTTTATTTTTTTTTTCTCTCTTAAACTTGTTAAGTATGGTTGATATTATACATTTCAAGGACATTGTAGGAAATGAAAAGGCTTAAGCGATTGTACCTTGGGCCTCGTTTCATAGGCCGATCATAGCACTACTACTGTCACAAGTCTGTGTTAAAGTTTAGCGGTTTATGGTAGTTGTAGCACTATGATCGCATTCACGTATGCATATCATATTGTGTGAAAAGATTGGGACATATATTACAGGAGACAAGGTGCTATGTATCATATTGTGAGATAAGATTGAAACAGCTATCCTATGTGACGAGTTGCTATGTATCATATTGTGAGATAAGATTGAAACAGCTATCCTATGTGACGAGTTGCTATGTATCATATTGTGAGATAAGATTGAAACAGCTATCCTATGTGACAAGTTGCTATGTATCATATTGTGAGATAAGATTGAAACAGCTATCCTATGTGACGAGTTGCAATGTATCATATTGTGAGATAAGATTGAAACAGCTATCCTATGTGACTAGTTGCTATGTATCATATTGTAAAATAAGATTGGACCAGGTGTCAAATGTTACGAGTTGCTATATATCATACATCTTCCCGAGTCAAGAGTTTTAAATGACTTTAAAAGTCCAGTTTCCACCCTTGCCGAACTAGCCTGGAATTCCTGGGCTCGATCCTAGCGCCACCAGTGGCTATCACGAGTTATGTCCCTTCAATACCTCTCCTATGGACCAATCAGATTCCACCTCTCATACCACATGCGTTTGCTTCAAACAAAATGGCTGCGCCCAGTTAAGACGATCTGATCGATTATCTATATCTATATTGTTATAAAACAGGTCTTATACAGCGAATTGCATCAAATCACGTGAGCACCTTGATTAAAAACATGAACAGATTTGGAAAATGTCTGTTGGCGCCGAGTTGGCGGTGCAAATCCTGCAATCGACCGAAATCTGCATGACAGTTTACGAACAGGATTTCAATTTCGTAGCACGATTTTGATTGGACTATGCATAGACTTGTTAGTCCAGCCAAAATCTTAACTCGATAATACCAGCCTAGTTCGGCAAGGGTGGAAAATGGACTTATATAGTCAGTTAACTCCCTTGCCTCGGGAAGATGTATATCATATTGCTTGATAAGACTGGAACAGGTATCATATGTGACGAGTTGCTATACATGTATCGTGTCATGATACAAGTATCCTGCGATGTATGGTGTTGTGGGATGTGTGTAATGCTATGATGGATGTGTCTGTTCCATGGGCAGTTGCGTGTTGTGATCGAGCTGGTGTGGCCACTATGTCTCTTCCTGATCCTGGTGGGAGTCCGGACACGACCAGATCTCATCATAAACAACCCAGAATGTAAGTAAAGTCTTTATTCAGATTAATTCATGTATCCCCCCCCCCCCCCCCCCCCCCATTCATGTATTACTCCATTTCAGTAATTAGACTTCAAACAGTACAAATACTAGAAGTGATACACAATAAGAAAGAAAGTCTGACAAGACTAAAATAATTTTCATTCTTTTTTTATATCTGGCACCCACGGCAATATTTGCTAATATATTGGCTAGAGAACAATCCCAATTAGCACCCCTTCCGATTGTTCAATGTACACAAGACTTATTTATTTGTGTATAATACGTGTGTTATATGCATCCTCAATTATGGGAAATTAAATTCTGGAAAAATATATCTGTCGATATATCTGTTGTATATAAACATTTCAGGCTGTCAGCACAAACCACAAAATTTACGATCTTTCATGTCTGTTGTTTTTCACCAAAATAATATTCTAATAAGAGCCCCCTATTTCTAATTTTGAGAGCGCCCTGGGCGCTTATTATGTCGAATACAGTACTCTGTATGTTTCTTGATTTCAGAGAGAAATGTGGACAATTGAACCCAGAATTGTAGACTTTTCAGCATGTTCGACACTGGAAATGATATGGCTATCCACTTGCTAAAGGTCTCCAAAAGTCCTCACTCAAAAAACAATTTTGTTTGGTTTTGTTTTATTACCATACTTATATCCAGTATATCATAACTCGGTTGACGGTTCACATTGGTCACAACTGTGATATAAAATATAATAGGTCATAACTGTAATATATCTGATATAGATATATAATGTATATTGAGAATGACATATAATGAAATATCTTAAACTGACAATTCCACTAACTAGATATACCAATACTCTGGTTATTATATTTGGTATTAATAAATGCTAATTATTGGAAAATGTCTAGACTTAGACAATATCATGAATATAGTGTTTATATCTTGTAAATTGCTCTGGTACTGCTCTGGTTTTAAAATGGTGACATGAATATCTCAATATGTTGGAGAGTCTTATGTGTGAGTTAAAGTTTTCACTTAAAAACAATTTTTTTGATTTGGATACAGTTATCTTTGTGAGTTAAACTTGCAAGGTGTAGTCTGTCAAATGTACACCTTTTCATTTTAAGTAACACTTACATCTTCATGATCTTGAACCTGATAGATAGATTGTCTTTATTTCCTCCAGTACTGAAGATACATTATATATAAGATACATTGTAGATACATGAATATACATTAAAACTAAACAAAGTAGTTACATGTCATGGTAAAGGGGGTATGAACAAGTGTTGCCACTTGTTAATGTAATGAGAGACTAGTAACATAGTTTCGCCCCATATCTCAAGCTCAAGGTCTTTCATGCAATCAGGCAGTCCGCCTAAGAGGAAAGACATGATAACATCATCATCATTTGACCAAAGGTCAACAAAGGAATTCGCATCTGTGATATCAAAGATATTTTCGAACATTTCATTTCTTTCTTGCATATTTATAGTACATGACATAAAAATGTGTTTGACTATGTCATGGGCTACAGTTCCGCAATGACATTCTCGCGATTCTATCTTGGAGCATCCTATTTTGACCATATTAGACGGGAACATAAAACTTTGAAGGAAATCGTAATGAAAGTTGCCAAATCCTGTGTTGACCTTCTGATCTGATACCAGTATATCTTAACAGGTCACACATTTGTTTCAATAGCCTAACAGAGTCTACATTTCTTATCTTTTCATTCACAAGACTAGTCCATTTACATTTACTGTGAACATTACAATTAGCTATGTAATCATTCAAGACATGGAAAAGATCGTATTTATGTACAAGGCGCAGCATGTTAAAACAGGGAGATTTATAACATCTTTTGTCAAAGTCTGGTTGACATTTGTATTGCCCAAGTCTGCCAATAAACAGTTGTTTGAAATAGAAGTCGCAGCTAGATCGACACAGTTTACCAAATAAGAGCAGAGCTTGTTTATCAATGTATGCCTGAATGGTAATAAGATCTAGACTATCCAATACAACTTCGCTTGGCACATGGCAAGATAACTCTCTGTAGTATTCGCACAGCTGCAATTGGGTTCAACCCACCGAAATACAAGCCATTGTTATGATTTACATTAATAAGTCTTTTCAGTTTTTCACATGCAATACGCGAGCGTTCGAGTGTTGAGATACTGTCACTAAGGCATACACCAGCATACGTAACAAAATGTTTGTGTGGCAATTCTATCTTTCCACAGGAAACATGAGGGTCGGGTACATTATATTTACAATGCAAAAATACTACGACTGCACTTTTATTCACATTATAAACCAGACGCCATCTACACGCATAATTGTTAGCAATATCTAGCAGGTTTTGCAGTGCTGATGGAGAGCTACTGACAATGGTTGTATCGTCTGCTAGCAGTTGACCTGGATAGTGACCCCAAGGTAAGCGGAGGCCGTAGCCAGAGCAATCAAGCTTGCAAATGAGATCATTGATATACACTGTGAAGAGCCAGGCCGATAATACATGTCCTTGACCAACACCTTGATAGATGGAAAATACATCTGAGTTGTAGCCTGCGTATGTAACATATGATTGCATGGACGAGTAGGCATTACGCAAAAGACGCCATGTTTTACCAGTTATACCCATGTCATATAACTTAACGAATAAGCCATCAAGCCATACTCTATCAAATGCCTTTGCGTTATCAAGAAATGCACAATAAACAACTGATTTTCTTTCTGTATAGTATGCAATGTTTTCGAGGAGGCTGAAGCAGGCTGTTTCAGCCCCTGCATTTTCGCGAAATCCGAATTGTAACGGATGCGGAAAAACACACTTTCTGTTTACCCACTTTTCAATTCTGAAGAGCAGGAGGCGTTCAAAAAGCTTACTGAGGACAGATGTTAAGGTAATCCCTCTGTAATTGTTTGGGTCAGCCTTGCTCTTACCATGACCTTTGTGAATTGGTAAGATCTTGCCTACGTGATAAGAAGATGGTATATGTTCATATTTAATTATAGCATTGAACATTGTAGTTAAATGGCCAAATAATGATCTACCTGCAAATTGGTCGTTAATGTGATACAGGGTGTCTTCATTCTGTCTATCAAGCCATGTTTCACACACAAACATTAGATCATCGTGGTCTAATCTGGAAGACAGTTCATGCTCGCTTTTAACGATGCCTCGTATATTCCATGTTGCAAGTCTGCTTATGAGCATTATTAGAAGTAATGGTAGCATCACTTGAAGTTTAATACATTTCCCCATAATTATTTATTGCTATGGAATGTGCGTGATTTTTCCACACTGAGGCGACACACTGATTGATATTGTGTAAGTCGGATTATATCCCTGCCATTGTTTCAGTAGGGAGATCTTGTGGATTATTACACCCCTCTCCTTGGCATAGTTAGTAATGGCATCTTGGACAATATCAAACGACTGTTTCGCACAAACATATGACAATACAAATCGTTTAGTTCTGGTACGTGATGCCCCCGAGAATGCACGTTTCCATTCTTGGGAGAAGTTAACTGTGCGCTGTTCATTGGTGTCGATGTGTTCCTCAATGGACTGGTTATCCTTTGTTATCTGCAGGGTGTCGGCCTGCCTGGTCTGTGGGGGTTGAGTGACACGCTTGGCTTGAGCTGAGGCCTGGATCGGGGGACACTGGCTGTGGGCTGGTGCGTGGGGTGATGGAGACAGGCGCTCAGCGGGGGCGTGGATGTCAACAGTTATCTCCCTTTCATGGCGGGATATTCGAGTTTCTGGTGGACTCTTGACAGCTTCTGAGTAGAGAAGCTTATCCCTCGTATTCATGCAGTCTATTTTACCATCGATTGCGCTTGTTCGCTTGTTGATTGATGACATTGTCTCGCACAGCTTGTCTTTCAGTAAGATATTTTCACAGCTTTTGTCCTTCAGTTCACGTTTTAGTGATGTAATCTCACTGCTCTGTCGTTCAAGACTGGAGGTCAACTTCTGCACTTCTACTGCATAGGTTTTGACTTCGTTATTTTTCTCATCCCATGCTGTTATTAGTTGTCTCATATCACTCTCATACCTCTCTTGAAAATCTTGTAGTTTGCCATTAACACACTTCATCTGTTCTTTCAGATCATCATGAAACATAATAAGTTTGCTCACAATGTCACACATTACATCATTATTTGACCGATCATCACACACACTATCGTTGCCGACAAGGTGTTCTCCGCTTATACTTTTAGAGCGTACATGATGTTTCACACGACTGAGGACTTCATTTTGAACATGTCCAGGGATACATCTTTTGATATATTTGTACAATAGATAGATGTCAGATGCATACTTCTGGGAAACCTTTTGTCCACCACGATGCACACGTCTTGCAAGTATACCTTCTGGAAAATCACTATTTTCTTTCTTTGCAATATCGTAGAGTGAGAATCTGACGTCACTTAAGTATTTTTCATCATTTTTGTAAGCATTAATTCATGTATCCCCCCAGTCATGTATCCCTTCTCCCCCCATTCATGTATTACTCCATTTCAGCAATTAGACTTCAAACAGTACAAATACTAGAAGTGATACACAATAAGAAAGAGAGTCTGACAAGACTAAAATAATTTTCATTCTTTTTTATATCTGCACTCACATTAAGAAAAGCTACAGTGCTTTGAAAATTACCGTATTCAACGTAATAAGCGCCCACGGCAATATTTGCTAATATATTGGCTAGAGAACAATCCCAATTAGTACCCCTTCCGATTGTTCAATGTACACAAGACTTATTTATTTGTGTATAATACGTGTGTTATATGCATCCTTAATTATGGGAAATTAAATTCTGGAAAAATATATCTGTCGATATATCTGTTGTATATAAACATTTCAGGCTGTCAGCACAAACCACGAAATTTACGATCTTTCATGTCTGCTGTTTTTCACCAAAATAATATTCTAATAAGAGCCCCCTATTTCTAATTTTGAGAGCGCCCTGGGCGCTTATTATGTCGAATACGGTACTCTGTATGTTTCTTGATTTCAGAGAGAAATGTGGACAATTGAACCCAGAATTGTAGACTTTTCAGCATGTTCGACACTGGAAATGATATGGCTATCCACTTGCTAAAGGTCTCCAAAAGTCCTCACTCAAAAAACAATTTTGTTTGGTTTTGTTTTATTACCATACTTATATCCAGTATATCATAACTCTGTTGACGGTTCACATTGGTCACAACTGTGATATATAATATAATAGGTCATAACTGTAATATATCTGATATAGATATATAATGTATATTGAGAATGACATATAATGAAATATCTTAAACTGACAATTCCACTAACTAGATATACCAATACTCTGGTTATTATATTTGGTATTAATAAATGCTAATTATTGGAAAATGTCTAGACTTAGACAATATCATGAATATAGTGTTTATATCTTGTAAATTGCTCTGGTACTGCTCTGGTTTTAAAATGGTGACATGAATATCTCAATATGTTGGAGAGTCTTATGTGTGAGTTAAAGTTTTCACTTAAAAACAATTTTTTTGATTTGGATACAGTTATCTTTGTGAGTTAAACTTGCAAGGTGTAGTCTGTCAAATGTACACCTTTTCATTTTAAGTAACACTTACATCTTCATGATCTTGAACCTGATACGTTTTCACAAGAACCCATACCCAATATGACACTGCCTGCAACGAACTGGCATCCTGATCTGCACATGCTCAGGTCATTTATGGAAGGTGTATGCATGTTGACAGTGAAATTCTAACAAATTAAATAGTGAATTTTAACAACATTCAGCAATATTCCAGCTGTATCCTCACTGCCTCTAAGTAAGCAGACAAACCATTGACCCAAACTAATAGATGGGAGCATTCTATGGATGGGGATTCCACAGGTCATACAGGTTGTGTCATGGCTACCTGTAACTATGTAAGCAGACAAACCATTGACCCAAACTAATAGATGTGAGCTTTCTATGGATGGGGATTCCACAGGTGATACAGGCTGTGTCATGTTAGGGTTTGGTTCTTGTACGCCTAGTGTTTGACAGATTTTTGTTACACACTGCAAGTTTCTCTGTGACCGTTTTGATTACAGACTATCAGAAAAGGCAATGTTTAAGGCTACTCAACTGTTGCAGGTCACTTTGATGGCAAGGCAATGCCGTCCGCGGGGACGCTGCCGTTCCTGCAGTCGTTCCTCTGTACCTTCAACAACACATGCCACCAATCGGTCACTGCGGACGAGAGGGCAGGAACAGTGGACAGCTTCAACTCCTCTACGTATGTTCACATCATAGGATGTTAAGCTTAAGGGTTCACTGACCTCTGACAATTCACAGGGACTGCAAGTTGCCTTTGTTTGGTTTGGTTAATCCTTAGATGGATGATTTTTGGGTATCTCAACTGATCATTCCTCTCTTGCTGTGCTGTCACTTGCATATTGTGTAACATACACTTCACCCCACTTCAGACTGGATTTAGATTGAATAATTACCCCAGACACAAGAAATACTACCACTAATTATACCTGTAATAAATTCATTAACTGAGCATCAAGTGAATGATCACAAATACACAGGTGTTGGGTTATACCAGGAGTGAGTGAGTGAGTATGGTTTTACGCCGCTTTTAGCAATATTCCAGCAATATCACGGCGGGGGACACCAGAAATGGGCTTCACACATTGTACCCATGTTGGGAATCCAACCCGGGTCTTCGGCGTGAAGAGCGAACGCTTTAACCACCAGGCTACCCAACCGCCCCGGTTATACCAGGAAACATGGATGACAGCAAGGGAGTAGTGATCGTATTATCCAATCAATCCGAAATCCGAAAATGCTTTCACCACAGGGTTACCTTTTTTTGTTCAACTATAATCATCATGGGTATATCCAAATAACCACCAATGAGTTTGAGCCGTTCTTTTTGTCTGTTTAGGTTGAAAAAATCAGGGATGTGAAATCTCCGCGGAAACGCGGAAAATCGCGTTTTTTAAAAAATCATCTTCCGCGTAAAAATTTAATAAAAATTAAAAAAAAAACACTCCGAAAAGTATGATCGAAAACCGGACAATTCCCGCGGATTGTCCTGTTTTCGATCAGAGCTTTCACCAGCATAGGTTTTCGGACATCATACGTTTTCTGTCACGAATACTTGCACTATAACGTGGGGTGTGGCGTCACACAGGCTTGTTTTTAAGATAAAGTTGTCTTTTAGCCTGTAAGTGAATGAGATGTTTTACAGTTGTTCATGTGATAACCGAGAAAACTATGAATGTTTCTTCAGCGTCCAAAACCCCATGTCATGGGGATATATGTTGTATTAATGTCTTATGTTTGCAATGGAGTTTTGTTTTTTTCATCAAAAGGTAAGTACAAGGTAATGTTTTTCAATATGCTTCAACATGGGGAAAGGGTCAGACATTGCACGCTTGTGACAGTTGTCCTTGTGTCTGGGGGATGGGGGTTGAAGTTTATGGCAGTATTGCTCCCAGACCTGGCGGGTAGCCAGGTGCGCGAAAGCTATGCCCAATTTTTTAAAAGTACTGATTTAACTTCGAAATTTTACTGCATCTGCCATCTTGTTTATTTGACTTATTGACTTTTGCCATTGACTTATTACATTTCTTGGTGTGAATGTTGTCCAAACTGCACGAAATTGCTTAAAATGCAATCAAATGTTTTTAAAATTTCTGGGGCGGGTTGCACCCAGACCCCCCTAGACTTTTCCTCTTTTTTCGGGAAAACCTGCTCACATCCCTGAAAAATAAATTCTACCATGAATTTGGAATTTACTTGATTCTGATTGGTTAATCAGAGGCTATTAAATCACAATAAACCCCCTCTGATTGAAACAGCTGGTTTGAAGGCTGCATCACTGCGGAAGCTAATATTCATAGAAAAGTACTATTTTCAGTCATTGTCGGTAGGCATATTTAAATAACTATATCTACAATTACAGGTTACAAAATGCACAGATGCGGTTACTACAATATTCAAGGGATGTGTGGCAATACATTTCTTGAAGAAAAACACGACAGAAATCAACAAAGGGAATGTATTTACGTTTTAGAGGCAACAGAGAGCTTGAAATTTTGGCGCTTTTCTATATACGACTGTGACATCATATCTTTTGCGTCACAATGAGCGATATGACATCATAATGGTGACGTGCGATGTAGAGCAAAAGCCTTGCAAAGTTTGCTTTGTTTTCTTAAGGGATGCCCGCCTCATGTTAGCCTACCAAGTTGCCGTGCTTATATGCTTTCAATACCTGTCATATGTTCGAGTAAAGTATTACGGTGTAAACAAACTGCTTGAGTATATACAGCACCATATTTTGTTCGGTGATTCCATAATTCAGATAGATAACCCACTCAAAACACTGAACTCAGCCCATGCCGCTTCACTCAGTATATTTGCTAACACCAAAATGTTCGCATTTTATTTAGTCATGGTAGAATGGAGATAAACATACTGTGTTTTCTAATGTAGAGCTAGGTTACCTGTAGATTTAACCCCGCTAAAGTGAACATTTGAAGCCTCAATACGGTAAGCCCAGTTTTTTGTCTCACTCAGTTGCGTTACCGAGCAAATCGACTCGCGACAGTTAGTGAGCCCTAGTGGGCAGTGTAAGCCAGGAAGAAGCCAGAGATTAGTGCCCCTTTAACAGTGAAAAAATCAAGGGGCCCTTAATGACCTTACATTGATTACCATGTTGACTGCAGGAGACAGGCAAACAAAAGGGGAGGTAACTCTCTCAGATGCAGAGTACAAAGTAGTTTCGGCTTTAAGTATTATTTCAATTGAGTTAAATCACATGTTATTTCACACAGAGCAATATAAAATTATTTATATAATAATATGATATTTCACCATGTTCACCACAAAATACAAAAAGTAAAGTTTTGAGGCCCAAATACTTAAGCAGAAAATCTCAACACTAGCATATCTCCCTTCATTTATAAGAAGTGTCTATTCATCAGTAGTAGTCATAGCATGTAGGCATGTGATTTGTTCACCATATAAACCAATTTATGTATAGTTGTTTAGAATTGCATGTCTTACAAAATAACTCGAAATGACTCAATTTCATGAACTGGTTTTTAGGCAAGTGTGACAGGTGTGTTAGAAAAACAGTATGAGTATAATATAACAACATTTTTCTCCAGTATATCCAAACTGCTTGAGGACATAGAGAAGGTTCTGGCCAACAATACAGAGAGAGAGGAAATATTTGATCTCATCAATGACCTGGAAAATCTACAACAGCTTCAAGACATTGTCTGGAATGGGACATCTGTAGGTAGGTGCTCTGTGAGGAGAATAGGGTGGTTGGTATTGTGGATTAAATGTTAAAGCGTCTGTCTTCAGTACTATGGTCTGTGAGAGGAGAATAGAGTGGGTGGTATTGTGGATTAAAGTGTGGATCATCAACACTACTAAGAGTCATTACTAAGACAATATAGGGGAAATTTTAATTCCAATTTGGTAATATTTACTGACATTTGCAGAATATTAGCCTCTGAGTAGGCCCAGCTAAGTTCCGGGCAAGATAGTAAAATCATGTTGATTAAAGTGTGGATCATCAACACTACTAAGAGTCATTACTAAGACAATAAAGGGGAATTTTTAATTCCAATTTGGTAATATTTGCAGAATATTAGCCTCTGAGTAGGCCCAGCTAAGTTCCGGGCAAAATAGTAAAATCATAAACTTTGACATTTTGTATCTTTTAAAGACAATATTTAACATGCAAACATCTAAAATGAGGTTACTGTCATCTGCAATACAAACACAACAACTGACATTGCAACAGAAACAGGCCTTTGAACCTTGTCTGTTATCAAAACTATGGTTTGAAAGGTGACACAGCTTTGTGGTTTATTTTGTTTAGTTGAACTAATCAATCACTGATGAAATGGAATCACTGGAATGTCCATCGTGAGCATGTAAAGATGTAGTGTCATGTTCGTATGTGTCTTGTTGTCAGGGTCTCTCCGACTAGGAAACTTGCTGGTGGATCCTGAGCAGCTCCGGCAACAGATCGCAGCCCAGAATATCAACCTGACTGAGGGTGCACTGAATTCCCTCCTCAACGCCTCGCTGTCCATTCGCAATGTAAGCAGACTAGATTACCTTCTTCCTTTAACGAGACCCTGTTCCTGTTCCACAAAATGATCTTAGCACAAGATTGTCATTCCGTTCATGTCGTACAATCATAGCACTAAGATTGCTTTGTGGAATTTTGAATGAGTCAATATCAGGAGCTCATGGTTGTTGGTTCAAAATCCCATATTCATGCTCGTTATCAATAGGAGGCGGTGGGGTAGCCTTGTGGTTAAAGCTTTCACTCGTCACGCTGAGGACCCGAGTTTGATTCCCCACATTGGTGCAATGTGTGAAGCCATACTTGTGTTCCTCTCAGTGGGAATTCCAGATTAGAATTGGTCCCCAGGAAGATATGCTGGTCGTATGAGGCGACTAAATGGATCCAGTGGTCTGACTTGGTTGTTTGTGTGTCATCGTACCCTTGCGGTGTGGATCGTTGCCCCCAATATCAGTCACTGGATTGTCTGGTCAGGACTCGATTATTTACAGGCATCATAGAGCTGGAATATTGCTGAATGACGTTAAACAGCAACCAGCAAAACTTGTGTTCCAACGACCTACCCAACTTTAGGCTTTGGTACCCTAATGTGTTCGCTTGTAATTTGGAAGTCTTGGGATTTGATTTTCCCACATGGGTACAATGTGTGAAGCCACTTCTAGGTGTCCCTGCTGAGATGTAGCTGGAATAATGCTAAAAGTGGACTAATCTCACTTTCTCCCTTCAGGATTTCCCCCTCCTTTAACCAACACTGTGTGATATGACTGAAATACTGTTCCAACTGACCTTCTTAGTTCTTTATAAGGAGATTGAAACCATGCTGTGTGATTTCATTCCAAACTGTTCTCTTTCTCAGCTGGTGAGCAACGTAACAAGTGGTGAAATATCACCCTTGATGAATCTGGGGGTATTCCTCAAGGAGCTAGAATTGCCAGACAACGCCTCCAACTTCAATTCAAATCTGGACCAGTTACGAACCAACGTGTGCAACAACAGCCTCCTGGAGAGGTACTTCCAGTTTGGTAGTCCAGCAGATGCACGGAATGTGCAGGACCAGTTGTGTAACCTGAACATCACTGAAGCCGTGGAGCTGTACCGGGACTTCCGCGACGACATCAACGTCAACCAGGTCGTCAATGAGGTGGGTGGTTGTGATTGCATATCACTTGACATCTTCACTGTGGGTTTATCTTTTGTTCCTCCGTTGGATCAGTCCTGGGGCCCGTTTCACACAGCGTAATAGACCCGTGAAGATCCGGGCTAGAACAGGTCTTCAGCAACCCATGCTTGCCGTAAAAGGCAACTATGCTTGTCGTGAGAGGCGACAAACGGGATCGGGTGGTCAGGCTTGCTGACTTGGTTGATGCATGCCATCCCAGTTGCGTGGATCGATGCTCATGATACTGGATTGTCTGGTCCAGACTCGATTATTTACAGACCGCCATCATATAGCTGGAATATCGCAGAGTGCAGCGTTAAACAACAAACAAACAAAGCAAAATTATGCTACGACTATCATATCTCCTGTACTGTAACACAGACATATATGATAGTCGTAGCTCTATGATCGCATTGTGAACAAGCTCCTTGTTCTTAGAACTCCATGTTGTTTGAGAGCAGACTGATGAGGGTCCGGTGGTTCTTATGTGTGACCTTGACAGTTGTATGCCAATGTTCCCAACAACCTTGATTGTTGTACATGCTTTGAACCACTTGTTTTTCTACGAGTCTCCGGGTGGCCCTGTACTTTAGGTTTCATAATTTGTTGTATAGTGTTGAGGCCCTAATGCATGCCAAAAACATATGATCATGGGTTCGAAAAAGCATATCAAACACGAACAGTATAAAGAACCTACTTGAGAGAGTCTCACTAACATGTGTCTTCATGTTCCAGGTGTCGGAGTATGTGTTCCAGAACACAGGCGTCAGACCCAACTTTGATATGGCATCCTACACAAGACTACTGAGACTATTTCGAGATGTAAGTGCTTCAGATATTCTTCATCCTTGGTGTGTTTGCAGGGCTTTAACAAATTTCAGTAAACCACAGGACTTTTTGGCAAAATTCATGCAGCCTTTGGCCTTGAAGGGTGATTTGGTCCATGAATGTCCATGAATTGTGCTTACCGGGTAATAATTCTGTCATTAAACATTCCCAGATTGGAAATGAAATCGGGGTGACTTTATCACTGATAACAGGATCAGTCAAGGTATATGCTTTCTGACTCAATATATGTCATTGCATTGACACTGATAACAGGATCAGTCAAGGTATATGCTTTCTGACTCAATATATGTCATTGCATTGACACTCAGAGTTTTAGAAAATAAGAATTAAGAAATAGTCCAATTTTGACCAAAATATATAACTTTTTCCCGGAATATGCCAATCTAAGGTAGTTATTTTGAAATCCTGGATTAATCCCTGATTTGTAGCATGAAACGTATGGTCATGGGTTCAAATCTCAGGTTCGCCCTGATAATGTTTCTTGGTTTGTCAGCACTCATTCTCATTGTTTTACCAAAGTTGTAAACTTCCAAGACTGCGTCACATCAGACTTTCATCCCAAGTTCACACAGTCAAGCTAACACTGTGGTTTAACCAACATATTGTTCAGAAGGTGTTAAACCAGACTCACTCACTCATTCTTATCACTGTCAAATAACCACATCCCAGGTGAATGACCTAAGCAGTCTGCAAGCTCTCCAGAAGGACCTGATTGACTTGCGAGACGAAATGCAGGATGCCCAGCAGGCCAGCGGGCCTCGCAACGTGACCCGGGACCTCAGCAGGCTCATCTGTGGCCGACCTAATGCCTTCTTACAGATCAACCCAAGCAACAAAAACCTGTTCAGTGGGGAGAGCGGTTCAGGGCGGGTTGATATGAAGGAGTCTGAGGAGGAAAAGAAGAAGAGAGAGAAGGAAAGAGAGGATGAGTTGAAAGAGTTCTGTGAGTATGATTTACTTTGATGGGATGCACACATGTATTGATGTCTCTAGTAAGACTGGTAGACCAGTGGTGTAGACTATGGGGTAAAGCGATAGCTCGTTGTGCCGAAGCCACCGGTTCCATTCCATATTTCAAGTGTCCCCTGCCATCATGTTGAAATAATATTGCTAAAAGCGGCTTGAAACCCAACTCACTCACTCACTCACTCACTCACTCACTCACTCACTCACTCACTCACTCACTCACTCACTCACTCACTCACTCACTCACTCACTCACTCACTCACTCACTCACTCACTCAGGAAAATAATTTTTGTTTAACCCCCTTGATGCCAGAGGGACATATATGTCCTTCCTCTACAACCCTCACTTTGAAGTCGAATAAAATTCAACATACATCATGCACACTAATACACATCACAGTTTTGAATAAGTTGGGAGATTCCCTGTTCTGTGATATTATTCATTGGCTTTTTAGGCCAAGCAAAAGTACAAAAAATGACCTCTGAAAATTAGGTACTTCGTAAATGTCGCCATTTTTTACACATTACTAAATCACCACTCGCCGCGTTATTTACAGCATGTTCTGGAATCTAAATTTCGGATATTTACTCCGAGAAATGAATTTCAAAAATAGCATATTAGTGATCACGGGTATCTGTCCTTTATGAAATCACCAATGATCATTCAAAAACGTCTCCGATAACCCTAGAATCGTTTCGAATGTTTTGGAAAATACGCAAACACGAACGCCGAAGTGAACTTTCCGCCATATTGGATAGTGTTTACAAAATCACGTTTCAGGTACACCGGTTATGAGGCGCCTGTAACTTCCCGTATATTCCAAACTTTGCTGCGATACACACATCCTTGAATTCCTCATACATTTTAGAATCGAATGAACAATGGTCTTTGTCACCAATACGAAGTGGCTGGATGAAATCAAGCAATATAAGTCAGGTGTGAAAACGAACGCTGTGCTCGAAACACTGCACTTGTTTGAAGTGTAAACAAAGCAAAATACAGATTTTACACACTGTAGCATTTTCTCCTATTTTGAGCTATCCATTCGTCTATTCGTTCAAAATATTGGCTCAACATTTGCAGAACAGTCATGGGAAGAGAATCGTAGGAAGAAATAGGGAATTTAAAATAGATACATTGACAACTTCTGTTGAAAATACCAAATCAATGCAAAGTTACCGTCCTGTGTGACGCCATGACTGACGCAAAATCACGCACAACGACAACGGTATTTATCGGAATTTCTGACTATTTCGGTTTGTTTCAATGAAAATTATAACAACAAATAACAGTACATAGATTGTCAGAATGTTTCTGATTACTTACATGTCACATTTATGTAAATACGATCCCTGAATCAACGAAAGTCCCCTCGTAAAATCCCGCGTACTGTTGACAGTGAACACGCCATTTTGTAAAAGTCGGTCACAGGTAGTGATGTCATACGTCAACATTGTTGTACATATTTGGTAATTTCTTTGCGGTGAAGGTCTTTGAATGAGAGTGCACACGATCATTGTACCATGCTGTTTACAGTTTCAGTTATGATGCAGATTTTGCATATCTTTTGTACATTTTTTCACACAATTAGATTCTTATTTCACTTTGGACATTTGTCAATGTTCAAAATGATATCATACGTAAATATCGGCCACAACATGTATGAAGGAACCTTGATAATCTCCTGTTTGTTTGAACATTGTTTACATAACAATTGATAGGTTTTTAGTGTCGCATACGATATTTCTTTCCTTTGGACAAGTGTTACAAGAAGTGTAAATGTAACTGCAGCATGTACGCATTTCTTGGGATGTGCAATAGTCAATATTATAAGTTCATATTAGCAAAGTCCATGAATAGCCGTTTCATTTTATTTTATAACTAAAACTGAATATATTACTTTTACACAAAAAAATCGGTAAAATATATGCACACATTTCTGAAAGAACTGTCTTGGTCTTGGAACTGTTTTTGATGTCGTTTGATACACAGAACAGTGATATCTAACGATTCGCCAGGTGCGCGTTAGTCACACACATTTTACGAATTATTCCTCTCGTTTTGCATTATATAATCAATGGGTTCATTCTTTTTTCAATATTGTGATCACAGGATATTAAACTGTTTACTTAATTTCTTCAGAAATTTTAAAATGTATAAAATAAAATCCATGCCAGGTACCCCGTTTGTTCAACCTTATACGATTATCCTGATAATTCTATACCAATATGATAGTGCTTTCTTCACATCTTTTATTGTTTCATTCTGAGACGAGATGAAGAGAAATACTAACATGATAATGAACAAATATATGTCCAATATTGAATATAATTTTGGTTGTTTTGAAATATTCTTTTGTGAATTTCATAACGTAAATTGATGCCAAACAGGTGCGTGTCCTGTCCAATTAAGATACACGATAAACTATCTAATTGTTTACATATTCAAGACATTATTTACTTGGTGAAATCATTAATTTTATGTTGTGTCGAAAAAGCGTCAAATTCCGTTTTACACATCGAGATTTTCCAAACCATGAACGAAAATTATGGGAGATATATATAAATCAAAATACCAGTGTCGTCGTTCTCCGACGTTATTAAAGACATAAAACCAGCCATGACGTCAAAAGGAATGGTGTTATTTTGGGGTATTTCATTACATTTGATGATAAAGCTAGTGCTCCATTAATAATGGTGCACCATAAGTCAAATTACACTTACACACTCAGGAGAATGTTGGAATAGGACTAAGTTATAGGTTAGATAGGGCCATCCATTTCTCTATTACCTCTTTTTTATGAAGTACGATTTCATCATTTCTTGTGGATTTTATTTATAAGAAAACGTATACAGTTTCAATATCAATATTTGTGTTGGAATAGTTTGGTTCCTCGTGAACGAAACACAACAAAAATACATTGTCCTTACCCACAGCTAATTCTCACCAATTGACCTGAGTTACAATAACCTAGTGCTAAGCATAGCGGAGTTATGCCCCCTTTTCTTTGTACGCGTGTAACCTCTCGGTCGCCTTATGACGTCATAGAGAAAAATCAGTTTTCGTCATTTACGGCATGCCCTTTTTTTTGCATTGAATGAATGTCGTTACACATATGCATATAACTCCATTTGATATATAGTTATGTCGTTCAGATATTAGGCAGTATTTTGTTCGCTGACAGTTTCCGTAAAGCTTCGAAATAAAAAAAATCGTCGCATGTACGATAAAAAGCGGAGAAATTTACTGTTTTTCAACGCAAAATAAATTCTCGGACAACACTTAGAAGCGTATTTCTTTAAAACCGGTTTAATATTTGCAGTTAACTTAACACCATCAAATAGGAAATTTAATATTCTCCACCTCTGCGTAAGTTTATAGCCAGAGGTAGATCCAGTGCCGCGTGAGTGCAATTCTCGCACAACCTTCACTTTTCCGATCTTAGGAAAATGTGCGTCAGGAAAAAAACTCGGCATCCAGAGGGTTAACAATGCAAACTTTTATCTCTCTTCAGATGCTTATGAGTTATTTCTGATGCATTATCAAGGAAAGGGTAGATCCATATTTCTGCTTTCGAATTCATAAAATATGTATAACAATTTCAGAATTGTTACTCTAAGTTGCTGTTATTATTGGGTAGATTGCTGTTGTATATGATTACTACTTTTGTTGATCTATCCCTGCTGTGATATTGCTGGAATATTGCGAAATGCAGCCTAAAACCCAACTCACTCACTCACTCTTTCGTTTATCTATGATTCACTCAGTCAGTTGATGTTGCAGACTACCCTGTAATCCTAGATTGTCAACACCTGTGAACTAAAGAACATCTTATTGCAGCTCCCTTCTGCATTGACCTGTTTGCATCCTTTGAGTCAACGCGCTACACTCGTATCATCTGGCGCCAACTCAAGCCTGTCATCTTGGGTTTTATTCCATATGCCCCGGACAATGCTGCTACCAGGGCCATCATTAAACAGGTTTGTTAGATCACCTGTGATTGTTTTGTTTGTTTGTTTGTCACTTGACTATATGATGGCGGCTTGTATATAATCAAGCCTGATTGGACAATCCAGGGATAAATATTGTGAGCAACAATTCACATCGTCGGGTTACGATGACATCCAATCAACCAAGTCACCGAGTCTGACCACCCAATCTATTGTTTTTCCACCTCTTACTACCACTGTGGTGGACCTATTCTTACACAGAATCCCTATGGAAGAACATATAAAGTACAACATTAAATTGGCATATATAATTTTGTTTCATTTAACACAAAACATGCTGTCATGATTGTAGGTTGAACTACCTATACATGGTGTGTTTACCATGGAAAAAGGGATGGTGGGATAGCCTAGTGGTTAAAGTGTTCGCTTATCACGCCGAAGACACAAGTTCGATTCCCCACATGGGTACATTGTGTGAAGCCCATTGCTGGTCTCCCATACGTGATATTGCTGGAATATTGCTGAAAGCGGCGTAAAACTTTCTCACTCACCCAAAAACCCACTCACTCACTCACACACACACACTCACTCACTCAACCACCCACCCACCATACGTGATATTGCTGGAATATTGCTGAAAGCGACGTAAAACTCTCACTCACTCACTCACTCACCCAAAAACCCACCCAAAAACCCACTGACTCACTCACTCACTCACTCACTCACTCACTCACTCACTCACTCACTCACTCACTCACTCGATATGAAGAAGGGACCACTCATAGATCTTCTTCATCAGTAAGGAACAAAGGTATGTTGAGAGGGTGTTTAGTCATGAAGTGGATGAGGATAAAAATCTGATCATTTATTTTTTTATTTATTTTTTATTTATTATCTGATGAATCTGTGTGTGAAGATAACTTGCCTCATGATGCTCTGTGTGATGGTTCTGTCTCTTCTTACAGGCTAACGCTACCTTTGAGAACCTTGCATCCCTTCTTGATCTGGCTGATGATTGGCTGGACGATGTGTCCCCTAGACTGTACAACTACCTCGACAACAGCACCAGCATAAACGCTCTCAGGGTAAGAGTGTAGCATGGAGTACTTCCACCCATGACTCTAGCCACCTAGAACAACCCTGGACTGTAGGTGTGTAGAATTAGCTTGAATTACACAAAGATGCAAGCACTGTGATGAGAAAAACAGAAGCTAAACATTCAATACCGCCAACCACTGTCTGTAATTGAATGGCCGCTTGTGGTCAGCTGGAGTTGTGGTCAACACTCGCAGCGGAGATCAAATGTAATTTGACGCACAGTGGTCTGCAAAGCATTGTGATGCAGTTTCATTGTGTGATCTCACTAAACGGATATCTTCTGTGGAAGCCCTTTTCGGATGATTACTGTAAATCTTGAAATTAATATGAGCGTGAATTAAATGTGAAAAATGCGAGTGGTCATTCAAACACTAGTACTTACATAATAGACACCCAGTGAATTGTCACTGCTGGGGTCAAGAGTTCTGCTCACTCATGTCAAACTATGCATCACTGATTACTCCAGCAAGTCCAGAGAGACACCACCCCCGCAATACAGTGTCTTTGTTCTTTGCGACTGCGTCAAAGGCCGACACGACCCAGTGCGCATGGATAGGCTTCAGGCTTCATCACACTTATCCTCAAGTCTACAGCTCTTGTCTTGTCGCCTGCCTTAATGCTAGTCAACAGAATAAACACATAAATAATCTGTTGTTTTTAGGAAAATACCATGTATTGTTTTTGCAGAAGCACTCACCTCAGTGCTAATAAGCAGTGCCATTTGATATATATTGATATATATATATATATAGAGTCATATTTTTGGCTATGGGCCAGTGAATATTCCCTGGTTGTTACAGAGATTGACATCGAAAAGTGGATGTGCAAATCTGAGCAATTCCCTGACGCAATTGCGTGAGTTGTCGCCTTCCTCCAACATCCCCACCTTCAACACCAGCACCTGCGACTACTTCGCCCGCTACCTCTACAACGGCCCGAACACCACAGAGTATGACTGGAGAGACTCCATCAACTACACCAACTACTTCATGGCCGAGGTGAAGAAGTACCTACAGGTAACCTGTGTTTCTTGTTACTGTTACCAGCCAATATTGGAAATGGGGCTTTGGGGTAGCCTAGTGGTTAAAGCTTCGGCTTGTCACACCGAGGACCTGGGTTCAATTCCCCAGATAGGTACAATGTGTGAAGCCCATTTTCCGGTGTATTGGTGATATTGGTGAAATATTGCTAAAAGCGGCATAAAAACCACACTCTATCACTCAATATAGGAAATATGCTTCTATCAGATAAAGAGAGAAGTGTGTGAGACGGTAAGTGAGTTAGTATGGTGTTACGTTGGTTTTAGCAATATTCCAGCAATATCATGGCGGGGAAACCAGAACTTCACACATCGTACCCATCTGTAGAATCAAACCTGGGTCTTTTTCATGACGCACAAATTCCTGAACCACAAGGCTACCCCACCAGGCTACCCCATCAGGCTACCCTACCACCCCGATAAACAGAGAAGCATTAGATATTCAACATACACCACTGTAAGGAGTAATAACATCTGTGTAGTGGCTAGGGCAGAATAGGTCTAACTGTAGGAATTTATCTAGACCTGCTCCGAAGCCGATAGTCTGCAGCAAATGTTAGTAAAAATTCTCAAATTGTAATAAAACAAAATCCCAGTTCATGTTAAAATATATATACCGTATTCAACATAATAAGAGCCCCACTCTAATAAGTGCCCACAGCGATATTTGCCCACAGCGATATTTGCTAATTTATTGGCTAGTGAACAATCCCAATTAGCACCCCTTCCGATCGATCAATGTACACTTATTTATTCGTGTATAATACAAACTCGTGTGTTATATGGACCCTTTATTATGGGCAATCCAATTCTGGAAAATATAACTCTCGTGTCTAATACGCACAGGTTGGTTGGTTGGTTTGTTGTTTAACGCCACACTCAGCAATATTCCAGCTATATATCAACATGTATGACATGTATCAACCAAGTCAGCAAGCCTGACCACCCGATCCCGTTAGTTGCCTTTTACGACAAGCATAGTCGCCTTTTACGGCAAGTATGGGTTGCTGAAGACCTATTCTACCCCGGAATCTTCACGGGTCTAATACGTGCAGACTTTTCTTTTGTATCATTTCAGGCTCGGGAAAAAAACACAAAATTTACAATCTTTCCACTCTGTTTTTTTTCTTACCAAATTATATAATAATAAGAGCCCCCTATTTCTAATTTTGAGAGCGCCCTGGGCGCTTATTACGTTGAATACGGTAACTTATGTTATGGCTTTGGTGTATTTCACTGTTTCACTGATGTGATAAAAGAGGAAGAGGCATTTGTGTATTCCATGCAGTGTAAAAATAGGAAAAATTCCTCTAAATTTAAGAAAATAAGAACTTGCCAACTTTGCACAATCTTTCCCCAATTTGCCTGCCAAGGGCTTTTAGTTTGGAATGCCCCATCAATGTGTGGACTGTTACTTTGTGTAATTGTATATCAACAGTGTGCATCATTGTTCATGCTATCAACAACTGGGGCGGGGGTGGCCGAGTCAGGCACTGCAGTTCGCTGTGCAGACTTGTGTCCCTTGAACATACCAGAAACCAGAAATCCAGTTAGTAAACTGTCCTGCAGATTTCGGTCGATTGCAGGATTTGCAAAGCATGTGCACCGCCAACTCTATGTCAACAGATATTTTCCAAGTTTTTTCACGTTTTTAGTCAAGGTGCTCACGTGATTTGATGCACTTTGCAAGGTAAGACCTGTGTTATCACAATATAGATCTTGATTATCGATCAGATCGCCTTGACTTGGCGTCGCCATTTTATGTGAAACAAATGCAAGTGATACGAGAGGTGGAATCTGATTGGTCCATAGGAGAGGCTTATAAGGGACATAACTCATAATAACCACTGGTGGCGGTACGATCGAGCCCAGGAATTCCAGCCTTGTTCGGCAAGGGTGGAAACTGAACTTTAACAGTCAGGTAACTCCCTTGCCTCCGGAAGATGCACACACAGGTGCATGCATGTTGCTATATAAATGCAATAACCTCCATCACGGCGTTTAGCCCCATTTCCCCTTGCTGTCTCTCCCCAATGTTATACAATACTCCAAATGTAGTGTTTCAGATTTGACAAGTTCCGCCCGTATGCGTCGGAGTACTCCCTAATACAGGATAGCCTGGACATGATACCGACCAACACGTTCTGGGCAGGTAGGGCACAAAGTGGATTCCACTTTGAATATACACATTTGATTCAAATTCATATATCAGAGAGTAATGATGAATTCTTTTAGAAATAAGACCTACATCAATTGAATCGTTTAAGTGCATGTTGTATTTTCTATTTTGAATATCTGGCATTTATACAGAATTATGATATAAATTTTGTCCTAGTGCTTAAGAGTGTCCTCAGCATCACCATCTGTCCATACCTACTGGTTTGTGTACTAAGAGCCTAGTTACATTTTCCTTACCACTAAGATACTCTATCTCTGCTAAAGCTACATTTTTCTTATCACAATTACATTTTGCAGAAAAATTCAGAGGTTACTAAAGCTTACTCAAGGCACTTCATGTGCTCATGTTCTCTCCCCCTCTTCCCCCAGCTCTCGTGTTCGAAACAGAAGCGGATGCAGCATCCGTCCCAAATCACATGACTTACAAGATCAGAATGGACACAGACAAAATAGACAGCACAAAGAAAGTGCAGGACAAGTACTGGAAGCCAGGCCCCAGGGCCCAAGTTGGTATTGACACCAAATACCTGACGTACGGCTTCGCCTTCCTGCAGGATATGGTTGACCACGCACTCATCAGGGTGCAGACTGGTGTGGAGGAGGAGGTCGGGGTGTACATGCAGCAGTTCCCCTACCCATGCTACGTGAAGAACAGGTACGTTCCCCGACCCATGGTATGTCAAGAACAGGTACGTTCCCCTACCCATGCTACGTGAAGAACAGGTACGTTCCCCTACCCATGCTACGTGAAGAACAGGTACGTTCCCCTACCCATGCTATGTCAAGAACAGGTACGTTCCCCTACCCATGCTACGTGAAGAACAGGTACGTTCCCCTACCCATGCTACGTGAAGAACAGGTACGTTCCCCTACCCATGGTATGTCAAGAACAGGTACGTTTCCCTACCCATGCTACGTGAAGAACAGGTAGGTTCCCCAACCCATGCTATGTCAAGAACAGGTACGTTCCCCTACCCATGCTACGTGAGGAACAGGTACGTTCCCCTACCCAAGGTACATCAAGAACAGGTACGTTCTCCTACCCATGCTACGTCAAGAACAGGTACGTTCCCCTACCCAAGGTACATCAAGAACAGGTATGTTCCCCTGCCCATGCTACGTGAAGAACAGGTACGTTCCCCTACCAAAGGTACATCAAGAAGAGGTACGTTCCCCTACCCATGGTATGTCAAGAACAGGTACGTTCCCCGACCCATGGTATGTCAAGAACAGGTACGTTCCCCTACCCAAGGTACGTGAAGAACAGGTACGTTCCCCTACCCAAGGTTTATCAAGAACAGGTACGTTCCCCTACCCATGGTATGTCAAGAACAGGTACGTTCCCCGACCCATGGTATGTCAAGAACAGGTACGTTCCCCGACCCATGGTATGTCAAGAACAGGTACGTTCTCCTACCCATGGTATGTCAAGAACAGGTACGTTCCCCTACCCATGGTATGTCAAGAACAGGTACGTTCCCCTACCCATGGTATGTCAAGAACAGGTACGTTCCCCTACCCATAGTATGTCAAGAACAGGTACGTTCTCCTACCCATGGTATGTCAAGAACAGGTACGTTCCCCTACCCATGCTACGTGAAGAACAGGTACGTTCCCCTACCCATGGTATGTCAAGAACAGGTACATTCCCCTACCCATGGTATGTCAAGAACAGGTACGTTCTCCTACCCATGGTATGTCAAGAACAGGTACGTTCCCCTACCCATGGTATGTCAAGAACAGGTTACTTCCCCTACCCATGGTATGTCAAGAACAGGTACGTTCCCCTACCCATGGTATGTCAAGAACAGGTTAGTTCCCCATCCCATGTTATGTCAAGAACAGGTTAGTTTGATGGTCTGGGTGTAATCGCAGCAGTTCCCCAACCCTTGTAGCCCAGACTGACTCTTAAATGTGTTTTCCTCCAACTTAAAGCAGACATGCAGTGATTCAAATGAGTACTGTTCAAAGTAAAGTTAAACCCACCTTCCTGAGGCAAGAGCGTCCACTAGCCCATTTCCACCCTTGCCATACCAAGCCCACTTTCCTGTGCTAAATATGATTTGACTATCACACATATGCATAGTCCAATCACAGAACGTTTCACAAAATCAACATCAACGACATTCATCTTTTAAACCCCTCAACAATTGCCTATGTTTTTGTGTCAGGGATGAAATCGCGAATGTTTTCAACTAGGTCGTCACCTATGGTAGTCGCCATCTTTGTGAAGCTATACGAGATCAGTCAGCGATCTAATTGGATATCGTGTTTTCATTACAAGGGGCAGAACTCGTGATCTACGAGAGGTGGCGCCAGGGTCGGGCCAAAAGAGTGTCCTTGATGTGTTAATGGTAGAAACTAGGCTTTGATATAGGCTACTCGACACGCTTAAACCCAGCTTTCTCACTTTTCAATGTTCATTTTTGTGTTGAGTGCGGGCGGTCGGGTAGCCTAGTGGTTGAAGCGTTCGCTCGTCACGCCGAAGACCCGGGTTCGATTCCCGACATGGGTACAATGTGTGAAGCCCATTTCTGGTGTCCCCCGCCGTGATATTGCTGTAATATTGCTTAAAGCGGCGTAAAACCATACTGACTCAATTGTGTTGAGTGCTGATATAGTTGTAAGGAACAATTACCTGAGTCTTTCCAATTTGTGTTATGTCAGGTTTACAATGACGATATCACGGACCATGCCGATGTTCATGGTGTTGGCGTGGATCTACTCAGTGGCCATGATTGTGAAGGGGATCGTGTACGAAAAGGAACGTCGTCTGAAGGAGGTGATGAAGATGATGGGACTGGGCAATGGGGTCCACTGGCTGGCCTGGTTCATCAATGCCTTCGTCATGATGATCATCACTGTCGTCATGCTTGTGGCGTTGCTCAAGGTAGGTGCTTGTTGCGTGTCCTGATAAGTATTGAAATCAATTTTTATAGATAAATAAAAAAGTTGACAATAATAATGACACAGAGTATTTAATCAGTAACAAAAAACCACTGATCACAACTATACTAAATCAGGGACATCGTTCAGCGCAATCGTGGAAGCCCCACCCACTCTATTATCACCCAGTCAGGACACAGTGTCCGGTTTGTGGAGGCAGAAACGCAAAAATAATTGCATGGTTAGCCAATCAAATGACATGGAATCACTTTCAATTTATTTGTTTTGTCTTTACAATATGTTAAAATAATGTATTTGAAGTTCTGGTGGTCTTTAAATCACGTTTGATCCTTATATCATAATACAACTCAAATGGTCAAATTTCAATACAATTTTTCTGTCTCTTTTCAGGGCGGTAAGGTCTTTGAGCACTCTGACCCGTCTGTGATCTTTGTGTTCATGTTGGCATTCACGATAGCGACCATCATGCAGTGTTTCCTGATCAGTGTATTCTTTTCCCGTGCCAACCTGGCGGCGGTGTGCGGGGGCTTCCTGTACTTCCTCCTGTACATGCCGTACACCCAGGTGGTGCAGTGGGAGGAGTTCATCAGCACCTCCATCAAGCTGGTCTCCGTGAGTACTCTCTCTCTCTCTCTCACTCACTCACTTACTAACTCACCTACCCACCCACCCACTTGCTCACTCACTCACTCACTCACTCACTCACTCACTCACTCACATGAAACCATATGCCAACAAACTTCCTTCAACATGTTCGATGCACATAATGCTATATTGACACACAATGAAAAGGCATAATCAACTTTAACTTGAAGTAAAAGAAAACAAATTTAGCAGTAAATATTTACTAACATGACAAAGAATTATGACCTTGACAAAACAACATTTTGATAATACAATGTTTGTGGCCATTTCATCAAATATTACTAAAATCTAAATATATGTTTTTAAAGTGTTTCAGTAATAAAATACTAAAATTTGCAGACCGCTAAAGTTTAGAAATGCTACATTTTTTTGTCACTTTTGATGTGATATTGATGCACCCCTGATGTCTTGATGCTTCCCCCTTGCAGTGCCTGTCATCTAGTGTAGCCTTTGGATTCGGCTGCAGCTACATATCTCGGTTTGAGGAACAGACGACTGGTCTACAGTGGAGTAACATCGCTGACAGCCCCATCCCCGATGACGACTTCAACATGGCACGCTGTATCCTGATGATGTTTGCTGATGCTCTCATGTATGGCATCATCACCTGGTACATTGAAGCCGTCTTCCCTGGTATGTTAGTCATGTTGATTTTTTTTAAGGACAGGTTATCCATTATTCCGAGTTGTGGGTAGGTTAGTCTTTACATTACAAGAGTGCTTTTCTAAGAAAATGTAAATATATGGGGGTTATCCAATCACAAGTTGCGACATCATAGGTCCACAATAGCTGAAGTTTTTCTTAGTAGACGTCCCATAGAGATTCTGGGTCAGAATAGGTCCACAATAGCTTATGCTTTTCTTTGTAGGTGTCTCATAGACATTCTAGGACATTCTAGGTCCACAATAGCTTATGCTTTTCTTTGTAGGTGTCTCATAGACATTCCAGGACATTCTAGGTCCACAATAGCTTATGCTTTTCTTTAAGGATACTCTTTAGGAAATCAGGGCAACTCTGAGAGGATCTTGGTCAGAATAGGTCCACAATAGCTTATTATATTATGATTATTATTTTGTACATTTATATAGTATCTGCTCAAATGCAATTTATTTGTTCACCAACCAGTGGATCCCTATTTCCAGTTATCATTCTTGACTCCCTGGGGAACATACAACCCAAGCTGCCTTAGGGTGCTAGAGGGTTTTTACATCCACCTCACAATCGGGTACCCATTCCCTGCTGGGTGAACAGAGGCACATTTGAATTAAGTCACATGCCCAGGGGGACACCACACGTTTTGACACTTGTCATCACTTAGGAGGTCCCAGTGGTAGCCATCATTTTCTGATAAGGTGCCCTGTTGGGATTCTGGGTAAAAATAGGTCCGGGGGCTTATGCTTTTCTTTAGTGGTACCTGTGGGAATGTTTGGTCAGAATAGGACCACAAGATGCCATGATTGTTGGTCATTTGTCAACAATGATCATTAGTCAGGCTTTGAATCAGTGGATTTCTTTGCCCAGAGTTGATTATTGAAGCTTCCTTCGATATGCCTTGAATATTGATGGCTAAGCTGTAAAACAACATTCACTCGCGCTTTCTTAGAAGGTGATTAAAGCAGTGATGGGGTCCATGTTACTAATCTGCAGGCTAGCACAGGTGAACCATATACTGAAGGCAAGGCTGGTTTTTCACTCTATACTTTGTACTGCCTGTTTGTAGATTAGACAAGTTTTTGCTATCTACAGTGTGATACCAATGATAGTGTTTCGTCATGCTAAATTTGAGGGATTCAGAATTAAGACGATGATATTTCAGTGTATAAGATGAACCTTGCTCCCATTTCCAGGCCAGTATGGTATACCACGCAAGTGGTACTTCCCCATCCAGAAAACCTACTGGTGTGGACAGCGTTACCGAGGAGACACCAATGTCGCTGGCAACCTAGGGGCTGCAGACATGGAGATGAACTGTGAGTAGCACTGATGAGTTATCTGCACCCACCATGCCTTGCTTTGTTGCATATAACAGCATCTTTGGTGTCAATTTGTTAAGCACATGTTATTTTAGATTTAGATATGAATGACGTAGAATTTACTGCAGGTGACAAGGAGAATATAGGGGTGGAGTCCCCCAACAGTAAAGTGGGTGTGTCTATACACAACATGACCAAGGTGTCCATTTAACTCCTCCTATATTGCAGGTGACAAGGAGAATCTGGAGGCGGAGTCCCCCAACAGTAAAGTGGGTGTGTCTATACACAACATGACCAAGGTGTACAAGACTGGGAAGAAGCTAGCAGTGGACGGATTGTCTCTCAACTTCTATGAGGGCCAGATTACATCTTTCCTTGGACATAATGGTGCAGGAAAAACCACAACGATGTAAGTAGGTCAGGGCCAAGGGGCTTTACTTAGCACTGTCATTACTCAGATCCTTGAACACATCATGTAAGTAGGTCAGGGCCTAGTCCATGGGGCTTTACTTAGCACTGTCATTACTCAGATCCTTGAACACATCATGTAAGTAGGTCAGGGCCTAGTCCATGGGGCTTTACTTAGCACTGTCATTACTCAGATCCTTGAACACATCATGTAAGTAGGTCAGGGCCTAGTCCATGGGGCTTTACTTAGCACTGTCATTACTCAGATCCTTGAACACATCATGTAAGTAGGTCAGGACCTAGTCCATGGGGCTTTACTTAGCACTGTCATTACTCAGATCCTTGAACACATCATGTAAGTAGGTCAGGGCCTAGTCCATGGGGCTTTACTTAGCACTGTTATTACTCAGATCCTTGAACACATCATAAAACTGCTTTCACTCTGACTACAATCTCTCTCAGGGAGACAATACACAATCAGCAGAATAATGCAGCCTGCCGTGCCCCTGTTTAAGGTGAAGCAAGACTCCTATAATCAGGGAATACAATGCCTTGGTATGTCAATACCCTATCTGTGCTAGCTGCTTTCACCAAAGAGTGCAACATGTAGGACATGCATTACTTCAAGCTCTCCATCATCACTTACACTTACATGTAAATCTCATCTTGTGACCTGATAAAGTGATTGTTTTCCCTTCTGGCTGAAGTACTCATGAAAATGTTCAGGGAATAATAATAGTCCATTTTTATTGTGCTGTACTCCATGCATAAGCATGCTCTAAGCGCTTAGATATTATTACCACGGTCAATGGATCAGTGTGCACTCAACAATCACTCTCAGCTCCCTGGGGAGTATACAACCCAAGCTGCCTGTTAGGCGCGAGAAGCTTAACGGCCATTTTGCCATCTCATCCTACCTGGTACCCATTCACATTCTGGTTAACATGCTTTTGTCAAGAAAAGCCAAATGTGTCTGAAAATGTTGACAACAGTGTTGCATGTTGTGTACCAGGTCCATCCTGACAGGCCTGTTCCCTCCCACAAGTGGCACAGCGTATATCAACGGGAAGGACATTCGCTCCCAGATGGACGATATCAGGAGCAGTCTCGGAATGTGTCCACAACACAACGTACTCTTTGACCTGTGAGTAGCTTCTTCAGTATTTATATAGGACATATAGGTACAGAGGGCCTAGTCATCTAAAGCGCTGTAAAGAGTTGCATCCCTTATTTGTACCAGAATCCTGTGATCATATGTTGGAATTCCATGTTTGTGCTGGTTATGATTCATGGTTTGTGATCATGGTTTTCACCACAGTGACTGTTGATATCTAAGATCTGGGTGCTGTTATACAAAGTGATCTTAGTGCTAAGGTGATCGTACATCCCATACCTTAACATAGACTTACGACAGTCGTAGTGCTAGGGTTGTTTTGTACACTCATTTGTCAGATCACTGATAAGTATCCTTGTTGCTGAAAGGAGGCTGTGATTTGATTCATCGGTTAAAAATGCCACTAAACCAGATAGCGACACTATGTATACATGGGTGATCGAAGAAATGCATACAAACCCCTGGAGTAATAACTAAGATGACCTATCAGATTTTTGGAAAGAGACACATTGTAGCCATCAAGTTGACCACAGGCCTAGACTGTAGACTGTGCTGGTAATTGTTGTTGCACGTCTGTGTTCAGCCTGACTGTAGAGGAGCACATCTGGTTCTACGCCCGACTCAAGGGGAGGACCAACGCGGAGGTGAAGCGGGAACTACCTCAGATGGTCAAGGATGTTGGCCTGCCCAATAAGATCAAAGAGATCTCCAAGAACCTGTCAGGTGAGTAGTACCGATGTGTCTCAATGTATCAGTGGTGACGGCAGATGTCTCATCAGAATCACATCCTGCAGAAAATAGTTGTTTTAACTTACAGAATAGAACACATTCTAGTTTCCTTTCTCTGTTGTACAGTGAGTTTATTTACTAGATATATAGGGGGCATGGGTGGCCCAGTCGTCTAAGGCGCCGTGATTCGCTGTGCAGAGTTGCGTCCCGTGGGCACGCCAGAAACCTATGATTGGGGGTTCGAATCCCGGTTTGCCCCGATTATGTTTCTAGGTTTGTCAGCACCATACCCATGCTCGTGGGTTTCACCGAAGTGGTAAATGTCTGAGACCTGCATTACTTCGGGCTTTCTTCCCACATTAAGCTGATATAACTGGAATACTATTAAACCCAACTCACTCACTCACTACTAGATACGTTGTTGAAGGCTGTGTAATTATGTCAGAATCCATATTGACACTTCAGTGATATTGCAGCATTCATCTGGAATCGGTTTAGTTGATATGTATTTCATTGCCCCAAATATTTCCGCTGAATATATATCTCACGAGTCAGTGTCTTCCAGCTTGTGTTTGATGATCGGTCTCTCTGTTCCAGGGGGAATGAAGCGCAAGTTGTCTGTGGCTATTGCATTTGTGGGTGGATCTCGCACAGTCATCCTGGATGAACCTACAGCTGGCGTCGACCCATACGCTCGCAGAGCCATCTGGGACCTGCTCGTCAAACTGAGAACAAGTAAGCTAATGTTCTACCACTGGCTGACCTATCTGGTGCACAGAATGAAATAAATGTAATTGTTATGTATTGGTTCTGTCATTCCTGTCTTCTACCATAAGTACAACTTCTCTGAGTAAACATGACATTGGGACATTGTGATGATATTCCAGATCGCACCATCATTATGTCTACCCACCACATGGACGAAGCCGACATCCTCGGGGACCGCATCGCCATCATCTCCCACGGTCGACTCTGCTGTTGCGGCTCAAGCCTCTTCCTCAAAAACCGCTTCGGCAGCGGCTACTACCTGACCCTCGTCCGCCAGCAGGACCAGGACCAGGACCAGAATGAGGTTCCAGTCAAGGATGTAATCAAACCTAAACCCAGCAGGCCGTCCACTGCCGGCAGCATCCGCTCCACCATCGACGTCGTAGTGAGTTACTTGTCAATTTGTTGTACCAAAATAGGATTTTAAGTGCATGCAGTGTGAGAAATTAAGTGGCATGGTGGCTACTAGGCACTATAAAATCAGCATGACAGTGCACAAGCGCTATGAAATCGGCATTATCAGTCCCGACTAGTACAAGCAGCCACACAATAATCTTGTCTTGGACCCAACATTAAACCCCATTTCACTTCACCTTATCAACTGGTATGAAGTTTTTTTTTATAGTGATGCACCTGTCCAGGTGATATGCTCCACTCATATTATCTTAGGTTGCTATAGTCGAAAGAAAAACTAACTAATAAAATTATCAACTGACTTTCAGAATTACATGGCTGTATTGTACTGTAGATGATTCATATTGACTGACTTTGGTGTCCTGATTGTAACAAAATATTAAATGTAATTTGGGAAAGTTGGCACCTGTTTTAGACAATTGTTTCACTGATGTGGAACTTTAGTCTTCCTTTATTATACTTCAGCCGTCATTTGAGATGGATGATGAGGGTTACTCTGAGAGACCGGACAGTGATAAAACCAGCAGCAGCAACAGCAGCAACCCACCTACTCCACCACCAGAGGGAGCCACTATGATACCAGGCACGTATACAGTTGGTCACGTGTACACAAACACAAAACAGTTATGGTAAACAGTTTGTCTGTGGGAGAATAGAGTGCAGATGCATAGGAAAACTTTCTTTAGCTTGTGTTAGTGTATCTCATGCAACCTGTACTATTTTGATGGAATCATTGCGATAACTTCAGCCAAATTTCGTCAATATGATCATTTGAAATATGTTACGAATTTTGTAAAAAGAAGTTGTAATTTTAACTAGATTTTGATCTCAGTGCAATCATTGTCACATACAACCAATGAATAATCTATGAATAAATAATCACTTGTTATTGTTTGTGATGGGAATGTGTACATATTTTGAGGAGTTTTGCTAATAAAGTGTTAAGCAAAAGATGACTTATTTTCATCATAACCATACAGTCAGACATGCTAATAATGATTACTAAATTCTCTTTTTATTACTAATTTCAAGTGCAAATTATGCCAAATATTCCTAACTGCCTGAATTTGGGGTTTGACTTTCTGCTTCATAGAGGGAGTCATTATAATACTTGACGTGTAGAGAAGGTATGTTAATACTGCATATCTTCAGTATAGGTGGCCTTGTGCTATAGCTCTGCTGTTGTGTGTATATGTTCAGACCTGAACCTTCCACGTATGATTGTACCGGTACATATGTCATAAGGTAGCTCTATGTACAGTGAAGAACCACCGTATGATAAATATTGTTTCCTTTGCCCAGGTTTCTCGGTGCAACGAGTGACTGCCTTCATTCAGAAGTTTGTGAGTGGGGCCAAGTTGACCGAAGACAACAACACTGAGCTGTGCTACCAGTTGCCAGAAGAGGCGGCTCACAGCGGGGACTTCGAGGCCTTGTTCTGCCAACTTGAGCGCAGCCACTTTGACCTCGGCATCTCCAGCTTCGGCATCTCCGACACCAGTCTGGAGGAGGTACGACACACCACTGATGGTTTTGTTAGGAAGAGCAGGCTTAGCAATTCCTTTGTAGGGGCATGGATGGCCCAGTCATCTGAGGCATGGCAATTAAATCACATTATGTTTTCAAACCCCAGAATTGTCTCAGATTATGTTTCTTGGTTTGTCAGCGGGTTTCGTGTAAAGACCTGCGTCATTTCAAGCTCTCCCATATCATGCTGACATGACATGTTATAATACTTTTCTAAGCAGCATTTAGACCCGTGAAGATCCGGCTAGAATAGGTCTTCAGCAACCATTGCTTGCCGTAAAAGGCGACTATGCTTGTTGTGAGAGGCGACTAACGGGATGGGGTGGTCAGGCTCGCTGACTTGGTTGATGGATGTCATCGATCCCAATTGTGTGGATCGATGTTCATGATATCAATCACTGGATTGTCTGGTCCAGACTCGATTATTTACAGACTGACGTCATATAGCTGGAATATTGCTGAGTGCGGCGTTAAACAACCAACTAAGCAGCATTTAACTGAACTCACTCACTCACTATGTCACGTTAACTTTGCTTTGATCTATGCAGTTTACTATGATGGGGTGCACAAACTATGCAATGAATGCTATCAATGAGTGTAGCTTGGATATGTGTATCAGTATTAGGGAATGACAACCGCCGCCAATACCATAACTGGATCAAATGAATTCTTGCCCTATTCTTACACAAACATGTATTTTGATTCCAAGATTGGAGGGGAAATATTGTAGTTTGATTGTGTATTGTTGCGTCCAGGTGTTCCTGAAGGTGGCGGAGGAGAGTGGTGTGGACTGCCCCACAGACGAGATGACTCGCAAGCAGCTGGAACAGGTCTATGATGGTGTGTACCTGTACTCACACACTAGCTCTACTATTTGTCACAAGTGTTCAGATCTAGCTCTTCAGCAACCCATGCTCACCAGAAAATGCAACTATGCTTTTCGGAAGAGGCGACTAATGGGATAGGGTGGTCAGACTTGCTGACTTGGTTGATGCATGTCATCGTATCCCAATTGCGTGGATTGATGCTCATGATGTCAATCACTGGATTGTCTGCTCCAGACTCAATTATTTACAGTCAGCCGTCATATAGCTGGAATATTGTGAGAGTGCGGCGTTAAGCAACAATCAAACAAATCATATCTATGATGGACTGTACCTGTACTTACACACTAGCTCTTTTGTAGGAGGCAAATACCCACGGCCAGTGTCCCGTCTGAGTTTCCGCAAGAAGAAGTTTGGCATCTTCCCCACCAAACAGGGAGTGAACCGCGTCAACAGCACCACCGACCTGATGGAGGACAGTGACCTTGAAATGACAGGTGAGCCGGGGTCCAGTGCTTCTCCTTGCACGGCTATGATGGAATGTTCCTGATAATGCGATGACCAGCACTCATGGTTGTACCATTGTATGCGGTACATATATTTGCTTTTTTCCTGGAGCAGTATTGACCTAGCTATGGCTAATATATCAAGAAGAAAGAACATATACTCAACCCTCTCTTTGTTATTCCATATTTTAATGACTTAACTTCATCATGTAACAACTGTCCCTATACTAGCACCTGCCTATACCTCTAGGGGCAAACCACTTACTTCTTATTGTTTGTCTCACTGTTGGGATTCAAGGGTTGTATAGGCCCTAAGTACCTATATGATTGTCTCACTGTTGGGATTCAAGGGTTGTATAGGCCCTAAGTACCTATATGATTGTCTTACTGTTGGGATTCAAGGGTTGTATAGGCCCTAAGTACCTATATGATTGTCTTACTGTTGGGATTCAAGGGGTGTATAGGCCCCAAGTACCTATATGATTGTCTTACTGTTGGGATTCAAGGGTTGTATAGGCCCCAAGTCCCCATGATTGTCTCACTGTTGGGATTCAAGGGTTGTATAGGCCCTAAGTACCTATATGATTGTCTTACTGTTGGGATTCAAGGGTTGTATAGGCCCTAAGTACCTATATGATTGTCTTACTGTTGGAATTCAAGGGTTGTATAGGCCCCAAGTCCCCATGATTGTCTCACTGTTGGGATTCAAGGGTTGTATAGGCCCCAAGTATCCCATATTGTCTTACTGTTGGGATTCAAGGGTTGTATAGGCCCCAAGTCCCCATGATTGTCTCACTGTTGGGATTCAAGAGTTGTATAGGCCCCATGTATCTCATATTGTCTTACTGTTGGGATTCAAGGGTTGTATAGGCCCCAAGTCCCCATGATTGTCTCACTGTTGGGATTCAAGGGTTGTATAGGCCCCAAGTCCCCATGATTGTCTCACTGTTGGGATTCAAGGGTTGTATAGGCCCTAAGTATCCCATGATTGTCTCACTGTTGGGATTCAAGAGTGGTATAGGCCCCAAGTCCCCATGATTGTCTCACTGTTGGGATTCAAGGGTTGTATAGGCCCCAAGTCCCCATGATTGTCTCACTGTTGGGATTCAAGGGTTGTATAGGCCCCAAGTCCCCATGATTGTCTTACTGTTGGGATTCAAGGGTTGTATAGGCCCTAAGTCCCCATGATTGTCTCACTGTTGGGATTCAAGGGTTGTATAGGCCCCAAGTCCCCATGATTGTCTCACTGTTGGGATTCAAGGGTTGTATAGGCCCCAAGTATCCCATATTGTCTTACTGTTGGGATTCAAGGGTTGTATAGGCCCCAAGTCCCCATGATTGTCTCACTGTTGGGATTCAAGAGTTGTATAGGCCCCATGTATCTCATATTGTCTTACTGTTGGGATTCAAGGGTTGTATAGGCCCCAAGTCCCCATGATTGTCTCACTGTTGGGATTCAAGGGTTGTATAGGCCCCAAGTATCCCATATTGTCTCACTGTTGGGATTCAAGGGTTGTATAGGCCCCAAGTCCCCATGATTGTCTCACTGTTGGGATTCAAGGGTTGTATAGGCCCTAAGTATCCCATGATTGTCTCACTGTTGGGATTCAAGGGTTGTATAGGCCCCAAGTCCCCATGATTGTCTCACTGTTGGGATTCAAGGGTTGTATAGGCCCCAAGTATCCCATATTGTCTTACTGTTGGGATTCAAGGGTTGTATAGGCCCCAAGTCCCCATGATTGTCTCACTGTTGGGATTCAAGAGTTGTATAGGCCCCATGTATCTCATATTGTCTTACTGTTGGGATTCAAGGGTTGTATAGGCCCCAAGTCCCCATGATTGTCTCACTGTTGGGATTCAAGGGTTGTATAGGCCCCAAGTATCCCATATTGTCTCACTGTTGGGATTCAAGGGTTGTATAGGCCCCAAGTATCCCATATTGTCTCACTGTTGGGATTCAAGGGTTGTATAGGCCCCAAGTCCCCATGATTGTCTCACTGTTGGGATTCAAGGGTTGTATAGGCCCTAAGTATCCCATGATTGTCTCACTGTTGGGATTCAAGGGTTGTATAGGCCCCAAGTCCCCATGATTGTCTCACTGTTGGGATTCAAGGGTTGTATAGGCCCCAAGTCCCCATGATTGTCTCACTGTTGGGATTCAAGGGTTGTATAGGCCCTAAGTCCCCACGATTGTCTCACTGTTGGGATTCAAGGGTTGTATAGGCCCCAAGTATCCCATATTGTCTCACTGTTGGGATTCAAGGGTTGTATAGGCCCTAAGTACCTATATGATTGTCTAACTGTTGAGATTCAAGGGTTGTATAGGCCCCAAGTCCCCATGATTGTCTCACTGTTGGGATTCAAGGGTTGTATAGGCCCCAAGTCCCCATGATTGTCTCACTGTTGGGATTCAAGGGTTGTATAGGCCCCAAGTCCCCATGATTGTCTCACTGTTGGGATTCAAGGGTTGTATAGGCCCCAAGTATCCCATATTGTCTTACTGTTGGGATTCAAGGGTTGTATAGGCCCCAAGTCCCCATGATTGTCTCACTGTTGGGATTCAAGAGTTGTATAGGCCCCATGTATCTCATATTGTCTTACTGTTGGGATTCAAGGGTTGTATAGGCCCCAAGTCCCCATGATTGTCTCACTGTTGGGACTCAAGGGTTGTATAGGCCCCAAGTCCCCATGATTGTCTCACTGTTGGGATTCAAGGGTTGTATAGGCCCCGAGTCCCCATGATTGTCTCACTGTTGGGATTCAAGGGTTGTATAGGCCCCAAGTCCCCATGATTGTCTCACTGTTGGGATTCAAGAGTTGTATAGGCCCCAAGTCCCCATGATTGTCTCACTGTTGGGGTTCAAGGGTTGTATAGGCCCTAAGTCCCCATGATTGTCTCACTGTTGGGATTCAAGAGTTGTATAGGCCCTAAGTATCCCATATTGTCTCACTGTTGGGATTCAAGGGTTGTATAGGCCCCAAGTCCCCATGATTGTCTCACTGTTGGGATTCAAGGGTTGTATAGGCCCCAAGTATCCCATATTGTCTTACTGTTGGGATTCAAGGGTTGTATAGGCCCCAAGTCCCCATGATTGTCTCACTGTTGGGATTCAAGGGTTGTATAGGCCCCAAGTCCCCATGATTGTCTCACTGTTGGGATTCAAGGGTTGTATAGGCCCCAAGTCCCTATGACTGTCTTACTGTTGGGATTCAAGGGTTGTATAGGCCCCAAGTCCCCATGATTGTCTTACTGTTGGGATTCAAGGGTTGAATAGGCCCCAAGTCCCCATGATTGTCTCACTGTTGGGATTCAAGGGTTGTATAGGCCCCAAGTCCCTATGATTGTCTTACTGTTGGCATTCAAGGGTTGTATAGGCCCCAAGTCCCCATGATTGTCTCACTGTTGGGATTCAAGGGGACAATATATCTGCAGAGACCCTGCATTGTTTGACTTTGGGCATTCTGGGGTAGATTGTCCCCAGTACTTAATTATTCTCTCCCAGTCCTAGACTAGTTTATAGTGGTGAGGTAGCCAAGTGGACAATGCAATATTTTTCATCACACCTCAGCCTATTCTTGGGCTTCCCATCTGTGAGATTGCTGGAACATTGTGTTAAAACTGAAAATACTGTAAAACCTACTTCACTCCTCTCTGTATTGTGCTTCTAAAGTTATTGTTTCACATTCTTGTTATTGTGTCCTGTTGAAGCTCACACACAGAGAATGAAAAGTAAGTGAAAATTAACTATCCTTAGGTGTCAATTGTTCATTCTGTGTTTTTCATTGTGTTTAGATCAAGGTGTCAGTTTATTACCCCGTAAGTTGTTTGTTGTCCTCGTGCTTTGCCCTTTACGGTGCATGACCATTAAATAAACAAACAATGTTTGTTTAAGTTTTTGCCTGTTACGGGGTCCGTCCTCTCAGTGCATGACTGTGTATAAGCAAATATTGATGTAAATTGCATGGAAAATATTCACTATGTGGCCACGTGGGCTTTCTGACCTTTTGAATGACAATCAGCTTTCATTACAAATGAGGGGCGGTCAGGTAGCCCAGTGGTCAAAGCGTTCGCTCGTCACGCCTAAGACCCGAGTCGGATTCCCGACATGGGTACAATGTGTGAAGCCCATTTCTGGTGTCCCCCGCCATGATATTGCTGGAATATTGCTAAAAGCGGCGTGAAACCAAACTCACTCACTCACTCACTCACTCACTCATTACAAATGATCTTATGGCTTTATTGGCATATTTATTAGTTTTTCTTTTTATTAGTATTATACAATGTTATACTCACAGTTCTTCATCCCATAGAAGACTTTTCATCCTGTAATGTTCATTGGGTATGGTATCTTGCTTCCTTGCTGTCAGTCATGAACTTTCTTCATCGCTACTTATGCTTTCCCACGCTTGCACTGCAGTGCCTGCCTTTGTCTGCAGTGCCCTGCATGCTGCACAACATACAATGTCACTTGATAAGGCGATCCCGATGTTTTGTCAAAAGCTCAATGAAATCAGCTTTAGAAATTGGCACTAGTCCTATAGTCCTTGCCAAACTGCCCAATAGTTAAGGTATGAAAAGGACTAGTAGAAATTTGCCATTTGCTATATGTTATCATTATAAGGACTAGTGGACTTAAACAGTTAGTTTTTAATGCTGGAAATGGATATCAAATATACTACTCAAAAGATGTTGAGGACCACCCAGTTCTTTCACACAATCAGGTGTTCCTTAACTTCTTTTGAATAGTATATCTATTATGTTTCTAACCCTAAAAGTGTAATATGGCAGGGAAGTACCAGTGATAATGTCATTTAACATTTTGTTAGTTTCATTGAACTTTTGACTGAATCCTTAACGATGGATGCAATCAGACTTGAGATGAATGCACTCTGCCCTGCTTGTGAAGCTGCCTTGTTTGTGTATGTAGAGGATGGTAGTCGCAGCCAGGAAGCGATTTCTGCTCCATTGTTCTCACATTTAGACTAGTGTATGTACCTACCTGCCCTGAAGCAGTGAGATTAGTGTTACATTTTGTTGGTAATCCTGTTCTGCAGCTGATGATGTGAGGTAAGATATGGTGTGTTTGGGTTGCTCCTGATATATATATTGCTGCTTTTTAGTTTTCAGTGGGCCTGACACAGGGGATTCTGGTTTAGAATAGGTCCCCAGCAACCTGTGCTGGTCAAAAGGTGACCAAATGGATTGGGTGGGCAGTCTCGAGGACTTGGTTGAGAGCATGTCCTTTTACCCTGACAGCGTGGATCGTTGTTCACAATATCAATCACTGGATTGTTTGGTCCAGACTCACAATACCAGAGCCGATGTCACATAGCTGGAATATTGCTGAGTGAGGCGTTTAGCAACAAGAAAACAAACAAAACATTCAAACCACTGTTAAGGCGTGGAAACAACCACCTCTCACCCAGTGTCGACCTTCCATTGCCTCGTATATCTAGTCCTGTAGACCATGTTGGGCTGGAATCTCATGGCCCAGTCATATGCAGAGTTGTGTCCCTTAGGTGTACCAGAATCCTATGATTGACAAATCGAATCGCTCAAATTCTTCTTAATTATGTTTCTGGGTTTGTCTGTTCCATTCCCGTACTTTTTTGGAATTCTTGAAAGTGGTAAACGTCTTCAACTTCCCTCCTACATCAACCTGACGCACAATACTGTTCAAAGTGGCATTAAACCTGACATCCAGGATTCCCAACTTGGACATATACCTGTGTGAGGGTGAAGATCTGTCTCCACACACTTCTGCTCCTTGTTTCAGATGAGACATCGGAAACGGCTAGTGACCCAGGTTTCTGTGCCGAGTCAGAGACGAAGCTGTCAGGATGGAACCTCAAACGTCGACAGTTCTGGGCACTCTTCCTCAAGCGTTTCCACCACGTCCGCCGCAGTAAGAAGGGATTTGTGTGTGAGGTTGGTAGATGCAGCCCTGTCAGTGTGTTATTGTTGTCCAGTTCGGAGTCTGTTAGTCAGGCAGTCCTGCCCAATCGTAATTTGTCATATTACTCAGAAAAAGAATTAGGTTAGGGACTCATATTTTACTATAAGTGGTGGGTTGGGTGGGGTTGAGTGGTGGTCTCATATTCGCAGATCCTCCCATTTTGTGTAACACTTTTTCATGCCCCCTGCCCACGACAAATATAAAAGAAAAGATAAATGAACACTCCCTAATGTTTTTATCCTCGTATAGTTGTGATACATTTTGGTGCCCCAACCCCACACCCCCCCCCCCCCCCCCCCCCCCTTTCATCTTTTGCTGACCAGTCCCTTACCATCAACATTTTCAGATCCCAGTTGAAGGAAGACATAATTAATACCTGTTTGAAATAATGAGACGTGTCTGTTATTGCAATCAATATTGTCCTTATTATGGGGTGTTTTGCAAAGGCTAATTAAATTAGAAAAAAATCTGTCATGTCTTTTGTTTCCAATAATATTTATGAGATGGCATGTGGGACAAAACAGTTAAATGTGGGAGAAGTGTTTTGATAAATAATGCAATGAGACACAAACTCTGTTGTTCCAGATCATCCTGCCGGCGGGGTTTGTGTGCCTGGCCATGGTGTTCGCCCTCATCCTGCCCCCCTTCCAGGAGGAGCCCGCCCTGGAGCTGCACCCCTGGCTCTATGTGCCCCAGAAGGGCGACGCCCACCTCTACATGTTCTATAGGTGTGTACACACATGGACACATGTAGCTCCTCATGAGGGGTTGACAACTCAGTTCACTTCTACACAAAATACATATCTGACAGGCGGCTATGTTAAAAATATAAGAAGACTTACATGATGAGATCAAAGTTTGGTTTGCCAATAATGAATTTGAAACAAAATCTTGAAGAAAATGTGAGTCCCTTGTTTCAGATACATAATCCTATAACGGGTACAGAAGCACTTTAGGTGTAAGCATATTGGGAGTCTTAGCGAGTTTAATGAAATTATTTCAAACATTGCTTTGTGTAACTAATATTATGATGTATATCAATGTAGCACATAATGATTATTTAATGAAACAAAGACAGTGTTTCTGTGTTAAGCGTGGCATTTGTTACAATGCCTGCACCTATCTTTAACTTGGGCAACAAGCCATGGAGCCTCGTCCCTCTGTGACACAGTGTCTTGACTTGCAGTAATGACGACCCTGGTACGACCCTCGCAGACAAGCTGGAGAACACACTTCTGTCCAAGCCCTATCTAGGAACAAGATGTATGAACTCATCGGTCTATCACATCAGGTAAACAATGTCGACTGTTTCCCCTGGTCATAACGAAGGTGGTGAACGATCAAAACACAAGGATTTTTCTCATTTAAAACTAGAAAATTGACTTAAGGTAACAGGATCTAATATATTGGCATTCAGACCAATTATAATTTTGCAAACTCTGCTTTGTTTTCTGGCACCTTGATTGCATTGATGAACAGAAACATAAAATATGAAAACAAATACAAAGATGAAAGAAAGTTGATGCAGTGTAAAGATTTATTGCAAACCAATTGTCCTGACTACAGCCTTTTTCAGTCTGGTTTGATGGTGTGTTGTTCTAGTGGCATGCCGTGTGAGCCATCATCAGCCACAGGAAAGTGGACTGCGCGACCCAAACTGACCGGCAACCTGTCCATAGACTCCCCCTCCTGTTCCTGTGCAACTGGAATCCAGAAATGTCCACCAGGTAAAGCTACTCTGTTTGTGGGCTGTCTGAGGCGCTTCACTTCACTGTGCAGAGTTGCCTCCCTTGTTCATGCCAGATTCCTATAATTGTAGGTTTTAATCCAAGATTAGCCCTGATTATAATTCTTCTTGGTTCATCAGCATCATACTTGTCATGTGAGTGGTAAACAACTGCATCAGTGTGCGCTTTCCTACCACATTAAGCGCATACCGTGAATGGACTGAAATAACTGAAGCTATGTTAACCAAAACTCACTCACTTAATCCACTGGCATCAATTTGTTGCTTAGTTCGTTATAACTAGATCACACCTGACAAAAACAAATTCAGCACTTTGTTTTTAAAAAAAACACCACTCTTTTTTTCTCCATGTACTAAGAGTGAATGAGTATGGTTTTACACCACTTGTAGCAATATTCACGCAAAATCGTTTGTATTCATTTATGGTAAACTGTGTTCAATTGCTTGGTCGTTTGGACCATCCAATCAGTCTTTGATTATTTCAATTAATCGGAACGCTAAAACTCTGTATGTTCAGTCACCACATCAGTGCAGGAATAAACACTGTCTCCATGTACCTGTCTACAAAACATCGCCACCGTGCTGGTCTTCCAATGCATCTCTGGGGCAGTAGTTAGCTTAGTGGTTGTACATTCACTCATCACGTTGATCTGAGTTTGGCTCCTTACATGGGTATGATGTGAGAAGCCCATTCTTTGTGTCCCCCAATAGGATATTCCTGGCCATGAAGTGTCACACACCTTGCTCATTGCATCTGTTACGTAATCTTTGAGTAGTCTATGACTGTCTAGACTGCCTCCATGGTCTAGTGGATATAGCGTCTACCTGGAGAGCAGAACGTCAGTGGTTTCGATACCCGCCAGCATCATAACCAAAGATGGTAGTTGTTGTTACCCTGCCTGCTGCTTGGCATTAAGAGCTTAAAACTCAGAGTCATTGTAATGTGTTTCAGTTAAACTAAGGCATGGTATCCCAGTGGGCCAGCACCATAAAACCGGCATTAGTCAGGCAGTAATTTTGAACATAAAGTTAAACCCCATTTCACCTCTCCTCACCTATGACTGTCTTACTTTGACCCAGGTGCTGGTGGCCCCATCCCTCCCCGGAGCTACCTGCCAACGACAGACTACCTCTACAACATGACCGGTCGCAACACCAGCGACTGGCTGGTCAAAACCATGGACCAGTACATCAAGAGAAGGTGGGTCAAGTCTTGACTTTTATGTTTCATTTCGAGGGCACGGGTGGCCCAGTCGTCTAAGGCGCTGCGATTCGCTGTGCAGAGTTGCGTCCCTTTGGGCACACCAGAAACCTATGATTGTGGGTTCGAATCCCGCTTCGCCCTGATTATGTTTCTAGGTTTGTCAGCACCATACCCGTGCTTGTGGGTTTCACCGAAGTGGTAAACATCTGAGACCTGCATCACTTCAGGCTTTCCTCCCACATTAAGCTGACACGCCGTGATGTAACTGGAATACTGTTAAAACCGGCGTTAAAACCAACTCACTCACTCACTCACTCACTCACTCACTCACTATGTTTCATTTCAACACTGCATAACACTCTGTTTATCTGCTTAGGCTGTTGAAGGATAGATGACCCTTTATGTACTCCTAGTCCTGTGTGTTTCATCACTTTCTATGTCACCCCATTCTGATTTATGTGTTGCTTGTAGATATGGAGGCTTCAGTTTTGGAGACAAGAATCCTGTAGCTCAGCTGAATGCTACTCAACTGTTGACTGTCATTGACCGACTCTCACGAGCAGGCAATAACGGCTCTGCTGTTGTCGATGGTAACGAGACCGTATGGCAGGACCTGGATGATTTGATCAAGAGATTTGTTCGACAGGACATTGCCAAGGTACGTCTACATCTACTGTCAATAGCCATAACATATTTTGGGAAAATGAAAACCTTTTTGATATCAGTGATACAGATGGTTTTCCTGTGAATATCCATATTCACTAGAATATACTGTATTCGACGTAGTAAGCGCCCAGCTCTAATAAGCGCCCACGGGGATTTTTTCCTAATATATTGGCCAGTGAACAATCCCAATTAGCATCCCTTTCAATTGTACACAAGATTTATTTATTTGTGTATAATATGCACTCGTGTGTTATATGCACCCTTAATTATTGGCAATTAAATTCTGGAAAAATATCTGTCATGTATAACACGCACAGACTTTTCTTTTGTATCATTTCAGGCTATCAGCATAAACCACGAAATTCAACTTTGTTTTTTTTCCCACCAAATTTTTTTTCAAATAAGAGCCCCCTATTTCTAATTTTGAGAGTGCCCTGGGCGCATATTACGTCGAATACGGTACATTTTTTTATCACACAAAGATATTTTCTTTACTGTGAAACAGTTTACCGGAATCTTTACAGTCCTTGGGGAACTGTTATTTTGCTGTGAATTGTGTTTTCGTTTCCAACTACAGACGCCATTTTACTGAAGAATTTCTGTAAGACCTAAAAAAAATGTGAGATGTACCTATGTCTTAGAACCTGCTCTTCTTGCCAGGATACGGGGGCAGAATAGGAACCCTGTAACCCATGCCTGCCATACGCTGACTGGTGTGGATCAGGTGGTTAAACTGTGTAAACTGGGTGATTGTGTGTTCTCACAGGGAAACAACTGGTTTGCCTGGCCACACTTTATTGTGTATTTTGCTGACAGGACTGAAACCTCCTTCACTAAGTCACTAGAATTTGTTATCCTGATGTCTGTTCCTTGTCTCCTGTAGGTTTGGTTCAACAACAAGGGATGGGCAGCATCCGTGGCCTATATGAACTCTCTCAACAACATCATCCTGCGCAGTTATCTCCCCTCCTCCAAGGACCCCAGTAACTTCGGCATCACCACCATCAACCATCCCCTCAACTACACCCAGGACCAGCTCAATGAGGAGACAATGTATGTGTCACGTCATGTGTTTTAGTATCCTTCCCTTAGTGAGCTGGATATTTTTCCATACCCTCTTTTTAGAATAACCTGCACTTTATGTCATTAGATAACCCAAATGGCGATTCTTGGCATATTAGAGGCTGCTTGAGATCTTGTCTATGACAAAGAAGTATGTTTTGAAGAGTTGCATCCCATGACTGTTCCAGGATTCCATGATCACAGATTCTCCCTAAATATCACCATTGGTCTGGCAGCACTGTAATTGTTCTAGTTGTTTTCATAAAAGTGATAAAAAAATGTCTATGAATTGCCTCACTTTCGGCTTCTCTTCCACAACAAGATGACACGTCATAATTCAAGAAAAACACTGTTCAGAGCAGCAGTAACCACAGCCCACTCTCTAAGGAGAACAGGTCAATGTCACTTACCTCGAAATCACAGCGATCTTTGCGCTACAACTGTCATAGCTCCCATACCCTTACACAGACCTGTGATAGTCTTAGTGCTAAGATCTCTTCAGGCCCATGCTACATCTATCAACAACTGTGTTGTCTTGACCAGACTGCCTGCTTCTAGTTTCCCTCTTTGTGACATATCAACTCCTGCTTGCAGCATGAACAGTGCCATAGATGTCCTGGTTGCCATCTGCGTCATCTTCGCCATGTCCTTCATCCCGGCCAGCTTCGTGCTGGTGCTGATCGAGGAGAGAGTGTCCAACAGCAAGCACCTGCAGTTTGTCAGCGGCATCAACCCAACCATCTACTGGGTGGCCAACTTCACCTGGGATATGGTCAGTAGCAGACACCTTGGGTTGATTTATAAAATAATATACTGCTCAAAAGATGTTAAAGAACACCTGATTTTTTCATATGACTATAGTTAGTCTATCATGGCGTGACAGATTAACTATACTCGTATGAAAGAATTGGGTGTTCTTTAACTTCATTTGAGTAGTATACATTGGATCAGTTTCATGTAACTTTTCGTATCGGGGCAGTGAGGTAGCCTTACAGTTAGGCGTTTGTTTATCTCATTGAAGTCATGGGTGTGATTCCACACTTGGATACAATGTGAGAAACTCATATTGTCCTTGAAATATTGCAGGTGTATGCTAAAAGCGGTGTAAAACCCCAACTCACTCACTCACTGACATAGATTGCCCTTGGTTTTTTGGGGGAAATCTGATTTCCAAGAAGTTGTAAATAATATAAGAAGGAAAAGCTGCTTCAGGATATGACGGTGATAGTGCTGGGCCTCACATCCCAGGCTGACTGTAATGAAATAAGGATGTTATGTATGTGGGTAAAAGTATCTATTTTATCACATAAATTTTTAGTTAATTTCATCAATTATCCACATCAATTCTGGCTGTAAGATACATTGTAAAGTTACTGTTTGTTTCAGATGAACTACCTGATTCCTGCCCTGCTGTGTTTTATAATATTTCTGGCCTTCAACAAGGAGGCCTACGTTGGCCCCGGCCATGCTCCCTGCCTCGTGGCTCTACTCTTCCTCTATGGGTAAGCATGACATCCGGTTTGTCCCCTGTTGATGGTGGCCCACTGAAGCCCTAGGAGAGGGACCATGTGAAACCCAGGTTAGATAAGGTCCCCAGCACTGGATAGCTTAGTATAGGAATGGACTATATTGGATCAGGGGGTCAGTCGTTGTGATTTGGTTGATTGTATATCATCATTGCCCTACAACATGGGACGAGTGCTCAAAATACAAACCAGTTTATTATCCACAGGGTTAGAAATAACTGCGTTCTAAAAATTGCATGTGCATTAGTGCAAATATCACTTCTCGTGCTCCAGTGCATTAGTGCAAATATCACTTCTCGTGCTCCAGTGCATTAGTGCAAATATCATTTCTCGTGCTCCAGTGCATTAGTGCAAATATCACTTCTCGTGCTCCAGTGCATTAGTGCAAATATCATTTCTCGTGCTCCAGTGCATTAGTGCAAATATCACTTCTCGTGCTCCAATGCATTAGTGCAAATATCACTTCTCGTGCTCCAATGCATTAGTGCAAATATCACTTCTCGTGCTCCAATGCATTAGTACAAATATCACTTCTCGTGCTCCAATGCATTAGTGCAAATATCACTTCTCGTGCTCCAGTGCATTAGTGCAAATATCACTTCTCGTGCTCCAATGCATTAGTGCAAATATCACTTCTCGTGCTCCAGTGCATTATTGTTGACGTCATTCGAATCTCACTGTGATGTAAGGATGGAATGACATCACCCTAGAAACAAAGTCACAGCTGAGGATTGTAGACGTCATTCAACAACTTGTGGTATACTAGGACAGTGGTGGTGATCCAGGGGTCCGGAAAATTTAAAATCCCAATCGGACATTTGCATTTAGGCCACGCCCCCTTCAAATAGCGTATTTTAGTACGACTTTTCACACACATTACAAGTTTACGTATGATGAATTATGAATTGTTTCAATTTAAATTGTTTAATTCACCGGACAATTAATAACAAATAATATCATTTTAGATTTACATGGAAAACATACGTTTGTTTCTTTTATAATAATGATCTGTTAACGTAGTGAACGGTCTAATTAATATTCATGAGTTATATTCATGAGTCTGCTCAAGTGTACGCGTTGTAACATTTGGATCGAGACTATTATCCCATATTTGGTTATCACATGACCTCACGGGAATTTATTTTTTTTAAACTAAAGATTTTTTTAAAAACAAGTCAGATAATTTAATCACAAATACAAAAATATCGTTGATAGCAATAGTTATTTGAATACTTTTTTCATCTGTACTTATTTATTGACCATAAAAAAATTGTATATCGATCGTCCGAGAAAGCAAAATGGCAGTCAATCAAGATTCAATATACGACTAGCTACTGAAAACAATAAAATCTGCAAATCCTCATTGTATGTCAACCAAGTGAAAGTCGTTAGCCACGACTTACAAAATGATCGTCCAGACTTTGAGGGTTTGGCAGATCCGCTCGACTGATCTGCATCGGTCGACTGGCTGTCGTCACGCTTTCGCTTCTTGTCTGAGGTTACGTATCGTAGCATTGTGAGGATAATGAGGTACATCGATGATGCAAGGTATTAATGTACAGTTGTAAACACCTTTCACTCAAATTAACAAGATGTTCTCAGTAATTAATCCGCGATTAATCAGTGTCAACTCAGTTTATTGCCTATTACTGTGATTGACCGATTGGACTATCATGTAGGTACGATGTATTTACACCAATCAAAACAAACAAAGCTTGTCAGTGTAGTTAATCTTCATTGTGTTGCAACTGCAGACAGAAACTGCTCAGTCCTAACTGTTGATCATGTCCGGTCAAAATTTAAGAATGTCCGGACAATACTTTTTAAAATGTCCGGTAAGCAATATTTTAAAACGGACATTTGAGATTCCCAATCGGACATGTCCGGCGCATATGACGGTTTCCGGACCCCTGTGGTGATCACTGCATTTTTAGTAAAGGAGAGCTAAAAAGGATTAAGAAATAATGGGTAGTAAAGAAAATATTACACTGGCATTGTGTAATACTGATTTTAAGAAACTTATGTAAGAATAGATGTATTACCCTTGCTCTCTGAATTCTGACACTTGTTTTGTAAAACCAGTATGACACACATGCTCGTATAATAAATAATCTCTATGCTTTGTATGAGCCAGACTAGATTATTTACAGGCCACTGTGATAAGGCTGAAACTATTGTATTGCTCTCTGGGATGACAACTCTCACTCACTCACTCACTCACTCACTCACTCACTCACTCAGTGGGAAACAACATTCACTTACTTACTTTTCTGGATCAGATTTAGCTATGCAGGCTCATTGAAATTACTCTGACAAATAGTTATCTATGACGGTCTGATCCTTCATTTGTAATCTATGACATTCTGATCCTTCATTTGTAATCTATGACGGTCTGATCCTTCATTTGTAATCTATGAAACTCTGATCCTTCATTTGTAATCTATGACGGTCTGATCCTTCATTTGTAATCTATGAAACTCTGATCCTTCATTTGTAATCTATGACGGTCTGATCCTTCATTTGTAATCTATGACACTCTGATCCTTCATTTGTAATCTATGACGGTCTGATCCTTCATTTGTAATCTATGACATTCTGATCCTTCATTTGTAATCTATGACACTCTGATCCTTCATTTGTAATCTATGAAACTCTGATCCTTCATTTGTAATCTATGACATTCTGATCCTTCATTTGTAATCTATGACACTCTGATCCTTCATTTGTAATCTATGACACTCTGATCCTTCATTTGTAATCTATGACATTCTGATCCTTCATTTGTAATCTATGAAACTCTGATCCTTCATTTGTAATCTATGAAACTCTGATCCTTCATTTGTAATCTATGACACTCTGATCCTTCATTTGTAATCTATGACATTCTGATCCTTCATTTGTAATCTATGAAACTCTGATCCTTCATTTGTAATCTATGACATTCTGATCCTTCATTTGTAATCTATGAAACTCTGATCCTTCATTTGTAATCTATGACACTCTGATCCTTCATTTGTAATCTATGACACTCTGATCCTTCATTTGTAATCTATGAAACTCTGATCCTTCATTTGTAATCTATGACATTCTGATCCTTCATTTGTAATCTATGAAACTCTGATCCTTCATTTGTAATCTATGACACTCTGATCCTTCATTTGTAATCTATGACACTCTGATCCTTCATTTGTAATCTATGACATTCTGATCCTTCATTTGTAATCTATGAAACTCTGATCCTTCATTTGTAATCTATGACACTCTGATCCTTCATTTGTAATCTATGACACTCTGATCCTTCATTTGTAATCTATGACATTCTGATCCTTCATTTGTAATCTATGATACTCTGATCCTTCATTTGTAATCTATGACACTCTGATCCTTCATTTGTAATCTATGACACTCTGATCCTTCATTTGTAATCTATGACATTCTGATCCTTCATTTGTAATCTATGACACTCTGATCCTTCATTTGTAATCTATGACGGTCTGATCCTTCATTTGTAATCTATGACATTCTGATCCTTCATTTGTAATCTATGACACTCTGATCCTTCATTTGTAATCTATGAAACTCTGATCCTTCATTTGTAATCTATGACATTCTGATCCTTCATTTGTAATCTATGACACTCTGATCCTTCATTTGTAATCTATGACACTCTGATCCTTCATTTGTAATCTATGACATTCTGATCCTTCATTTGTAATCTATGAAACTCTGATCCTTCATTTGTAATCTATGAAACTCTGATCCTTCATTTGTAATCTATGACACTCTGATCCTTCATTTGTAATCTATGACATTCTGATCCTTCATTTGTAATCTATGAAACTCTGATCCTTCATTTGTAATCTATGACATTCTGATCCTTCATTTGTAATCTATGAAACTCTGATCCTTCATTTGTAATCTATGACACTCTGATCCTTCATTTGTAATCTATGACACTCTGATCCTTCATTTGTAATCTATGAAACTCTGATCCTTCATTTGTAATCTATGACATTCTGATCCTTCATTTGTAATCTATGAAACTCTGATCCTTCATTTGTAATCTATGACACTCTGATCCTTCATTTGTAATCTATGACACTCTGATCCTTCATTTGTAATCTATGACATTCTGATCCTTCATTTGTAATCTATGAAACTCTGATCCTTCATTTGTAATCTATGACACTCTGATCCTTCATTTGTAATCTATGACACTCTGATCCTTCATTTGTAATCTATGACATTCTGATCCTTCATTTGTAATCTATGATACTCTGATCCTTCATTTGTAATCTATGACACTCTGATCCTTCATTTGTAATCTATGACACTCTGATCCTTCATTTGTAATCTATGACATTCTGATCCTTCATTTGTAATCTATGAAACTCTGATCCTTCATTTGTAATCTATGACACTCTGATCCTTCATTTGTAATCTATGACATTCTGATCCTTCATTTGTAATCTATGAAACTCTGATCCTTCATTTGTAATCTATGACATTCTGATCCTTCATTTGTAATCTATGAAACTCTGATCCTTCATTTGTAATCTATGACACTCTGATCCTTCATTTGTAATCTATGACACTCTGATCCTTCATTTGTAATCTATGAAACTCTGATCCTTCATTTGTAATCTATGAAACTCTGATCCTTCATTTGTAATCTATGACGGTCTGATCCTTCATTTGTAATCTATGACATTCTGATCCTTCATTTGTAATCTATGACACTCTGATCCTTCATTTGTAATCTATGAAACTCTGATCCTTCATTTGTAATCTATGACATTCTGATCCTTCATTTGTAATCTATGACACTCTGATCCTTCATTTGTAATCTATGACATTCTGATCCTTCATTTGTAATCTATGACATTCTGATCCTTCATTTGTAATCTATGAAACTCTGATCCTTCATTTGTAATCTATGAAACTCTGATCCTTCATTTGTAATCTATGACACTCTGATCCTTCATTTGTAATCTATGACATTCTGATCCTTCATTTGTAATCTATGAAACTCTGATCCTTCATTTGTAATCTATGACATTCTGATCCTTCATTTGTAATCTATGAAACTCTGATCCTTCATTTGTAATCTATGACACTCTGATCCTTCATTTGTAATCTATGACACTCTGATCCTTCATTTGTAATCTATGAAACTCTGATCCTTCATTTGTAATCTATGACATTCTGATCCTTCATTTGTAATCTATGACATTCTGATCCTTCATTTGTAATCTATGACACTCTGATCCTTCATTTGTAATCTATGACACTCTGATCCTTCATTTGTAATCTATGAAACTCTGATCCTTCATTTGTAATCTATGACATTCTGATCCTTCATTTGTAATCTATGACGGTCTGATGCTTCATTTGTAATCTATGACACTCTGATCCTTCATTTGTAATCTATGACACTCTGATCCTTCATTTGTAATCTATGACATTCTGATCCTTCATTTGTAATCTATGACACTCTGATCCTTCATTTGTAATCTATGACACTCTGATCCTTCATTTGTAATCTATGACATTCTGATCCTTCATTTGTAATCTATGACACTCTGATCCTTCATTTGTAATCTATGACACTCTGATCCTTCATTTGTAATCTATGATACTCTGATACTTCATTTGTAATCTATGACATTCTGATCCTTCATTTGTAATCTATGACGGTCTGATCCTTCATTTGTAATCTATGACACTCTGATCCTTCATTTGTAATCATTGGATGGGAAGCTCTATTCACCCATCTGACAAATTGTTTGGTACAGATGTAACATCTTTGCCATGTGGTTACAGGTTTGCTATCATCCCGCTGATGTATCCGTTTGCCCGGCTGTTCTCGGTGCCAAGTTCAGCCTTTGTTGCACTGTCATGTGTGAATGTGTTCCTGGGAACTGTGTCAACGCTGGCAACATTTATCTTGGAGGTGTTCGAGCAGGACGACAAAGTGAGTTCAGGCAATTTGGGTCTCAACACTACCATAGCTAGTTATTTTGGCGCAACTTGTAGAAAAGGACGAAAAAATATGTTTCCTGACCGACCTTGTAATGATGCCACAGCTTTTACTAGTATCTGGGTTTTATGCATGCAGTGTAAATTTCATGTGCTTTCCTAAAGAAAAGGCTAGTCATTATCTTCATTTGACAAGAGACTTCTAATTATATTGTTTTTAAAAATGAACCTATCTCACACTATGCATTTTATCCTTCTTCTTCGATCATGGTGTAGAAACGATCCCGAAACAAGTTTGCAGCTTCAAAAGGGGCGGTCGGGTAGCCTAGTGGTTAAAGCATTCGCTCGTTACGCTGAAGACCCGGGTTCGATTCCCGACATGGGTACAATGTGTGAAGCCCATTTCTGGTGTCCCCCCGCCGTGATGTTGCTGGAATATTGCTAAAAGCGGCGTAAAACCATACTCACTCACTCCAGCTTCAAAGAACACCTCACCCAAAGTCTGTCCTATGTCTCTGTCATTAATCCTCATCTCCGTTGTGTCTAATGGAGTGATTGGCAGGCGTTCCACAATGTTTTTACGTTTTCAAGAATTATTTACATGCATAAGATATCATGAAGATCAGATTGTTAATGCACCGGTCACGTGATGCATTCTATAGGGAAATGGTTGCATGTACACTGTTCTTTCTGCGGAACTCGGAACACCACATTGTCTGTCTGCAATACAGAACACGATGTTTTTGGTTTTTGAATGTGTGGAGCTTTGACCTTGTGTTTGGCAAGACTGCTGTAGGCTGATTTCCGTATCACGTATCAGAATTTTCTCTAATTTGTAATCAAACCTGCTCATTCTTGAATTCGAACAGACTGACCTAATGCGAACCTTTCGGTGCACTTTATGTGTTTTGATTGATTGTATGGATATGCTGCTGCAGCCACGGCGATGAGACTCACCAGGAGAAAAGGGATCTTATGGGTGCTGGGATACAATTATGCTATGACTTCATAAAGACATTTGGTGTCAACTTAATTGTGATTTTCACCCATAAGGTCACTTATCTCATGGTTGGTCACATATGTTTTTCACATCACAGTGACCATGTCACTAGCTTTCGGTAGGGCTTTGATGACTGCATGTGAAACCGTTCACACCGTTTTGATATCATTTCCACACCCTGATCAAAGATGGATGAAATGCATAGTGTAAGATAGGATAAGTATTATAAATGTACTATTTACTGTAAAATTTGTTAAAAAAGACACGTAATTTTCCTATCCTATTTTTTTATTTCTTAAATTGGAGACACATTTTTTTTTTTTATTTTTTTTTTTTTCAATGTTGCCCTTTGTCATCACAATGTTTTCGCAAATGGCCTATGATGGGTCACATGATGGATTTTTATATATAAATTTAGTTTATTGGGACTCACACAGTAACAAGTAAGAGCATTCAACATTGATAAACTTGTCCATAACTTACCCCTTCCCACTGCCACTGTAGGGTCTTGCGGACATAAACAACATACTGAAACAGGCATTCCTGATCATGCCTCACTACTGTCTGGGCCGGGGACTGATGGACATGACCGCCTACAAGCTGCAGGCAGATATCATCACCAGATTCGGTATGTCAGAACATCATTATTAATGACTGTTTGCACAGATGGATGTAAAGCTAACATTATTTTGTTATTACGAATTCAAAATGTTCAAATAAATATTAATTTATGACAAAATATGGGTATTGGACAGATTCTCGTACTCATCAGATTATTGAAATACTATCACAAGTAGAGGTTGCAATGGCCCCAATATTCAGCCCATCACTGAAGCAAACACTTTCCTTCCAACCCTGACTCTGACCCTGGTCCCATTCCTCTCCAACACTGACCTTCACCCAAGTCTACAACACTGAGCCTGACCCTGAACCTGTCTCTGCAACCCTGACCCTCAACAACACTGACTCTGGCCCATGTCTCTACAACACTGAGCCTGACCAAACTCTACAACACTGAGCCTGACCAAACTCTACAACACTGAGCCTGACCAAACTCTACAACACTGAGCCTGACCAAACTCTACAACACTGAGCCTGACCAAACTCTACAACACTCAGCCTGACCAAACTCTACAACCCTGAGCCTGACCAAACTCTACAACACTCAGCCTGACCAAACTCTACAACACTGAGCCTGACCCTGAACCTGTCTCTGCAACCCTGACCCTCAACAACACTGACTCTGGCCCATGTCTTCCCCTGTCCTTCCTACCCTGGCCCTGCTTCTCTTACCCTGCCTCTCCAACCCTGACCCTGACCAAACTCTACAACACTGAGCCTGACCCTGAACCTGTCTCTGCAACCCTGACCCTCAACAACACTGACTCTGGCCCATGTCTTCCCCTGTCCTTCCTACCCTGACCCTGCTTCTCTTACCCTGCCTCTCCAACGCTGACCGTGACCAAACACTACTCCAGTGACCCTGACCATATACCCACCTTTCCCACACTAACCCTGACCTTGACTCTCCAACACTGACCCTGAACCTTCCTCTAAAAGATCTGATGTAGACCTTACACTGTAATCCAACACTGTAACCCAACACTTTCCTTCCATCGTTGACCCTGCCACTCAACGTTGATCATGACCCTGACTCCGCCTCTGCCTCTCCAACATTGACCTTGACCAAACTCTACAGCACTGACCCTGACCATGAACAGCCTCTCCTTGACCCTCAACCTGCCTCTTTAACACTGACCTTGACCCCATCCCTCCAATACTGACCTTGGCGCTACCCCTCTAACACTGTAATCCAACAATTTCCTTCCAAGATTGACCCCAACCCTATCTCTCAAACACTATGTCCACAGGACATGACAACTCCATGTGATCCTAAGTTAGAATTAGACCCCAGTGACCTATGCTCGTCATGCAAAGTGACTTAATGGGTTGGGTGATCAGGCTTGGTGACTTGGGTGATAGGGTGTCAACCTGCCCTTACGGCATGGATTGTTCTTCAGAACATCAATCGCTGGGTTGCCTTGTACAGATTCAGTTATTTGCAGACTGTCGTCATATCACTGGAATATTTACAGTGAAGCATTACAAAAATTAAAAAAACAATCCTAACCAAACCCCTAACTAGTGTGCTTGTTTACCAGGTGAGACGTTGGATTACAACCTGTTTGACTGGAAAATAGTTGGTCGCAACCTGTTTGCCATGTTCGCCCTGGGTATCGTGTTCTTCATCTTCAACCTGCTCATAGAGTACAGGTTCTTCATCAAACCAAGGTGAGACCAGTGAACAAGTCAACTAGGACTTCATTCTCTGCAGCGTTTATTCCAGAAGCTGGTCAAATATGTTTTAGCTTGATCCAACTTTTCTCAGACATTCATTTAGGAATTTGTTGCAGTGAAGTGAAAGGAGAGAGTTATGTTTGTAAACCTGTGATTAGAAATGATTGAGGACTGTAACGATACCAACTTGAATGAACTTTGTTATGAAACTTCAGTTTTTACTTTGAAAAGATATGTTACAGAGTTGGGCTGGGATGGGTAATTCGGGTCCTCGGGTTGGGGTACCTAAAGGACCACCTGAACTCTGTGCTTAGTCACATGATAAATTTTTCATCACATTAACACTGAAACTCCATGGTTACACTACAAGTCGCTTATATTTGAATTTCTTTCTGACTATACACTCATTCCTTCTGACATTTATATCTTTGTGTAAAGATAGAGCTTCAGTCAACTTCAGTGTATGGGTGATCAGATCGTGTATCGAAAAAGTTTTTGCCAGAGCTCCAGTAAAATAATTCCCAATCAAACATTTTGTAACCAACTCTTGAGACCTACAGCAGGTACCCGAGTAGGGTCGGATACCCGGGTACACAATTTGGACTCTTCCCAGCCTTATTACACATTGCATTGGATTCCATCACACTTCTGGATTAGACACATCCACTGGTACACTAGTCAGAGACTAGCGAAATTCCAGAATTACTGGTGATTTTCACAAGTCTAGTTATTTTACATTGTCCTGAATTAGCTGTGGACTATTTGGATATGACTAAACGCATTCACTGCCGGGTGACTTGGGGTTGCTGTGTTGAAGCTCTTGATCTTGACAACTGTATCTGTCACTGCAGGAAGACAAAGGGGCCTTCCACCCCACTGAACAACGAGGACATTGATGTGGCTCGGGAACGTCAGCGGGTCATGTCAGGAGGGGCAGATAATGACACCTTGAAGCTGGAGAACCTCACCAAGGTGAGACTTGTCACACGATACCCTTAGCTGGAGAACCTCACCAAGGTAAGACTTGTCACATGACACCTTGAAGCTGGAGAACCTCACCAAGGTAAGACTTGTCACATGATACCTTTAGCTGGAGAACCACACCAAGGTGAGACTTGTCACATGACACCTTGAAGCTGGAGAACCTCCCCAAGGTGAGACTTGTCACATGACACCTTGAAGCTGGAGAACCTCACCAAGGTAAGACTTGTCACACGACACCTCAAAGCTGGAGAACCTCACCAAGGTGAGACTTGTCACATGACACCTTGAAGCTGGAGAACTTCTCCAAGGTGAAACTTGTCACATGACACCTTGAAGCTGGAGAACCTCTCCAAGGTGAGACTTGTCACATGACTTCTCGAAGCTGGAGAACTTCTCCAAGGTGAAACTTGTCACATGACACCTTGAAGCTGGAGAACTTTTCCAAGGTGAAACTTGTCACATGACACCTTGAAGCTGGAGAATCTCACCAAGGTAAGACTTGTCACATGATACCTTTAGCTGGAGAACCTCACCAAGGTGAGACTTGTCACATGATACTTTGAAGCTGGTGAACCTCACCAAGGTAAGACTTGTCACACGACACCTCAAAGCTGGAGAACTTCTCCAAGGTGAAACTTGTCACATGACACCTCAAAGCTGGAGAACTTCTTCAAGGTGAGATTTGTCACATGACACCTTGAAGCTGGTGAACCTCACCAAGGTGAGACTTGTCACACGACACCTCAAAGCTGGAGAACAGCTCTAAGGTGAAACTTGTCACATGACACCTCAAAGCTGGAGAACTTCTTCAAGGTGAGATTTGTCACATGACACCTTGAAGCTGGTGAACCTCACCAAGGTGAGACTTGTCACACGACACCTCAAAGCTGGAGAACTTCTCCAAGGTGAAACTTGTCACATGACACCTCAAAGCTGGAGAACTTCTTCAAGGTGAGATTTGTCACATGACACCTTGAAGCTGGTGAACCTCACCAAGGTGAGACTTGTCACACGACACCTCAAAGCTGGAGAACAGCTCTAAGGTGAAACTTGTCACATGACACCTTGAAGCTGGAGAACTTCTCCAAGGTGAAACTTGTCACATGACACCTTGAAGCTGGAGAACCTCTCCAAGGTGAGACTTGTCACATGACACCTTGAAGCTGGTGAACCTCACCAAGGTGAGACTTGTCACACGACACCTCAAAGCTGGAGAACTTCTCCAAGGTGAAACTTGTCACATGACACCTCAAAGCTGGAGAACTTCTTCAAGGTGAGATTTGTCACATGACACCTTGAAGCTGGTGAACCTCACCAAGGTGAGACTTGTCACACGACACCTCAAAGCTGGAGAACAGCTCTAAGGTGAAACTTGTCACATGACACCTTGAAGCTGGAGAACTTCTCCAAGGTGAAACTTGTCACATGACACCTTGAAGCTGGAGAACCTCTCCAAGGTGAGACTTGTCACATGACTTCTCAAAGCTGGAGAACTTCTCCAAGGTGAGACTTGTCACATGACTTCTCAAAGCTGGAGAACTTCTCCAAGGTGAAACTTGTCACATGACACCTTGAAGCTGGAAAAACCTCTCCAAGGTGAGACTTGTCACATGACTTCTCAAAGCTGGAGAACTTCTCCAAGGGAGACTTGTTGTAAGAGGCGACTAACTGGATCGGGTTGATGCATGTTATCATATCCCAATTGTGTGGATCGATGCTTATTATGTCAATCACTGGATCGTCTGGTCCAGACTCAAACAAAACATGACACCTCAAAGCTGGAGAATCTCACTAAGGTGAGACTAGTCACATCTATGAAATATTCTTGGTCTACCCATGAAAGGCCACATATTTCCTGAGTGAATGAGTGAGTTGTGCAATATTGAAGAAATATGGCTGGGGACGCAAGAAATAATCTGCACACATTGCAGCTATGTGGGGAATTAAACCTGGGCCTGTGGCATGATGAGCAAACGCTTTAACCACTAGACTACCCCATCCCCCGTGGCTTCCTGAGAGTCTGATGAGTCATCAATGATATATTAGTTCATAATATAACTTGTTTTCATCTTTAACGATAAATATTGTATCATGTTTGACACAAACCATACAAGGTGTACCGGTACTGAGTTATCATGATTTTGACATTAATAACTGTCACTGATTGCCATCATGCTATGGCCCATTGGTACTGCTCATATGCCAGACCCGTGAAGATCCGGGTTGGAATAGGTCTACAGCAACCCATGCTTGCCTTAAGAGGCAACTATGCTTGTCGTAAGAGGCGACTGTTGGGATCAGGTGGTCAGGCTTGCAGACTTGGTTGATTCATGTCATCGTATCCCAATTGCGTTGATCAGTTCTTGTGATGTGAATCACTGGATTGTCTGGTCAAGACTTGATAATTTACAGATTGCCGTCATAGAGCTATTTATGTCATTCGAAAACTAAGATGAAGAATATGATGACTTTCATTGAACTTTTGTGTGACACCACCATCTGTCTCTGCAGACCTACTGGACCCCTGGGAAGAAGGGGCGTCTGACAGCTGTAGACAGACTGTGTGTGGGGGTGCCCAAGGGGCAGTGTTTTGGTCTGCTAGGGGTTAACGGAGCAGGGAAGACCACGACCTTCAAGATGCTGACAGGAGACGTGTCCGTCACCAGCGGCTCGGCGGCAGTCAGTGACATGAGGTACGTGGCAGATTAATGTTGTCAGTGGTTTCATTAAGAATTGACTTCAATATATTTTGAGTTTATGAAGGTAAGGTGCACACATTATATGTCTTATAATTAGCACTGTGTTTATTTTATTAATAACTTGGTCAACAATAATAACTTCACAGACTACATATATAATCAGTAATGCAAAAGAAAAGTAGACAACAATACAAAATCAGTGACATCATTCAGAGCAAATATAACACAAGCCCACTCTATTATCAGCCAATCAGGAAACAGTAGACAACTGATGGGCGTGGCCTTATATTTTTTTCAGTTTATGAAAGCACAAAGACAAAAATAATTGATGGTTTAGCCAATGAAATGACATTGAATCCCTTGCAAGAGATGACAGTATTTTTGGTCAGTTGCATGCAGTATCAGACCCCATCTGGCCAATGGGCTTTTGGCTATTCCAGTGGTTGGGTTGTATTTGGTTGTAACCTGGCTTGAGTTCCAGTTCATTATGTAATTTATTAGATTAATAAATCGGTTCCTGGTGTGTTGACTTTTGAGATTGCTGCAAATAAGGAATGTAACAATTCATCGAATGATCGGTGCATCGCCATCCTCTGTGTCACGATATCAGTGCATATAGATATGATGAACAATGATGTGGACATTAACTGAATACCTTATTTGACGTAATAAGCGCCCCGCTCTAATAAGTGCCAACAGCGATATTTCCTGATATATTGGCAAGTGAACAATCCCAATTAGCACCCCTTCCAAATGATCAATGTACACAAGACTTATTTAGTCGTGTAGAATACCCACTCGTGTGTTATATGCACCCTTAATTATGGGCAATTAAATTTTGGAAAATATATCTGTCAAGTATAATACACACAGACTCTTTTGTATCATTACAAGCTATCAGCATAAACCCCGAAATTTACGATCTTTCAACTCTGGGTTTTTTTCACCAAAATTTTATTCTAATAAGAAACCCAAATTTCTATTTACAATTAGAGCTAGATGTGACTGTGCTCCCTGATCCGTTACAAACGTGTTGTGTTGGGCAGTATTCTTAATCACAATTAGAGCTAGATGTGACTGTGCTCCCTGATCCGTTACAAACGTGTTGTGTTGGGCAGTATTCTGAATCACAATTAGAGCTAGATGTGACTGTGCTCCCTGATCCGTTACAAACGTGTTGTGTTGGGCAGTAACCTGAATCACAATTAGAGCTAGATGTGACTGTGCTCCCTGATCAGTTACAAACGTGTTGTGTTGGGCAGTATTCTGAATCACAATGAGAGCTAGATGTGACTGTGCTCCCTGATCCGTTACAAACGTGTTGTGTTGGGCAGTATTCTTAATCACAATTAGAGCTAGATGTGACTGTGCTCCCTGATCAGTTACAAACGTGTTGTGTTGGCCAGTATTCTGAATCACAATTAGAGCTAGATGTGAGTGTGCTCCCTGATCCGTTACAAACGTGTTGTGTTGGGCGGTATTCTGAATCACAATTAGAGCTAGATGTGACTGTGCTCCCTGATCCGTTACAAACGTGTTGTGTTGGGCAGTATTCTTAATCACAATTAGAGCTAGATGTGACTGTGCTCCCTGATCAGTTACAAACGTGTTGTGTTGGCCAGTATTCTGAATCACAATTAGAGCTAGATGTGAGTGTGCTCCCTGATCCGTTACAAACGTGTTGTGTTGGGCGGTATTCTGAATCACAATTAGAGCTAGATGTGACTGTGCTCCCTGATCCGTTACAAACGTGTTGTGTTGTGTTGGGCAGTATTCTGAATTACAATTAGAGCTAGATGTGACTGTGCTTCCTGATCCATTACAAACGTGTTGTGTTGTGTTTGGCAGTATTCTGAAGGACAATTAGAGCTAGATGTGACTGTGCTCCCTGATCTGTTACAAATGTGTTGTGTTGGGCAGTATTCTGAATCACAATTAGAGCTAGATGTGACTGTGCTCCCTGATCCGTTACAAACGTGTTGTGTTGTGTTGTGTTGGGCAGTATTCTGAATCACAATTAGAGCTAGATGTGACTGTGCTCCCTGATCTGTTACAAATGTGTTGTGTTGGGCAGTATTCTGAATCACAATTAGAGCTAGATGTGACTGTGCTCCCTGATCCGTTACAAACGTGTTGTGTTGTGTTGTGTTGGGCAGTATTCTGAATCACAATGAGAGCTAGATGTGACTGTGCTCCCTGATCTGTTACAAATGTGTTGTGTTGGGCAGTATTCTGAATCACAATTAGAGCTAGATGTGACTGTGCTCCCTGATCAGTTACAAACGTGTTGTGTTGTGTTGTGTTGGGCAGTATTCTGAATCACAATTAGAGCTAGATGTGACTGTGCTCCCTGATCTGTTACAAACATGTTGTGTTGTGTTGGGCAGCATTCTGAAGGACATGGTGAAGGTGCGGCAGCTGATGGGCTACTGTCCTCAGTTTGATGCTCTGGACTCCCTTCTCACCGGCCGGGAACATCTGCAGTTCTACGCCCGAGTCAGAGGCATACCTGAGAAGGATATCAAAGATGTAAGCTTTTTTAACTTATTACTAAACAGATAGGAACATTGCTAGAGGATGTTTTTATACCTCAGTCGTAAAGGGCGGGGGTATATTGTTATACCAAGGAATTCTGTCCATCCTTCCATCTGTTCGTCCTCCGAGGACATTGTTTGTATGCGTTCTATGACTTGAAAAATTCTCCATAGATTCTTTTCAAACTTGGTGAATACTTTCTATGCCAATAGGAGAAGTGCAGTGGGAAGTTTGATTTCAGTATTTGGATTTTCTGAAAAATACAGCTATATTTCATTATTTTTACTTAGAATTGCTTGACTTAAACATTTGTGTGACCTGTAACTTGAAAACTACTGCATGGATTCTTCTCAAATTTAGGGAACAGTTTCCAGTGCTGTATCTACTGCTATGTATTGGCCTTAGTTTTAGCCATGTTCAAATATCATGACATGTTTTGTCATTGGTCACATATCATTATATGTATGGTAACTGATTAGCTTTCTGAAGTGGTTACTTCCTACTAGTAGTAAGGCTTTAAATGGTGTGTGTGTGTGCAGGTGGCAGAGTGGGCTATCAGGAAGCTGGGGCTAGTGAAGTATGCCAACGTCATCGCTGGCAGCTACTCCGGTGGCAACAAGCGGAAACTGTCCACCGCCATCGCTCTCATTGGCAACCCTCCCATTATATTCCTGGTAAGTCCAACACACAGTAATTCTAAAAGCCATGAAGTATAGGTTACTGTGTGCCAAACGAGATCATGCTTGTGAACTATTTTCATAATACACATTCTTTGACTATTATACAGTTATGTGTTTCTAGTGTTTCTAGTAAGATGTTTTGTGGATTGTATCAGATCCAATTCTTTTGATGTGGCAGCTGTGTCTCAGCTTCCTCTCTCCCTCTCCCTCTCCATCTCCATCTCCCTCTCCTCCTCTTCCCCCTCCCCCCGTCCTCTTCTCTGAGACAAGACCCATGAAGATCCGGGGTAGAATAGGTCTTCAGCAACCCATGCTTGCCGTAAAAGGCGACTGAAGGGATCGGTTGGTCAGGCTTGCTGACTTGGTTGATGCACGGTCATCGATTCCAATCGATGCTCATGATATCAATCACTGGATTGTCTGGTCGAGACTTGATTATTTACAGACCGCTGTCATATAGCTGGAATATTGCTGAGTGCGGCGTTAAACAACAAACCAACCAACCAATCTCTGAGACAAAGTAGGACTTGCAATAGTCCTAGAGCTACAGTCAGTAGGGCCCTGATTTGGATTGTAGACAGTATCTTGCACTTACAATGAATTCATTCACCTTGTTCAGGATGAACCTACTACCGGTATGGACCCCAAGGCTCGTCGCTTCCTCTGGAACTGCATCAACAGCATCATCAAAGATGGCCGCTCCATCATTCTAACTTCCCACAGGTGAGAGAAGTTGATCAGATCATGTTCTGTGCATTACAGTCCTTATAGCAAGTCTTTGAACTGCAGAATGGGATTCAAGGGGACAGAAAGTCCTACAGTATTTCATGCTTGTCTAATATCTATCCCTGTAGTGGCTGCATCCCTGTAATTGTGGCTTCACAGTGCAGTGACATGAACTACCTTGCACAGTCTTCTAGCCAAAATAAGTTTGAAGTTGAACTACCTATCGATCAGGATAACAGATGGCCGACTGGATCTCACCGGAGGATACATCCTAGTGTCTGTCCCTGTAATGGCTGCTGAATAGGATGAGCACACCGATGTGTGCCACACTGGAAATATTGCTGAATATTGTTTACAGCCTTGTTCACTGCTTGTTGTATTGCAGATTGCAACACTTTGTTGTGTAAATTCCTGGTCACTATTTCATGCATGTTTAACACATTTTTAACACATTTAACTACACAATCTGTTGCCGTAAGGCCAGGTTTTGTCTTGTTAATGCAATTAAATTAGTGAGTGAGTGAGTATGGTTTAAGGCTGCTTTTAGCAATATTTCAGCAATATCACGGCGGAGGACACTAGAAAATGGGCTTCACACATTGTACCCATGAAGGGAATCGAACCCGGGTCTTTGGCGTGAATAGCCAACACTTAAACCACTAGGCTACCCGACTGCCCCTGAAGGAGTTGAAAGTCCTTGACATGAATCTGCTTGCATGGGTAAGGTACAGCTTTGAACAGTAGGATGATGTCGAAGGATGTTTCTGAGTGTTGTTCCTGTTGCAGCATGGAGGAATGTGAGGCGCTGTGCGGCAGGCTGGCCATCATGGTGAACGGCCGGTTCAAGTGTATCGGCAGCACGCAGCATCTGAAGAACAGGTCTGTTTTCTCACATCCTACATATACTCGTCTAAACACATGTGTCGTGGTGTTTGGCAGATAGAGTTTATTGCTGCATTCACTGTAGATCTTACATATCAAGTTTGCGTGAGTGAGTTTGGTTTAACACCGCTTTTAACAGTATTCCAGTTATATCACAGTGTGCCTACTTAATGTGGGAGGAAAGCTGGTGCAGGTCTCAGACGTTTACCACTTCGGTGAAACCCACAAGCAGGGGTATGGTGCTGACATACCTAAAAACATAATCGGGGCGAACCAGGATTCGAACCCACAATCATAGGTTTCTGGCTTGCCCAATTAATGCAACTCTTCAGAGCGAATTGCGGCGCCTTAGACAACTGGGCTACCCGTGCCCTCCATATCAAGTTTGAGGTGAAGTGAGGTTTAATGTCGCGTTAAAGATTATTGCACTTGCATAATAACGTGCATACACGTGTGTGTGTGTGTGTGTGTGTCTGCTTGTATTAGTCCGAACTAAAGACAGTTTAATAGTGCTAGCCCAATGAGATACCACAGTTTAACATGTATATCCCACTCGGACACAGTATTCAGACTCTGAGCCTTTTTGAATGATGTGGCCGGGGATCACATCAACGTTCCACTCTCCAGGCAGACGCTCCATCCACTAGACCACTGAGGCGGTCTGGGAGACTGTGGGGAGCTTATCTGGGGTTCATCATGCCATTGTCCAGACAATATTTTGTTCTATTCATGAACAAGATGAATAAATATTAATGCATTTCTTATTCTACATATTTCAAGATAACTTGAGAGATAATCATCTGTATAAAAAAACACAAGGAAATCTTTCTTAATCTTCTGGAAGAATGTGTGTGAAAATATTATGTATCAGATTTATTTTCCCAAGAGCTAGGTGGTGACTGCACATAAAAGTTAATGCCCTGACTAGTCTCATGTCCAAGTGTGATGGCCCTATGGGATTCCAGGGAAGAATGTACATCCTCAGCAACCTACGCTTGTTGTCAGTCGCGACTAAATGGATCGGGTGGTCAGGCTCAGTGACTTGGTTGATGGTTTGTCTCCTACACATGAACCAAGTCCAAATTCATTCCTCAAATCCACTCCAATGCCCTTCGAATGCATATTTTCCAAGTATTGATAATAGTAGAAACTGGTCATTGGTTATATTGCCCTATAATGACGCCATGTCCACATGTGCAGGTTCGGCAATGGGTACACAGTGACCCTGAGAGTGGCTGGAGGTCAGCCCGACCTGGAGCCCGTGAAGCAGTACATGAAGGAGCAGTTCCCCGAGTCGGTGCTGAAGGAAAGCCACCACAACATGCTGCAGTACCAGCTGGGCACCACCGCCATTTCCCTGGCCAGGCTCTTCGGGAAGATTGAGGGTGGCAAACAGCACATGGGCATTGAGAGCTACTCCGTCAGCCAGACCACACTGGACCAGGTGAGTCCTTGTCCACTGTAACCCATCGGTCAGTCTTGACGGAAGAGGAGGTCTGCTGTATTTCTGGGAATTGTCTGGGGCTTTGTATTTGTGAGTTCTGCAGACTCTCAGTAAAGAGGGAATCCCAGACCTGGGACCAAAATTTCAGCTCAGAAAGATTGTCAACAGTGTTTAATATTACCCGGGGTACAACAGGTTGGCAGCCTGAGTGCCGCATTATTGTTATTCTGTTCTAAACGCCTCTTAAGCTGACTCGACCCGTGAATTTCCGGATTAGAAAAGGTCTTTAGCAACCCATGCTTGCCATAAAAGGCGACTATCAACATCGCTGTTTTGGTTGATACATATCGTATCCCAACTGCGTGGATTAATGCGCATGATGTCAATCACTAGATTGTCTGGTCCAGACAGATTATTTACAGACCGCCGCCATATAGCTAGAATATTGCTGAGTGCGGCGTAAAACAACAAACAAACTTGAGCTGACTCTTTCGCTCAACCAGTTACCATAACGTGGCACTCCGTGTATCTGCCTTCAAAATTCGCTCTACATGTATTAAATTGGGCTGAGGGCATGTAATAATCCATTGATGGTAGTCCCCATTGACTTGTAGCATTTGAGGGCTATAATTCTAAACCAGCCTTCAGTGCTTTAGTTTTGCTACAAATTGGATCGATGATCATGGTGTCAATCGCTGGATTGTCTGGTCCACGGCCCCGTTCCACAGAGCGGTTTTAGCCCTATGACTACCATAGGCCTATGTTAAAGCATAGGAGTTACGATCATCTTAGCGCTAAGATTGCTTTGTGGAACAGGGCCCAGACTCGGTTATTTACAGACCGCCATCATATAGCTGGAATATTGCGGAGTGCGGCGTTACACAACAAACAAACAACAAATTGAAACTGAATAAAACTGACAGAAAATGTAAACAGAGTAAACATGTGTGACTCATTTCAAGCAGGACTAGCTACAAACACTGAGGACTAGTTAAATAACATGTCCGCTAGTCTTAAGAAGAACACATTTTTAAGTCTGCTGTTTATCAGAATGATATTCCTCCATGAAGCTGTATGACTTTCATGGGATGAAATGATGTATTTGGTTTCTTTCTCGGGATAGGTCTTCATCAACTTTGCCAAGCTGCAAACAGACATGGACATTGAATTAGAAGATGATGAACTACCTCCTGATCTGAGCCAGAGGGCCTATGAGACAGGTGAGATAGAAGTCCCCAGTAAGCCATCATACAGAGTATAGTGTTCTGTACAGGATACTTGCATTCATGTGATAGGAAACAACTGTACTCTTATAAGCAGGCAAGACAAGCAAAAATCTAAGAAAACAAGTTCACCACTCGTAATAACAGTCCATGGCATTTTCTTAAATGTATTTGTATGCTAGATCCCATTCTCCCTCCAGTTCCGACTGTGTATTTGTATGCTAGATCCCATTCTCCCTCCAGTTCTGACAGTGTATTTGTATGCTAGATCCCATTCTCCCTCTAGTTCTGACTGAGTATTTGTATGCTAGATCCCATTCTCCCTCCAGTTCTGATTGTGTATTTGTATGCTATATCCCATTCTCCCTCCAGTTCTGATTGTGTATTTGTATGCTATATCCCATTCTCACTCCAGTTCTGACTGAGTATTTGTATGCTAGATCCCATTCTCCCCCTAGTTCTGACTGAGTATTTGTATGCTAGATCCCATTCTCCCTCCAGTTCTGATTGTGTATTTGTATGCTATATCCCATTCTCCCTCCAGTTCTGATTGTGTATTTGTATGCTATATCCCATTCTCACTCCAGTTCTGATCATGTATTTGTATGCTAGATCCCATTCTCCCTCCAGTTCTGACTGTGTATTTGTATGCTAGATCCCATTCTCCCTCCAGTTCTGACTGAGTATTTGTATGCTAGATCCCATTCTCCCTCCAGTTCTGATTGTGTATTGGTATGCTATATCCCATTCTCCCTCCAGTTCTGATTGTGTATTTGTATGCTAGATCCCATTCTCCCTCCAGTTCTGATCATGTATTTGTATGCTAGATCCCATTCTCCCTCCAGTTCTGACTGTGTATTTGTATGCTAGATCCCATTCTCCCTCCAGTTCTGACTGTGTATTTGTATGCTAGATCCCATTCTCCCTCCAGTTCTGACTGTGTATTTGTATGCTAGATCCCATTCTCCCTCTAGTTCTGACTGTGTATTTGTATGCTATATCCCATTCTCCCTCCAGTTCTGATTGTGTATTTGTATGCTATATCCCATTCTCACTCCAGTTCTGACTGAGTATTTGTATGCTAGATCCCATTCTCCCCCTAGTTCTGACTGAGTATTTGTATGCTAGATCCCATTCTCCCTCCAGTTCTGATTGTGTATTTGTATGCTAGATCCCATTCTCCCTCTAGTTCTGACTGAGTATTTGTATGCTAGATCCCATTCTCCCTCCAGTTCTGATTGTGTATTTGTATGCTAGATCCCATTCTCCCTCTAGTTCTGATTGTGTATTTGTATGCTAGATCCCATTCTCCCTCCAGTTCTGATTGTGTATTTGTATGCTAGATCCCATTCTCCCTCCAGTTCTGACTGTGTATTTGTATGCTAGATCCCATTCTCCCTCCAGTTCTGATTGTGTATTTGTATGCTAGATCCCATTCTCCCTCCAGTTCTGATTGTGTATTTGTATGCTAGATCCCATTCTCACTCCAGTTCTGATCATGTATTTGTATGCTAGATCCCATTCTCCCTCCAGTTCTGACTGTGTATTTGTATGCTAGATCCCATTCTCCCTCCAGTTCTGATTGTGTATTTGTATGCTAGATCCCATTCTCCCTCCAGTTCTGATTGTGTATTTGTATGCTAGATCCCATTCTCCCTCCAGTTCTGATCATGTATTTGTATGCTAGATCCCATTCTCCCTCCAGTTCTGACTGTGTATTTGTATGCTAGATCCCATTCTCCCTCCAGTTCTGATTGTGTATTTGTATGCTAGATCCCATTCTCCCTCCAGTTCTGATTGTGTATTTGTATGCTAGATCCCATTCTCCCTCCAGTTCTGATTGTGTATTTGTATGCTAGATCCCATTCTCCCTCCAGTTCTGATTGTGTATTTGTATGCTAGATCCCATTCTCCCTCCAGTTCTGATTGTGTATTTGTATGCTAGATCCCATTCTCCCTCCAGTTCTGATTGTGTATTTGTATGCTAGATCCCATTTTCCTCCAGTTCTGACTGTTTTTGTTCTTCTGTATTCCAGCCATGTACCCAAACCAGCAGCGCATGATGATCGAGGACGAGCAGAGCGTGACAGGAAGTACTGCCGGCCTCATCCTCCCCAACAGGGCCCGCGACAACTTCTTGACCGACGTGTCTGTGGCGTAGACCCCCCTTACTGTGATACCTGTAGAATCTGTGATGTTAGCTCAAACTGTGGTCAAACTGTTCACAGTAGTTTACAGTGTGAAACGTTTGGTCACTGTGACAAGAGCATACAATTATTTTACCTAGACAACATTCCATAACACTAATGTCACAAACCCAACATCACACAAAACTAGAACACAGTACCCCACCGACTGGTACACATGGTAACAGAACCCCACCCACTGGTACACATGGTAACAGTACCCCACCCACTGGTACACATGGTAACAGTACCCCACTCACTGGAACACATGGTAACAATACCCCACTAACTGGTACACATGGTATCAATACCCCACTAACTGGTACACATGGTAACAGTACCCCACCCACTGGTACACATGGTAACAATACCCCACTAACTGGTACACATGGTAACAGTACCCCACCCACTGGTACACATGGTAACAGTACCCCACCCACTGGTACACATGGTAACAGTACCCCACTCACTGGAACACATGGTAACAATACCCCACTAACTGGTACACATGGTATCAATACCCCACTAACTGGTACACATGGTAACAGTACCCCACCCACTGGTACACATGGTAACAATACCCCACTAACTGGTACACATGGTAACAGTACCCCACTAACTGGTCCCAAATGGTAACAATACCCCACTAACTGGTCCCAAATGGCACAAGAATGAATCCCTGACTACTTGACCGAAGATATACCTGATGCTGGTAAATGATTGCCTTAACAGACTGTGATATACTCACTCCATGTTATTAGTAACCCCAGTTCCTGATGCACTGACAGGAATGAATGGCACATGAACAGCTGAACATACATATATTGATTTTTAGGCAAGACATACGTGAGATGTTGTATTAATGTTTTGTGGAACCTAAACCATTTTAATAATTGTGGCACATACAAATATTGTGAGGTGTGTCTTAAATTCATTTCACATTTGGGGGGAATATTTCACAACAGATATATATTATCTTGCATTTTTAATTATCCCATTTTTATTATATTTCATATTTTGATATTGTTAGGCAATCCTACTGCAACTACATCTGTGTGTATTTAGATGACAGTGATGTGTTTTGTACAGTGCTAAACTGTAGTGTGTTCACCTGTCTTGATGTCATGGTATTCTAGATTTTTGCTGTGACTCTGGATGTTTTATATACAGAGATTATCTTTACTGTAGGACTTTGAAAATGGTGATCTAAAAAGATCAGAGAGAAATTGTGATCTTATTCTTCTCATATTCAAGGGAAATTTGTATAAGGGGGTACAATTTGAGATTATTATACAGTCTGGTTGATATTGGTCATGTGATCCTTCACACATGAAAAATGTTTTTGCTAATATCATAAACAATGGTCAATAAGCATTGTTCCATAATAATTACCTTCTGCTCCGAGGTGATAAATCGAGAAGTGTAAGAGAATCTTAAGAACGGCATGTTCTTGATGTTTCAGTTTATGTATCGTTATATCGTCTGAGTACAGAATAGAAATAGAAACTTGAGTATGGTTAGGTGCCGCTTTTAGCAATAATGCTGCGGGGGACATCAGAAAATGGGCAACTTGGAATTCAAAGGTACAAGTTGTTGATGTTCTCAATTTCTTTTGTCTGTCTTATTAGTGTTCTCTTTGCCATACCAGTAAGAAGACAAATACCCTGAACAAGGCACTCATCGCTCTCCCCTGTCAAACAGCTATTTCTCTATTATTTAATTATATTTCAACTGGGAGAGTGATATACATATTTACATGAGATTTGTGACCTTTTTGCTTTTGTTTAATTGTGGGGATCTTTTAAATCAACACTCAGCTCGCCGACACGAAGATATCCTGTAAATGTGTGTATCTGTCTATATGAAGTAGTGGTCTGAAGTGGATATGTATGGGTGAAGATGCAATATGAGTGTTATACAAGTGTTTGTATGTCTGGTTTAGATAAGGTAGATATAAAATTGCTAATCGATAGGTATAATCATGTATTATTGAAATAAGTGCTTGAGAAAAAGTGATATTCATATTACTATAGTTAATGTCATACCATGACATATTGACTATGGTAATATGAAAGAATCGGATTATCTTTCTTCAGTAGTATATGAATATATCATTGGAGAGTGTGTGATGCATGTACAAGAAACATTTGTGATAAGGGTGTGTCTATGAATAATTCCCACATAAGAGTGTTTAAGTGTCACACAATTGTTTCTTTATCCATTTACTTTCCGCAAGATCAAATAACAGTCTGATTGGAGTTTCATTAAGAGGCACAACCTATTGTTCAACAAATTAATATTTGGAGAAGAATTCACTTATATTCAGTTATATATCCTTTTGTGTGTGAATATATTAATAGTGTTTAGTATATTTGATGTTTTTTATTTACATATAGGAAAAGAAAACCATTTTCATTTTGGATTTTTGTGTATATTTTAACATAGGTCATATGTTTTAGTTATATCTTTCCATTCAAAAGTAATTCCTCATTTAATAAATTATTTTACGTCTATATAGAAAATCAAGTTCATATTACATCAAGCTAGATCTGTTATAGGAAACAAATGTACTCTTATAAGCAGGCAAGACAAGCGAAAATCTAAGAAATAACTTGTTGCATGCAATTGGTTCTCTATAACAGTCCTTGTCAATTTCTTAAATGGGTTTCATTTGCAATGTTGCAGAAACTAGGCATTGCTAGATGTCCCGAGAACAATGTTTCTTTATTGCGTTCAAGTTTTGGCTGGTTTTATGAGACCTTTGTGTCATAAATGTTTCATAGTTCCTATGTCTGAGTTGCCCCATACTTTGTTCTGCTGGTCAGAACAATAGTACTGTTCATAATTGTGATTCCAAATTTAAAGCCTTTAGACCAAAGAGTGCTTTCAAATAGATGGCATTCTTATTTCATTTCCTTGTCTGAAGTCTCCATGTGTACTTCCAAGTACTCAAGTTGAATAGTCCACAGACCAGGGTCTGTCTTATGTATCAATAACATATCAGACTAATAATTTGTGATGTACCAAATGATTAGCAAGAAAAAAACTTTTTTTTATATACATATATTATATAGCTAACATCAGCATATGTCTCAGAATTAAAGAAGTTGTCATCGATAAATTTACTATTATATAGCAACATTTCAGTCTTGCTTGACAATGGTATGAGCATCTGTACTGAAACTTCGCTATAATAGTACATTAAAGAAGGTCCTTAAACTGTGTCTACTTTTTGTCCAAGGCTGGACTGCCAAATTGAAGGTCTCTTCCACCGTTGAATAGGATGCTAAATGTCACCCTGAATTAGAAACACTGGCAACATTTCATGACAATGTACCGAAGTCATACACCACTGACCAGAAGTTCAAACTTGTACCTCATCTCACTATGAAAAGTTGTGACGTCAACCGAATTTCCTTTTTTTCTACATGACAATATTTAACTTTACTCTAAATGTACATTTTCACTGCATAATAAACAGATTTGATTTTTTGCTACAGATGTTTTCATGGTCATTTTAAAGAACAAGGTGAGGTGAAATGGGGTTTAACGTCGCGTCCAAGATTATTGCATTTTGCGACGTGCATGTACGTTTGTGTGGCTGCTTGTACTAGTCCGGACTGATGCCGATTTATAGTGCCAGCTCACTGAGATACCATACTGCAGTTTAACATGAATACCCCACTCAGACACAGTATACTGACTCCGAGCCGACCATTGGTACCATCTTTTAACATCTTTTGGTATGACACGGCCGGGGATCGAACCCCGGACCTTCCGCTCTCTGGGCGGACGCTCTACCACTAGACTACGGAGGCGGTCTTTTGAAGAACAAACGCAAGCAGAATGTTTCACAACATATATTTACATTTTCTGTACATGTTAACAGGTATTATCCTACTACAAGATGACAATATCATAGAGGTACAAGTTCAGGGAAACCTTGTTAGCCCAGACACTGTTAGGCCCATCTATATACAACGTACATGTATATACAAAAGGACACATCTCCGTATTCAGCCACAAAATTGTTAATCCAGACAATTCCATTTAAATACAAAGACTACAAACCTAGATTTATGATGGTAACAACATAAAGTTCACTTGCAGCCTCTGGCAGACGATCCTCACACACACACACACACACACACACACACCATAATCATTTATTCCAATGACTATTCCAAATAATAATTACTATATGTTTGTTAGTTTGTCTGTTCATGACTGCTCTAAGTGAAATTCCAGCTGTATGACTGCAGTCTGTAATTAAATGACAAGCATATGTTTGTGGGGGCCAATTCTAACCCGGAACAAAGATTTCATGAAACTACAAACAACATTTAAATACATGGCACAGTTATCATAAAATGGAAACATGTATCAACAGAATCAAACATTGTTTTTAAAAAAGTATATTGTATGAAGTGCCACTACCAACTTCCTTATAAATGCCCCTGGCTGAGACTGAATATTTACAGTAGTCATATCTTCTTGTGTCTATGACAGCTTTTGTTCAGAAAGAACGGATGTGAAATTACAAAGTAACAATTATCAAAGAAGTGGTCACTACCGTTCAGTCCCTGTAAGGAAATGTAACTTTCTGTATGGTTTTACAAAGCGCCCCCTGTCAAGTTCCTAAGCACCTAAAGCACTTACCATGGCACATACAGTAACAATAATTTATTCGGATAAGATCAACATTCCTGGCACTCATCCAAATAGTCTATACAACAGATTCTAAATCAGTAAGGGAATTTCAAATTCAATTTTAATTTTAAAACTGATTCTGTGTGTACAATCCTCTTGTTACTCATCACATCTCCAATTGATAACATATGTAGAAGGTAAAACTCCATTTGTCAACACCTGCTTTAAAATGTTTCAACACTAAAATAACAGGTATCCTTTATGGCCATTTGTTTATATGTACAAGATATAGATGCACACAGATTGAATACACATCTGTTCAAAGCCAATCCATGTACATCAACATGTTTGGTTAAAGAATGAGTGAAACATAAATTAAACAATACAGATATACTACTCAAAAGAAGTTAAGGATCACCCGATTCTTTCATAATGGGAAAGTTAATCTGTAATGACATGAGAGATTAACTATAGTAATATGAAAGAATCAGGTGATCCTTAACTTCTTTTGAGTAGTATATGATTAAGATGAAGAACATCCTGACACAGGAGCATACAGTGTTGAAAAAATGCTCTCATACAGTTAAATGCCTCGCGGCAATATGGCATATTCCTCTAAATCACGACATCTCTCATCAGAAAGCACGCAAACTTGGTTATACAGCTTGACAAGCAGGTAAGAATGATCATCAATTTTCCCAAGTGAAACTGTCCTCGGCTACTAAAGCAAACAGCATTTTAAAAAAGGAGTAGGTACATATAACCCAAGTCACGAAAAGAACCAAAGAAACTGGTTGATGGAACATAGGTGGACATGTAAGGAGTGTGAGAACAAGGAGGGTCATACAACCAACCCTCCCCACCTCTGTCCGTGACTATTGCCTATAGATAAGCAGGGATGACATCTGATTAAGCCAGGTTACCATTTTAGATCATAGAAAATAGAAGGATTTTGATAGTACTCCAGAGCACCTTTAAGTTCCGACCAATTCCACCTCACAGTGGACCTCCACTGGCACATCATCCATAACTACATAGCCACCCTGAGGTTCCAGGTTAAAACAGGATGCTGACTGCTGGTGATACGTGATTAGGATCACTTGGTGGGCAGAGTTTGTAGCTCTCCCCACAAGGTGAACATCTGCTTGGTGTCTGTGAGGTCTATAGCTCTCCTCACAAGTCGAACATCTGCATTTTGTCAAGGAGGACTATGGCTCCCATCACAAGCAATCATATGCTGATTGTCAATCAAGTCTCCATCTCCTCTTTAAGTCGTACATCTGCTGGTTGTCGATCATGTCTATAGCCCTCCTTACAAGTCAATCATCTGGGGCCTCGGCGGTGACGACATCCCCTCCAGTTTCTGCAGCAGTATCTGTGCCCCCTTGAACGTCATCTTCCGCAGCGACTTCTTGATGCCACTCAGCTGCTGCCTCACAAGTGTCGTCACCTCAATGTCATCCAACTCCAGCAGGCTGCAACATCACATCAGCGTTAGGGATTATTGAGTGAGTTGGGTTTATACCGACCGGAATTAGAAGTGCCAGTGAAAAATGTACATGACACAGTTAACGTATTGATCTACATATTGAAACAACTGTTTAGTTTGATTTAGTTCTCCACCTACCTCATAGCCAACATGTCACACATCCGATTCTGATTAATAATAAGTAAGATGTAAGGTGCTTTGGCAATATTCAAGCAACATCATGGTTAGTTCATACAACACAAGGTTTTGGAGACAAACCTTATGTTTGTTTATCAGTGAGTGAGTGAGTATGGTTTTACGCCGCTTTTAGCAATATTCCAGCAATATCACGGCGGGGGTCACCAGAAATGGGCTTCACACATTGTACCCATGTCGGGAATCGAACCCGGGTCCTCGGCGTGACGAGCGAACGCTTTAACCACTAGGCTACCCGACCCCCCCTTGTTTATCAGAACAAACATTGTAAAATATGTTCAGTGAGTTAGACATAACACTATTTTGAACAGCATTTCTTCCATATCATGGGACGTCAGCTCAATGTACGAGTAAAGCCCAAAGCGATGCAGCTCTTTGACATTCACCTATGAACATGGTATGGTGCTAACAAACATATAAACATAATCAGAGCCAGTGTGACATTCAAACAACCAACCATAGATTTCTGGTGCCCCTAACCAATGCAACTCTTCACAGACTTGTGGCACTTGTGGCACCCTCAAGTTGTACAGAAAGACATAGTTTCTTTCGAAAAAGACTACCTCGAATACCCTTGCATCATTGACAAGATTCTTGTAACTTGGCTATCATCACTCTTATAAAAACTTCTCATTTTCAACATACATCCTCTTCACTGCATGCTATAGGACAATAAGGTCAACTTGATGAGGAGGATACACACCCTTTAAATCCCCCACACCCCTCCCCTCCTCCACCTACCTTATTCCACCACACTCCAACACCCACATACCTCCCCCCTCCACCCCCACACCCTCCTTCACCTACCTGATAAGGGTGAAGCATACTCCAGTGCCTGATTCCAACCCCCCTCCTCCACCCCCCTCCCCCCACCAACACACCCACCCCTACCCTCCTCCACCATCTCCCATCACTCACACTCTCCTCTCCTTCATCTACCTGATGAGGGTGAAGCATACTCCAGTGCCTGATTCCACCCCTTCCCCCCTCCCAACACACACACACCCCTCCCCTCCTCCAACACTCGCACCCTCCCCTCCTCCACCTACCTGATGAGGGTGAAGCATACTCCAGTGCCTGATTCCACCCCTTCCCCCCTCCCAACACACACACTCCCCTCCCCTCCTCCATCACTCACACCCTCCCCTCCTCCACCACCCCCATCACTCACACCCTCCCCTCCCCCACCACCCCCATCACTCACACCCTCCCCTCCCCCACCACCCCCATCACTCACACCCTCCCCTTCCCTCCCCTCCTCCACCACCCCCATCACCCACACCCTCCCCTCATCTCCTCCACCACCCCCATCACTCACACCCTCCCCTCCTCCACCCCCATCACTCACACCCTCCCTTCCCCTCCACCACCCCCATCACCCACACCCTCCCCTCCCCTCCACCACCCCCATCACTCACACCCTCCCCTCCTCCACCACCCCCATCACCCACACCCTCCCCTCCCCTCCACCACCCCCATCACTCACACCCTCCCCTCCCCTCCTCCACCCACACCCTCCCCTCATCTCCTCCACCACTCCCATCACTCACACCCTCCCCTCCTCTCCTCCACCTACCTGATGAGGGTGAAGCAGCCTCTGTTGCAGGCCGCCCAGGACTTGAGAGTTCCCTCTGCCAGGGCTGACAGGAGTATGTTGGAGAAGAGCACTGTCACAAAGAACATAGCCAGTTATAAGCAGCACTATACACCTCATCACACCGGCAGTAACAAACGGGGTTTGTTGAACATCTTGAATTTCAGTCTTTTCACAAGGTTTTCAGCGAGTGTTTATAACTTCCTTATTAACGAAGAAAAAAAGATAAGCTTATGTCAATATCAACAAAAAAAAGAGCACATTCTGAAAAATTCTACATGCTTTGTTTGATTGAATAAAACAAAACAGGTACTAACAACACTAATCCAAACATGGCATAAATAGTCCATGGGGAACAAATTACTAGGGAGCACGTATTCGATAACATCACATGACAGGGGTGAATAAGTTCGATTTAACGCTGCTTTTAACAGTATTCCAGTTATATCACGCGTGTCAGCTTACTGTGGGAGGAAAGCCTGAAGTGATGCAGGTCTCCGACGTTTACCACTTCGGTGAATCCCATGAGCACGGGCACTGACAGGAACACCACACAATGTAGCGAACATCACACGAAGGGAGGCACATGATGGAGAACACCGCATCACGGGACACTAGAGCCAGCATCACATGAGGGAAGACACCACATGACAGAGTACAACGCATCACGGGACACTATATAGCCAGCAACATCACACGAGGGAAGGCACTACATGACAGAGTACAACGCATCACGGGACACTATATAGCCAGCAACGCCACACGAGAGGGAAGGCACCACATGATGGAGATCACCGCATCACGGGACACTATATAGCCAGCAACGCCACACGAGAGGGAAGGCACCACATGACAGAGTACAACACATCACGGGACACTATATAGCCAGCAACATCACACAAGGGAAGGCACCTCATGATGGAGAACACCACGTCATGGGACACCATGTAACCAGCAACATCACACGAGGGAAGGCACCACATGATGGAGAAAACCGCATCACGGGACACTTTATAGCCAGCAACGCCACACGAGGGAAGGCACCACATGATGGAGAACACCACGTCATGGGACACTATATAGCCATCAACGCCACACGAGAGGGAAGGCACCTCATGATGGAGAACACCACGTCATGGGACACTATATAGCCATCAACGCCACACGAGGGAAGGCACCTCATGATGGAGAAAACCGCATCACGGGACACTATATAGCCAGCAACGCCACACGAGGGAAGGCACCACATGATGGAGAACACCGCATCACGGGACACTATATAGCCAGCAACATCACACGAGGGAAGGCACCACATGATGGAGAAAACCGCATCACGGGACACCATATAGCCAGCAACATCACACGAGGGAAGGCACCACATGACAGAGAACACCGCATCACGGGACACTATATAGCCAGCAACATCACACAAGGGAAGGCACCACATGACAGAGTACAACGCATCACGGGACACTATATAGCCAGCAACATCACACAAGGGAAGGCACCACATGACAGAGTACAACGCATCACGGGACACTATATAGCCAGCAACATCACACAAGGGAAGGCACCACATGACAGAGTACAACGCATCACGGGACACTATATAGCCAGCAACATCACACAAGGGAAGGCACCACATGACAGAGTACAACGCATCACGGGACACTATATAGCCAGCAACATCACACAAGGGAAGGCACCACATGACAGAGTACAATGCATCACGGGACATCATATAGCCAGCAACATCACACAAGGGAAGGCACCACATGACAGAGTACAACGCATCACAGGACATCATATAGCCAGCAACGTCACACGAGAGGGAAGGCACCTCATGATGGACAACACCACGTCATGGGACACCATGTAACCAGCAACATCACACGAGAGGGAAGGCACCACATGATGGAGAACAACACATCACGGGACACTATATAGCCAGCAACGTCACACGAGAGGGAAGGCACCTCATGATGGAAAACACCACGTCATGGGCCACCATGTAACCAGCAACATCACACGATGCACACCACCCACCTGCTGACTCATCCTCCGTGCTCCGCTCCTTGTCGTTGAGGATCAGCCTCTTGAGTGTCAGGTGGCCGGCAGGGTGCTCCACCATATGCTGGTTCTCTCCCTTGGACGCGGAGAACGGCTGGGCAGCGATGTTAGCAATGGCTGTCATAGCATCCGAGGGGTCTCCTGGCAACAGAGGACATTAGAATCAGTCATCAAAACATGAAAACAGAAAGTATCTGATAAATATTAACGTCAAAAGTTTATTTATCATCTGATAGCAATTCAGACAGCATCCCAGGAATGTCATATCGCAGCATGTCAGCTTAATGGGAGGTAAGTCCATAGTGCTGCAGATGTTTACTACAGTGGAAAATCCCAGGAGCTTGGGTATGGTCCTGACAAACCTAGAATCATCAGGGATGTGAGCAGGTTTTCCGGAAAAAAAGAGGAAAAGTCTCATTTGATTGCATTTTAAGCAATTTCGTGCAGTTTGTACAACATTCACACCAAGAAATGTAACAAGTCAATGGCAAAAGTCAAATAAACAAAGATGGCAGATGCAGTAAAATTTCAAAGTTAAATTAGTACTTTTAAAAAATCGGCCATAGCTTCAGCGCACCTGGAAACCCGCCAGGTCTGGTTGCAATACTGGCATAAACTTCACCCCCCATCCCGCAGACACAAGGACAACTGTCACAAGGGTGCAATGTTCGTGATAGCAAACGTATGATGTCCGAGAACCTATGATGCTGAAAGCTCTGATCGAAAACAGGACAATCCACACCGGTTGTCCCGTTTTCAATAACATTTTTTGGGTTTTGTTTTTTTCCAAATCTGATTATATTTTTACGCGGAATATGATTTTTTCCCGAGGACTATTGTTTTAAAAAAATGTGATTTTCCGCGTTTCCGCAGAGATTTCACATCCCTGAATCATAATCAGGGCTAATGCTAGGCGTGAGGTGGTTCGGCGCCAACGACCCTGGCCTACCTTTAGCATGTGTGATGATGCCCAGTATCAGCAGCAGCGCGGCGTTGTTGATGGCAAGGTTGGCGGCGTTGTCAACGATGTACTGCAGCAGGGGTTTGGACACAAAACCCAGCAACTCCCGATGACGCGTGTGACCATCTTTCTTACTGGAATACAAGGCATATTACAATACTTAATGTACTTACTACTAGAAAAGATCAATCAAATCTCCTGATGGTATGGAATGCAAAACTACTATGTCACAGCTCTAATAACTACAAATAATTCTACATTCATGTAAGTGTGTATGGTTCTGCCCTTTCAGTATTATTCCAGCAATTTCAGAGCAGAAGATACCACAAAAAAAGCGTAACACATTATTCCCATGTGGGAAATCTAACCTAGGTCATCATCAAGATGAGAGAAATGCTTCATCACATATCTACGACCCTGGGAACATGTCACATGTACAAAATTGCTGTTGGATTTCTTATTTCTATCTAATGTATTGTCCGCTCCATGAGGCTGTTGAGAGGTGACTGACCTGGTGGTGTTGGCGTCCCCCCGCTGCAGGATGTGCACGATGTCAGGGTGGAAGTGGAGGGGGTCCCGCGGAGACAGCAGGTACAGCAGCACCTTACGGCCGTACTGGTTCCCTGCCACCAGGCTCAAACTCTTCAGCATCTCCTGCAACACACAGACGTACAGTAACATACTGCCATGGACCCTATGAAAGGAGGCGACTGGGTGGAGCAGTAATTACAAAAATGTAAAGAGGCCAGCAACACTGGGTAGAGCAGTATTTGCACAAATGTAAAGAGGACATGGACACTGGGTGGAGCTGTATTTACACAAATGTAAAGAGGCCATGAACACTGGGTGGAGCTGTATATACACAAATGTAAAGAGGCCAGCGACACTGGGTAGAGCAGTATTTGCACAAATGTAAAGAGGCCAGCGACACTGGGTAGAGCAGTATTTACACAAATGTAAAGAGGCCATGGACACTGGGTGGAGCTGTATTTGCACAAATGTAAAGAGGCCAGGGACACTGGGTAGAGCAGTATTTACACAAATGTAAAGAGGCCATGGACACTGGGTGGAGCTGTATTTACACAAATGTAAGAGGACATGGACACTGGGTGGAGCTGTATTTACACAAATGTAAAGAGGCCAGGGACACTGGGTGAAGCTGTATTTACAAAAATGTAAAGAGGCCATTGACACCGGGTGGAGCTGTATTTACACAAATGTAAAGAGGCCATTGACACTGGGTGGAGCTGTATTTACACAAATGTAAAGAGGACATGGACACTGGGTGGAGCTGTATTTACAAAAATGTAAAGAGGCCATTGACACCGGGTGGAGCTGTATTTACACAAATGTAAAGAGGCCAGGGACACTGGGTGGAGCAGTATTTGCACAAATGTAAAGAGGCCATGAACACTGGGTGGAGCTGTATTTACACAAATGTAAAGAGGCAAGGGACACTGGGTGGAGCTGTATTTACACAAATGAAAAGTGAGTGAGTGTGTGAGTGAGTTTGGTTTAACGCCGCTTTTAACAGTATTCCAGTTATATCACGGCGTGTCAGCTTAATGTGGGAGGAAAGCCCGAAGTGATGCAGGTCTCAGACGTTTACCACTTCAGTGAAACCCACGAGCACGGGTATGGTGCTGACAAACCTAGAAACATAATCGGGCGAACCGGGATTCGAACCCACAATCATAGGTTTCTGGCGTGCCCAAGGGACGCAACTCTGCACAGCGAATCGCGGCGCCTTAGACGACTGGGCCACCCGTGCCCCCTCAAAAATGTAAAGAGGACATGAACACTGGGCGAAGCTGTATTTACAAAAATGTAAAGAGGCCAGGGACACTGGGTGGAGCTGTATTTGCACAAATGTAAAGAGAACATGGACACTGGGTGGAGCTGTATTTACAAAAATGTAAAGAGGCCAGGGACACTGGGTGGAGCAGTATTTACACAAATGTAAAGAGGCCATTGACACTGGGTGGAGCTGTATTTACAAAAATGTAAAGAGGCCAGGGACACTGGGTGGAGCAGTATTTACACAAATGTAAAGAGGCCATTGACACTGGGTGAAGCAGTATTTACACAAATGTAAAGAGGACATGGACACTGGGTGGAGCTGTATTTGCACAAATGTAAAGAGGCCATTGACACTGGGTTGAGCTGTATTTACACAAATGTAAAGAGGACATGGACACTGGGTGGAGCTGTATTTACAAAAATGTAAAGAGGCCATTGACACCGGGTGGAGCTGTATTTACACAAATGTAAAGAGGCCAGGGACACTGGGTGGAGCAGTATTTGCACAAATGTAAAGAGGCCATGAACACTGGGTGGAGCTGTATTTACACAAATGTAAAGAGGCAAGGGACACTGGGTGGAGCTGTATTTACACAAATGAAAAGTGAGTGAGTGTGTGAGTGAGTTTGGTTTAACGCCGCTTTTAACAGTATTCCAGTTATATCACGGCGTGTCAGCTTAATGTGGGAGGAAAGCCCGAAGTGATGCAGGTCTCAGACGTTTACCACTTCAGTGAAACCCACGAGCACGGGTATGGTGCTGACAAACCTAGAAACATAATCGGGCGAACCGGGATTCGAACCCACAATCATAGGTTTCTGGCGTGCCTAAGGGACGCAACTCTGCACAGCGAATCACGGCGCCTTAGACGACTGGGCCACCCGTGCCCCCTCAAAAATGTAAAGAGGACATGAACACTGGGCGAAGCTGTATTTACAAAAATGTAAAGAGGCCAGGGACACTGGGTGGAGCAGTATTTACACAAATGTAAAGAGGTCAGGGACACTGGGTGGAGCAGTATTTACACAAATGTAAAGAGGTCAGGGACACTGGGTGGAGCTGTATTTACACAAATGTAAAGAGGTCAGGGACACTGGGTGGAGCTGTATTTGCACAAATGTAAAAAGGTCAGGGACACTGGGTGGAGCTGTATTTACACAAACGTAAAGAGGCCAGGGACACTGGGTGGAGCTGTATTTACACAAATGTAAAGAGGCCAGGGACACTGGGTGGAGCTGTATTTGCACAAATGTAAAGAGGTCAGGGACACTGGGTGGAGCTGTATTTGCACAAATGAAAGGGTCAATCATCCCACCATGTGTTGGAAGTACTAGAAACACATAGGAATGTGTATCGGCAACAATATTGTTTTGCAATAAACTGTGATTCGGGTATATGGTGTGTGTAAATATATGTATAACTACAGGTAGAATATGTAATGTGTGTACTGACCTCTAGAATGACTTTGGAGACAAACTTTGTGTCATCCACGACGTCGAAGATCGCCAGCAAGACCATGTGACCATACTCGTCCTGGCTGATACGTGAGATGTGAGTCTTGAGACTCTTCAGAATCACCTTCCGGTCCTGAACAGAGAACACATACATGGGTAATGTGCCATACATTTCCTAACCTAGTTAATGAGAGAGTGTGAATGTTGTGTAATGCATTAGTCAATAACACAATCAACTATAGACCAATTTGGGGGGGAACAAAATAACCTTGACTCATTCGTCACACAATTTAACACATTTTCAAAGATAGTATGTTGTAATTGGGTGTCAGGAAGAAACCTGAATCCTGATATGGTCTTGTTAACATCGTCCGCCTCCGTGGTCTAGTGGTAGAGCGTCCTCCCGGAGAGCGGAAGGTCCGGGGTTCGATCCCCGGCCGTGTCATACCAAAAGATGTTAAAAGATGGTACCAATAAGGACTGGTCGGCTCGGAGTCAGTATACTGTGTCTGAGTGGGGTATTCATGTTAAACTGCGGCATGGTATCTCAGTGAGCTGGCACTATAAATCGGCATCAGTCCGGACTAATACAAGCAGCCACACACACACATGTGCATGCGCGTTGCTATATAAGTGCAATAATCTTGGACGCGACGTTAAACCCAATTTCACCTCACCTCATCTCTTAACATCAAAACAACAATTTGAATTGAGTTCAAACATTTGCATCATCAATCTTGCAGCCAATCACAGTGATTACCCTTATGCAGTGTGAGGCAATTGTACATTACTATAAAAGAATTACCCTGTTTTCAATGATTCATTTGTACTCAATAAAACATGTTGGAACAATACTGACCTTGACAGTGCCAAACCAGATGCAGTACATGGCGACCCTTGACCCATCCCGTGTGTGTATCATCGTGATCAGTTGTTCACGGAGACACTCAATCATTTCCTGGGGAAAAATGGGAACATCATCACTCAGTGTGTATAAATTAGCTTTAACTGTTGAATTGACAGTTCAGACTTTATACATCTACCAATGATTATTTCTGACCACAGTCCTGATGATCTGTAGACAATGTGTAAGACCTGAGTGAGTGACTGAGTGAGTTTTGGGAATAATTTCAGTGCACATTCGACAAGCGATGGCTGTGGCCATAGCAGCGACCATGTTTTCGGAACACAAATGTTAGTTGTAAAATGTTCCCTGATTGGACTTTCATTATGTGCTGTTGTCCACACGTATTTTAGCACAGAAAAGTAGGCTTAAAATGGCAAGGGTTGAAACTAGACTTTGATATAGGCTAGTGGACAAGATTGAGTCAGGAGGATAACCTTTACATTGAACTTACCGATCTCATCTTGTCAGTGGCATAGTGGAAGAAATCATGGAAGATCTTGTGCACCATGGAGTGAGCCAATATATCCCTGTTGAAAGACAACAATATCAAATCTTTAACTGGAATGTGGTTTTACTCATAAAAAAATGTCTCCCCTCATATACATCAGTTCAACTTGTAACCATAAATGTGTTTGCAAATCCAAAAAACAATAGCAAAAAAAGATTAGTACAGATTCTGATCAATGTATTAAGCAGCATTACAGTTGATGCCATACTGACTCTTTAAGGCAGACAAGACTATTGGAACTTTCAACAGCAGTTTGGATAATGGATTGTATTGTGCAAGTAGATGTACCCATAACGTACAATCTGTAATGTTATGCTCAGTAGAAAAATTTCCAATTGTTTCCATGGAAACACAAGAAATAAAACAAAACAAATTGAAACATATGAAAAGCAATAGTTGAGCATGTGGTCATTGCACATGTCTAGTTTCATGAGAAAAAATTCATTATTTTGAGAGTTATGGTTGGCAATGAAGCCTTGAGTTGTTTGAAACTAAGTCAAAGTGTTTCCATTAAACAAGAAAACAAAATCTAGAAAAATTTCAAAATAGCAAAAGGCACCAGTTAAGCTGATGGGCAATGCATAAACAAAGTATTGGGTGGTGGGGATGGGGTTGGGGAAGATGGAGAGATATAGTAATGAAGATCAAAACTCTTCCAACATATTTCTGTAAATTCTTGAAGTGAGGTGAAATTGGGTTTAACGTCGCGTCCAAGATTATTGCACTTATATAGCGACGTGCATGTACGTGTGTGTGTTTGTGTGGCTGCTTGTACTAGTCCGGACTGATGCCGATTTATAGTGCTAGATCACTGAGATACCATGCTGCAGTTTAACATGAATACCCCACTCAGACACAGTATACTGACTCCGAGCCGATCAGTCCTTGTTTTAGCCCCTTAATGCCGAGCGCCAGACAGGGTAACAACAAGTACCATCTTTTAACGTCTTTTGGTATGACGCAGCCGGGGATCGAACCCCGGACCTTCCGCTCTCCGGGGGTCTACCAAAAGACCACGGAGGCGTTTGTAAATTCTTGTTATTCCTGATTCTAGTGAGAATGGGTAAGCTACACATACTTGTCAATGAGGGGCAGGAGAGCCTCCTTCATGTTGCTGAGGATCATGTCCTTCTTGTCCGGCTGCTCCAGCATGATCTGTTCCAGGGACTTGGTGTCGTGATTCTGTCGGGGGAACAGACTCAGTCAGTCAGCATGTGGTCATACCCAGTAGCCAAACACAAACATCGCTCTCCTGACCATCACTTGTCAACCACCAATCAAATACTTCAACAGGATACTATTCACACAACACCTTTGTAAAAAGTGAGTGAGTGAGTTGGGTTCATACTCAGTCAGTCAGCATGTGGTCATACCAAGTAGCCAAACACAAACATCGCTCTCCTGACCATCACTTGTCAACCACCAATCAAATACTTCAACAGGATACTATTCACACAACACCTTTGTAAAAAGTGAGTGAGTGAGTTGGGTTCATACTCAGTCAGTCAGCATGTGGTCATACCAAGTAGCCAAACACAAACATCGCTCTCCTGACCATCACTTGTCAACCACCAATCAATACTTCAACAGGATACTATTCACACAACACCTTTGTAAAAAGTGAGTGAGTGAGTTGGGTTCATACTCAGTCAGTCAGCATGTGGTCATACCCAGTAGCCAAACACAAACATCGCTCTCCTGACCATCACTTGTCAACCACCAATCAATAATTCAACAGGATACTATTCACACAACACCTTTGTAAAAAGTGAGTGAGTGAGTTGGGTTCATACTCAGTCAGTCAGCATGTGGTCATACCAAGTAGCCAAACACAAACATCGCTCTCCTGACCATCACTTGTCAACCACCAATCAAATACTTCAACAGGATACTATTCACACAACACCTTTGTAAAAAGTGAGTGAGTGAGTTGGGTTCATACTCAGTCAGTCAGCATGTGGTCATACCAAGTAGCCAAACACAAACATCGCTCTCCTGACCATCACTTGTCAACCACCAATCAAATACTTCAACAAGATACTATTCACACAACACCTTTGTAAAAAGTGAGAGAGTTGGGTTCAACACCGTTTTGAACAGTATTTCAGTTATATCACGGCATGTCAGCTTAACGAGGAAGGAAAGCATGAAGTAATGCAGGTTTAAGACATTGACCACTTCGGTGAAACATATGAGCAGGGTTTGGTGCTCATAAACCTAGAAACAATCGGGTAAACCAGGATTCAAACCCACAATCTTAGGTTTCTGCACAGCGAATTGCGGCACCTTAGACAACTAGGCCACCCGTGCCCCCACTTTTGTGAACAGAATATCATGACTATACAGATATATCATATACACAGATCATAAATAGACATTATACAGATCAAAGCTATTGGTTCTGGGTCAAGAATCTATGTGCATATCGGTAATCAAAATAGTGTTTTATTGAAGTGAGAATTGTGCTACTATAGAAGTCTGTGACTTTAGCCACAAGTGCGAAGCCAGAGTCAAACAAAAAGACTTTTGCCATAAAATTTTCATACAATAACACTCATATCTACTAAAAATGAGATCAAGTGACAGTATGGGCGATTCAAATATTTTTGACACAGGCTGCTCTTCTCCTCACACCTTGAACAAAGTAAAGCTTGGTCCATAGAACTCCTCCATCATAGACAAGCGCTGGGGAGCGTTAGCGTAGTCGTTGTAGGCAAATTCCAAGATTTCCACTGCTTCCTGCACAAAGTAAAAATACATTGATACAACATGTACAAGATGAAAATGGCTTGTATTGTGATACAGTACAATTATCAATACACTGTAAGATGTGAAACTTTGGGAGGGATATTATAGGTTAAGCGCTTCTATTTTCAGGTACAGATCCTAACAACCTCATTCATTAGCATCTATTCAAAAGATTTGTTTTATGTGATTCTAGCATGATATTTGTTGAATTTCTTTTCATTACCCAATTATTTGTGTTCACATGATCACAATGATTTTTTTGAATATACAGTGGAAAAAGTTGTCAGTTTGTAGCTAACTTGACATTCCTGTGATGTGTGTCTTTGTTATATTACAGTGTTCACCAGGACAGACAAAATGTTGTACCTTTTTCAAGAAACTTACAAGCAAGGATCATGATTAGAGAAAGCTGGAGACCGATGGCAAAGAGACGGAAACTTACTCTGTGTCTTATCAACTTCCGAACATTGCCATGGAACGTCTTGAACATAAAGTTGCGCTGCTGTTTAGAGCTGAAGAGGAAACAATTTACATTATTGCAAGGAATTTACATTGTATACATCTCTCCAAAAAGAAATAATAAACTCAACTAAAAGTAGAATTTTGTAGAATTTTCCTATTCGGAATATTCTATAAGTAATACGTTACCACTGTTATACCGAGGCTGTTGTCTCCCACAACTGCTGCTATAGCGAAATCTACCACAGAGATCTCAATTACCTCATGCAGCACGTGCGTAGTCACCTAGCTGCCATGTGACACCCTTCACTCTTGTCTCCTGCGAGAGCAAGTGCTCGGGGGACGGACGGGCGGGCAGCAGCCCAGTGGTAACGTATTACTTATAGAATATTCCGAATAGGAAAATTCTACAAATTACATTAAGTAATACGTTACCACTGTTATACCGAGGCTGACTACCACAGTAGGCGGTGGGGAGCACCTACAACCCGAATCCTGACTGCTAGCGTTCCTTCCGACCAGCGGAAGTAAACACCAAGGCGGAAGCACTCGATGCGCATGCACCTAGCTAGGCGTTACCCTATAGGAATACCAAAGCACTGTCAAGCGCATACCGTAAGGCTCAATCATCATTGCCAAAACGATTGGTGACTCCAAACGGCCCCACTGGATAGGTATTTCATCGCCGCAGCGGATGAGAACACTGTATCCGCGTGAGCTTAATCTTAGATCAGGTTAAACAGTCGAAAAGAGGGAAATTAATTTCCTTCAGACCGTATATCCCAGAGCAAGCCTACTTAAAGTATGCATTAGGCGCGTGACCTAATTCCAGTATTTGTAAGCATGCATCACAAGGTTGGGATACACGACAGACAATTAAAGACATAATTGTCAAAATACAAATAAGGACAAAGCACACAAAAAGCCGCCCTCACCTGTGGTGTGAGTGCGCTGGTTTGCGGGACCCCAACTCCTGTACCCACGGCAGTGGGAACATTGGAGACGACCCAGATTGACCACCGTGCAAGGTCAGACGCCTGAGGAGTTCGGAATTGCGCTGGGCACACCCCTTAGGTGCCCGCTTGCGCCGCGATCCGCGGGCCAAGACGGTGCACACTCTCCACGACGGCATCAGCGACCTGTTTGAGGTAATGATTGGCAAAAACCGAGTCAGAACGCCAGTAACAACCTCGTAATATTCTGCGAACAGAGATATTCGAGTGTAGGGCAAATGTTGCCGCTAGCGCCCTGATCTCGTGCGGGTTTGACCCCGCTACCGGTAACCCCCGAAACCGGTACGCCAGATTGATGACAGAACGAAGCCACAACGCAATCGAGTTGCGAGTTATTGCGATTAGGGTTACACGATATGAACAGACGGTCACGCCCTTGTCTACGTTCATTCGAAGCCTTAAGATAATACTTAAGGGCCCTAACCGGACACAGCGCTCTGTCCTCAGTATCAGCAGGATGTAAGATTTCTTTGAGTGATCTTACAGTGAATTCTCTCTCCGTATGCCCGACTCTCTGATTCTTGGCGACGAAGCCCATGAGCAGGCCCAGGCGGACCGCTCCTTCGTCACCCCTATCGAATCGTACCTTGGCGACATCGAGTGCATGAATTTCGGATACACGTGCCGCCGTGGCAAAGGAGAGGAGAAATGCTGTTTTCCAAGTCACATGCCGGAACGAAGCACTATGCAAGGGTTCATACGGAGCTTCCGTAAGTGATTGCAACACTAGGGAAAGATCCCAGGCCGGTGCCCGAAGGCGGCCCTTCTTAAGATCGTGCTGTTTGAAACCCTTGATAATACCCCGTATCACCGGCTCTTTGGAGAGACTGGTACCCATAGCAACGCCCCGTACCGTAGCAACGGACGAGACATAGTTGGCAATGGAACCCCCGGAGAGTTTCCGGGTCTCTCGCAAGTGAGACATGAAACGAGCAATATCCTGCACAGATACCTTATCTGGCGAATGAATGTGATGTTTACAACACCACTTCGTGAAAATAACCCAACGTGTATTATACACCTTCTGGGTAGAATCACGATGCATACTAACGTATGCCCGAGACGCCCGGCGAGAAAAAACTTTACTCCTCAGACGCTCGGTGACAACATCCACGCGTGCAGATTGAACTGCCCTGCGTTTGGATGAAGCTGACGGGTGTGAGGGTGGATCAAGAGATCCGGTCTCACAGGCAGTGGAAGTGGCGACTGCGTGACCTGGGTCAGCAAGTCGGGGTACCACGATCAGTTCGGCCACATGGGCGCGATCAGTAACATTCGACAGCGAACTCCTCGGAGCCGGCTTAGAATGTGTGGTATCAACGCTGTCGGCGGGTAAGCATAAGCGTCCAAGCCCGTCCAGTCTAACGCGAGAGCATCGTGATCGATGGCCCTCGGGTCCGGGACTGGTGATACAAACAACGGGAGTTGATTGTTGAACCGCGTTGCGAACAGGTCGACCATCGGACGACCCAAACGTTCGCACAGCCACTGAAACACTACTGGGTTCAGCATCCACTCTGTGGGGCTCGGATCCTGAGGCCTCGATAGAGCATCGGCCAGTACGTTCCGCACACCTGGGATGTGACGGGCGCGTATCTGGCACGGGACACTGTCCACCAGAGCGTAAAACTCGAACGTGAGATCGAGTAGCGAGTGACTGTGGGTTCCCCCCAGTTTGTTCACATAGGACACTACCGTCGTGTTGTCGGTCGCCAGCATGAGCCGGGCGTCGACGAGACGATGCTGCCAGTGATTGACTGCGTTGATCACTGCCTTGAACTCGAGACAAGTGATGTGAAGACCTAGTTCGTCTACGCACCACAGCCCCGAGCTCACCTCCCCCTTTAGCTGGGCGCCCCAGCCCACTAGAGAGGCGTCTGTATACAGGGTCAACGTGGCCCGGTAGGGCCGCATAGAGACTCCTGATTAGACAATGTAAGGGACCGTCCACCACTCCAGATGCGGTCGGAGCCGATCCGGGAGGGCGACGGTCGCACTGTTCACCTCCGTTGCTAACAACTGGATTAAAAACCGTTGCAGCGGGCGGAGTTGGAGACGACCCCGTGCGGTGCAGTCCTGGGCTGATACAAGTAGCCCTAACAGCTGTTCCCAAAAGTGAACAGTCTGTTGCACCGCTAAGACTTTGGCAATCATCCCCTGAATTTTGTGCCACCGGTTTGGGGGGACAAAGAGGCGATGGGACACCGTGTTGAACCGACCTCCGATGAACAGCAAGTTCTGAGAAGGGGTTAACTCGCTCTTGGGGAGATTGATAATCCACCCAAATTGCTCCAAGAGCCGACGTGCGAAAACGAGATGGCGTGACAGGGTGTCCGTCATTCGATTTGCTACTAGCGAGTCGTCCAGGTACGCGAAGTACCGGACACCCCTCCTGTGGAGGAACCCCACTATGGGGGTGGTTAACCGGGTGAACAGCCAGGGAGCGGACGTGTGAATCATTCTGAGTTCGGCACTGTCCTACTTGGGAACGAGAAATATCCTGGAGTAAAACCCCGGTGTTATTTCTGGTAGAGCTAACTCCCGTACTGCCCCTTCTCCACCAACCTGCCGATGGCATCGGCGAGGATGGGAAGATCGGTTTCCGAATCGAAACCTGCCAACGGGGCAACGGTGAGCGGCGGATTCGCTTTGAGATCAAGCCGATAGCCGTACCGAATCGTGTTGACCACCCACGGGTCGTCGAACACTTGTTCCCAATTCTCCCAGTAAGTCTGGAGTCTGGCTCCCACTGGGGAAGGAGAGGGGGCCCTGACAGGTTGCGGCAGGCGCAACTGTCCAGGGCCAAGTGACTCGGGTTCGCCTAAGGGCCAACCGAAGTTGGCGCTGTCGGCATACGAACCCCTCCAATGAGAGTCACCTGGAGGGGCCCTTGCCGTCCGTCGACGACTTGGGCTTCCCCCAGTTCCCCGTCTTCCCACGAAAGGGCAGCTGATTGCCCATACCGGAGCCCTCAGGGCGGGGCTACTTCCCAGAGGAAGAAGAACCCGACCCCTTAGACCTACCGGCCGCAGCAGCCTGGGGCGCGCTCCGGTTAGGAGCGGCACCCAGGCGCCTATGCAGGGACCCAACAAGAGCAAGTGTGTGCCGAGAGTCCTCGGCAACGTACTCCAGGGAAGCATTTAAACTGAGCAGGCAGTTGTAAATGCGCTGGTCACGGTCCGTGGGAGAACCTTCGACCAGACGGGCCGCTGCAGCCAAGTAAGTGTCTCCGTGAGACATGGAGTGCCGAGCGAGGGCGTCCAGCTGGTGCAAGGTAGCTTGCGTTACCGTAGCAGCCGGTGGGGCACGGACACCCAACCGCTCAACATGGGCCTCCGCGGTAGGACCAGCCTCGGGAAAGGCAAGGTCATGTACCGGGAATAAACCCTTTCTCCACGACGTCGGAGGCAACGGGAGACCCCGACCGGAGGCCGCCGCGAAGGCGTTCTCCAAGGAAGGCTTGAAACCTCGCAGCAAGGTTGATGCGGGGAAAGCCGTGTCGGAAGACTCATCGTATACCTCGGAGGAACCCACAGTCGTGGATTCCCCGCGGTACCGGCCGGGGCATGTCCTCAAAGAGGTCATAAACCATGGCCACGCGGTCCTAAACCGATAGCGGGAGCAACGGTTCGGGGGAAGGACCGGTGACCACGGGAGCCGCCGCCGTACCGGTGGACCCCGCGTCCGACCCCGCGGCCACCGAAGTGGCCGGGGACGGAACAGCCAGCGGCCTATCCTGAGATAAGGCCGCCAGCTTGGAGTCCACGAGTTATGCAAGTAATGCAGCGACGGAATCCCCGGACAGCACACGGGCCGCCAAGATATCCGCCGCTTTACCGGTGGACCCCGCGTCCGACCCCGCGGCCACCGAAGAGGCCGGGGACGGAACAGCCAGCGGCCTATCTTGCGATAAGGCCGCCAGCTTGGAGACCACAAGTTTCGACAACAATGCGGCGACGGAATCCCCAGACAGCCCGAGGGGCCGCAAGGGGATCCGCCGCAGCCGAGGAGGTGGTACCCGCACGGGGACCCCGACCGGACGAACCGGCCACCACAGGGGTGGAGACGGACTGTACGTACAGCCGGTACCGCTCAAACTCCGCAGGCCCCAGACCTTCGCACAGGATGCACCGGGTGTCCCCGCAAGGAACCCTGCACCGCGGGCAACGATCGTGGGGATCCCGGGACGACAAAAACTTTCTGCACACCCCACAACTCCGAGGAGCAGGGGTAGAGGGGGTGGATACTGGGGACATAGCCATGTCAGACATTGATTGTTTGCTATAAACAAAGAACAAAACATGGTTACAACGCACGCACCACAATGATTCACAAACGAACATTTTCACAAGAAAATAAACGAGCAATGTGAACATATAACATACACACATAACTTTTATTAAAGAAATAAGTGATGTTAACCCCCAAAACATACAAGAACAGGGGAAACGTAAAACACAACGTGCATACGCGAACCCCGCAAGTATATAGAAAAAAGGGCGGGAAAAATTTTCCGTTTGGCGGGAAAATTATAACCAAGCGTAGCTACCGCAACGCCCCATAAAAGCACAGTTTATTAGAGAATAAACTATAATAAATATCACCAAATCTTAAAGGAACGCTTCAGCAGGAGAAAACACGTCTTGCTAAGCAGACGAAGGAGACAAGAATGAAGGGTGTCACATGGCAGCTAGGTGGCTACGCACGTGCTGCATGAGGTAATTGAGATCTCTGTGGTAGATTTCGCTATAGCAGCAGTTGTGGGAGACAACAGCCTCGGTATAACAGTGGTAACGTATTACTTAATGTAATGTCATAGGATAGACTCATTTACAATCACACAGAGAAGGTTCATGTGAAAATAACAGAGCCACCTGAAGTCATCTTCCCGAGGCAAGAGAGTTAACTGACTATAAAAGTCCAGTTTCCACCCTTGCCGAACTAGGTTGGAATTCCTGGGCTCGATCGTAGCACCACCAGTGGCTATTACGAGTAATGTCCTTTCTATGCCTCTCCTATTGACCAATCAGATTCAACCTCTCGTATCACTTGCATTTGCTTCAAACAAAACGGTGGCGCCCAGTCAAGACGATCTGATCGATAATCAAGATCTATATTGTGATCAAACGAGTCTTACATCGCGAAGTGCATCAAATCACGTGAACACCTTGATTAAAAACATGAAAAGATATAGAAAATATCTGCTGACAACAAGTTAGCGGTGCATATGTTTTGCAAATCCTGCAGTCGACCGAAATCTGCATGACACTTTACGAACCAGGTTTCGATTTCGGTGCTCGATTTTGACTGGATTATGCATAGGCTCGTTAGTCCAGCCAAAATAAAACTCCATAATACCAGCCTAGTTCGGCAAGGGTGGAAACTGGACTTTTATAGTCAGTTAACACACTTGCCTCGGGAAGATGCCTGAAGTTAAACTATCATTAGTCTATGTCCACATATATATGATAGTTGCAGCACAATGGATACTCTGTGGAACCTGAACACTGATGTCTTCACTTCAGAGGCATTTAACGTATCGACATTCCCTAATGAGTGAGTTGGTTTTACCGCCGCTTTTAACAGTATTCCAGTTATATCTCGGCGTGTCAGCGGCGTGGGAGGAAAGCCCGAAGTGATGCAGGTCTCAGACGTTTACCACTTCGGTGAAACCCACAAGCACGGGTATGGTGCTGACAAACCTAGAAACATAATCGGGGTGAACTGGGATTCGAACCCACAATCATAGGTTTCTGGCGTGCCAAAGGGACGCAACTCTGCACAGTGTATCGCGGCGCCTTAGACGACTGGACCACCCGTGCCCCCACATCACCTAATGGACAGCTACCATGGAAATTAGTTCACATAAAAGTTGTTATTTGTTGTTTAATGTCGCACTCAGTAATATTCCAGGGACATGATGACTGTCTGTAAATAATCAAGTCTGGACCAGACAATCCAGTGATTGACAGCATGAGCATCGATCCACGCAAATTGGGATACGATGACATGCATCAACCAAGTCAGCGAGCCTGACCACCCGATCCCGTTAGTCGCCTCTTACGACAAGCACAGTCGCGTTTTCCAGCAAGCAAGATCTATTCCAGATTTTCACAGGTCTGTTGTTATGTGTTGATTAATGTCGCACTCAGTAATATTCCAGGGACATGATGACTGTCTGTAAATAATCAAGTCTGGACCAGACAATCCAGTGATTGACAGCATGAGCATCGATCCACGCAAATTGGGATACGATGACATGCATCAACCAAGTCAGCGAGCCTGACCACCCGATCCCGTTAGTCGCCTCTTACGACAAGCACAGTCGCGTTTTCCAGCAAGCAAGATCTATTCCAGATTTTCACAGGTCTGTTGTTATGTGTTGTTTAATGCCACACTCAGTAATGTTTCAGGTACATGATGGCGGGGTGTAAATAATCAAGTCTGGACCAGACAGTCCAGTGATCGATATTATGAGATGTGATTCATGTCGTCAGGGTTCCATGTCACAGGTGAGGTGAGGTGAAATGGGGTTTAACGTCGCGTCCAAGATTATTGCACTTATATAGCAACGAGCATGTACGTGTGTGTGTTTGTGTGGCTGCTTGTACTAGTCCGGACTGATGCCGATTTATAGAACTAGCTCACTGAGATACCATGACGCAGTTTAACATGAATACCCCACTCAGACACAGTATACTGACTCCGAGCCGACCAGTCCTTGTTTTAGCCCCTTAATGCTGAGCGCCAGACAGGGTAACAACAAGTACCATCTTTTAACGTCTTTTGGTATGACGCGGCCGGGGATCGAACCCTGTACCTTCCTCACTCCGGGCGCACGCTCTACCACTAGACCACGGAGGCGGTTTCCATGTCACAGAGCCTGACTAACTGATCCCTCAAGTTGCCTCTCACGACCAGTATAGGTTACTGGGGACATATTCAGACCCAGAATACCTACAGAGTTGTCCACATAGAAGATCAGCCATCTGTTTAATGTAGCATATGAACTGTCCATCACAACATTGAATCTAACATAAGATTACAAAGACAATGTGAGTGAGTTGTGTTTTATGCCACTTTGAACAGTTTGTTTGTTGTTCAATGCCACACTCAGCAATATTCCATATATATAAATAATCAAATCTGGACCAGACAATCCAGTGATTGATATCACAAGTATCGATCCACGCAATTGGGATACAATGACATGCATCAACCAAGTCAGCGAGCCTGACCACCCGATCCCATTAGTCCTCTCTTACGACAAGCATAGTCGCCTCTTACGGCAAGCATGGGTTGCTGAAGACATATTCTATCCCAGATCTTCACGTGTCCGCTTTCAACAATATTTCAGTTATATCACAGTATCTCAGCCTGATGTGGGAGGAAAGCCTAAAGTGATTCGGGTCTCCAAATGATACCACTACACGGGTATGGTAATATAATCAGGGCAAACCAGGATTTCAACCCACGACCACAGGTTCCTGCATACCTACAAGACACAACTCTGCACAGTGAATTGTGGTGCCTTTGTCAACTAGGACACACTTGCTCCCAGGAAAACAAAGAGTTATACCTAAGCATTGCATAGACAGACTGTACAATTACTTACCCATATTTCAATATTTTCCTGATCACAAACTTGGCATACTTTGACTTGCACATTGAAACTATGTCATCTGTAACAGAATACAAACAGAAATACATAATACATTAAAACTGTTTCTTGTATTACATGTCAAGTAACAAGGAAGAATCTTACCTACATTCAATTTAATAGAACCTGATAATATCTAGCAAACACGGACACTCTAAAAATAGCACACTTCCATGTTTACTTCAGTCATGTGACTTCTAGTCAGAACTCCTCACACCTACAAACTCCCAACACTGATATACAACACTGATGACATACATATATCTGACCAGTGTGGAGACCGGTAATTAAGTACAGTTTTGCTGATCTAAGTGCACAACTCAACTTGCATCCCTGGTTTACTCAATGTGTGCAAACTTTGTTATAGTTATCACTAGGGATGGGTATTTGGGGTTTAAAGTGTTTCACAATATTTTGCGATGCACAAGGCTGTATTGCGATACATATCACTACATATTGTATAATTCTAAATTTTGAATTCAGAAGCAATAAGGTATGAATTAAAGTTCATAAATGGAACGAAACAACATAATGATCTTGTGATACGTACTGTGGAAAGAATGAACCTCAATTTACTGACATACCGATAATACCGAACACCCTTACTTATCACACCTTTGCTTAAAATACCCACCATAACCCAATTAATTTAGAGTTGATTGCATCCAAATATGCATGGATACATTTTTAAAATCCAATAGTCTAATGACACTGTGTGTAATTACCAAATGTAGCTTTTTAGATTGTGTTCATGTGTGTCTTTATAAATCTTTACCTACCCGGTACTTTACCTATCGAATACAGACATCACATATACATGAACTCTGCTTGAGTGAATAACACGTTTAAGGTAACCAAGACAAGTATCACTGTGTGTGAACTCATGCAATTTGTGACACACTTGGGGAATCACATGGACAATTGTAAAATAAAGTCTGTTTAAGGAGAAATATGCTCATAAAAGGTTCACTCATTGGTTTAAAAATACCAATAGAATGGACCCAAGTGTGTAAATATACTTGAATGCCATACGCGATGACCATACATGTTGGTTAATATGTGAAGAATTACTCATATTCAAGAGATTTAAGATTGGTTCGATGCACAACAGACATACTGGTTGGTTGCTCGTGAACACGTCACATGTGACGTCATAGATCCATGACTCGAGATGCACCATTTGTCTTGTGCAGGACTCGTGTGTAAAGTTTGGAAATCACATGCAGCATATCGTGATAAGATTAAAAACACCGTGGTAACACTTGACTGATTGTTAGTTTTGTCATTAAGTGGTCTACATAGGAAACATCTCTTCCTAACGTACATACTTCTCTGTATTAGTGTATGTTTCTATGGCTCGCATTTCTTCTGGCGGTGAGCACATATAGATTACCAAGAAAAAAACTATCAATACCCAAAGTGAAGTGAAATGGGGTTTAACGTCGCGTCCAAGATTATTGCACTTATATAGCAACGAGCATGTACGTGTGTGTGTTTGTGTGGCTGCTTGTACTAGTCCGGACTGATGCCGATTTATAGAACTAGCTCACTGAGATACCATGACGCAGTTTAACATGAATACCCCACTCAGACACAGTATACTCCAAGCCGACCAGTCCTTGTTTTAGCTCCTTAATGCCGAGCGCCAGACAGGGTAACAACAAGTACCATCTTTTAACGTCTTTTGGTATGACACGGCCGGGGATTGAAATCTGGACCTTCCACTCTCCGGGCGGACGCTCTACCACTAGACCACAGAGGCGGTCCATACCCAAAGTGAATAACATGAGAGTTAAAACTTAATGGCTAATAAATAACCTAGAGCCTTGACATGCGTATTACAGCTGTTTACCTTTGATCTCCTCCATGACTGCTGTCCTGTGTTCGGGGTTGCCATACTGCACCAGACACTGGACCACACGCGCTGTATCGTGGGCCATAGACATCTGTAACACAGCCAGGACATCACAAGGTTGTACACATCCATCATCAGTTGGGCCAGGACCCATCACGGTGATTTCAAATATATGTGTCTGTTTCTTTATTTGTTTGTTGTTTTACACGGCACTCAACAATATTACAGCCATATCACGACTGTCGGTAAATAATCCAGTCTGGATCTGACGACATCCCACATGGTTGGAGTGTGAAGACATACAATCAGCCAAGTCACCAATCACCTAATCCAATTTAGTCGTCTCCTTTAACAAGCAAACGAGTGCTGAGGACCTATAACCTGGGTCCCCACCAGGCACATCATGAGGCGACAGGTGTTGAAATAAGCCAGAACTAGTGAGTGAGTGAGTATGGTTTTACGCCGCTTTTAGCAATATTCCAGCAATATCACGGCGGGGAACACCAGAAATGGGCTTCACACATTGTACCCATGTCGGGAATCGAACTCGGGTCTTCGGCGTGACGAGCGAACGCTTTAACCACTCGGCTACCCGACCGCCCCAAGCCAGAACTTAGACTCAAGCAGCAGTCCATGCTGTCAACCACGTGCCAAGTTACCCACTTGTTAAATCACAAAATCACATGTTTCATCGGGATCGGGAGGTCAGGCCCGCTGACTTGGCTGACACATAAGCAGCATGTTATCGATGCTCATGATGTCAGTCACTGGATTGTCTGGTCCAGATTCGATTACTCACAGACCACCGTCATATAGCTGGAATATTGCTGAGTGCGGCGTTACAACCAAAATAAACCAAAAAACATTGAGTTACCTGACAGAATATCAGACAGGTCATGAGTTTCTTTGTCACTGGCAAAAATCCACCATGTTCACACCAGCCATACATAACCATCAACTGATCCCCATATCAGTAAGCTCTTGGATACAGGATCACCCTAGAGTCCATGAGTTCCCAATTGCGTGACTTGCTCATGATGTCAACCACTGGAAAGTCACTTACAGACCACCATCATATGGCTAGAATATTGCTGAGTGCGGCGTTAAAGAAACAAACAAACAAACAAAGTCATGAGAGTGAGTGCATGAGCGAAGGTTTCTTTATGCCACACTCAAGTTTCCTTTGCAAATAATAAAATCTTGTCAAGGAAAGCCAGTGGATGATAGCATGAGCATCATGAACATGGTGAATGATAACAGTTTTTAACACACTATCAGCAAAGCCACACACTGTAAGCACCACATGCCCATCTTCTTCAGACCCGTGCACATACAGGGTGGAATAGGTTCTCAGCAGCCCATGCTTGATGTAAAAGTCGACTATGCTTGTCGTAAGAGGCGACTAATGGGATCGGTTGGTAGGGCTCGCTGACTTGGTTGATGCATGTCATCGGTCCCAATTGCGTGGATCGATGCTCATGATGTCAATCACTGGAATGTCTGGTCCAGACTTGATTATTTACAGACCACAGTCATATAGCTAGAATATTGCTGAGTGCGGCGTTAAACAAAAAACAAAATCATCTTCAACCACACTGTATCATGGGGTGTTGTGTCCCAGACACTGTCGGGAGTCAGTGAGTGAGTGAGTGAGTATGGTTTTACGCCGCTTTGAGCAATATTCCAGCAATATCACGGCGGGGGACACCAGAAATGGGCTTCACACATTGTACCCATGTCAGGAATCGAACCCGGGTCTTCGGCGTGACGAGCGAACGCTTTAACCACTAGGCTACCCGACCGCCCCTTGGGAGTCAGTGAGAGAATGGGGAGTACTCACCTCATGCACTTTCCCCCTGACCATGTTGAACACCTCCTGGCACAGCTTCTGTCTCTGGTCGTCAGGCAGGGCATGTCTGTAACACACACCATACAGTATCACGCAAGCATCCTGAATATTTAATTTGAAAACAGATACCAACAAACAGAGCACCCCCACCCCACCCAAAAAAGAATCTGTACTTTACTAAGAATGTTTTATCCCAAATATAACATTTGTTACATTTGACCACTTTCTAAATGGCATTGTGTTCAGATCCTCCTTGTTAAAACTTGTACACTTAAAGTATGACAAAACGGAAAGAATACAATCTGGGGCTGACCTTCGCATATCCTCCCACAACTTCTTGGCTTTAATAATCAGGTCGTAGTTGTTTTTAGTCATCTTCCGCTGTTGTCTCCGCTCTTTCCACGACATATCTTTCTCTTTAGGTTTCTTCATGGCAACTTGAACACAAGACAACAGCAGTAAGCATAAGCTGGGACGCTCTTGAAGTGAATGCAAAGCTTGACAAAGCATAACACGTGCTTATAGCAACAACAGCACAAGAATAGATGGTACCAAGAAGCTGACAAAAGTATATTCACCCAAACACATAATAGACGCACAGCAACACTGTGCCAACCAGAGAGGCAAATTACACAGACACTTGTCAAATATGTTTCATTTCATAGAGTGATGTCAGGTCACAAGATTATTTATTGAAAATTTTACACAAAATTGTGTAATTATATACTCATCCTATCTCACACTATGCATTTCTCCTCCTTTCGAGCTTGGTGTACACAAGAATATTCACACACAGTATTATGTACACAAGAACACACACAGTATTATGTGCACAAGAACACACACAGTATTATGTACACAAGAACCAATATTATGTACACAAGAACTTTCAAACAGTATTACATACGCAAGAACACACACAGTATTACGCACACAAGAACACACACAGTATTACGCACACAAGAACACACAAAGTATTACGCACACAAGAACACACACAGTATTACGCACACAAGAACACACAAAGTATTACGTACACAAGAACACACACAGTATTATGTACACAAGAACTTTCACAAACAGTAATATGTACACACGAACTTCCACACACAGTATTATGTACACAAGAACACACACAGTATTATGTACACAAGAACACACACAGTACTACGTAAACAAGAGCACACACAGTATTTTATACACAAGAACACATGGTATTATGTACACAAGAACACACAGTATTATGTACACAAGAACACACAGTATTATGTACACAAGAACACAGTATTATGTACACAAGAACACACAGTATTATGTACACAGGAACACTCATGTATTATGTACAAAAGAACACACATTATGTACACAAGAACACACACACAGTAGTGTGTACACAAGAACACTCACACACAGTAGTGTGTACACAAGAACACTCACACAGTGGTATGTACACAAGAACACTCACACACAGTATTGTGTACACAAGAACATTCACACACACAGTATTACGTATAGGAGAACATTCAGACAGTATTACGTATAGAAGAACACTCAAACATAGTATTATGTAAACAGAAACAGACACAAAGCTTCCACTTACTTGTGCTCTCGTCTGGCAGGGATATGTCCAACTTGCGTTTGCGGCTCTCTCTACTTGTGTCCAACTTGCCTTTACTTTTTAAAGACTTAAGGCGATTTGCTGCATTCTTCAACTGAACCTGAAAAACATGACATAGACATGATTAATATGTGATAATTAGTATATGAAACAAATACATCACTTAATGAAACCAAACAACTCCGGCCTAAACATAAACACAGCAAGAGTGAAGGGAGTAGGTGAGGTGGAACGGGGTTTAACGTCGCGTCCAAGATTATTGCACTTATAGAGCGACGTGCATGCACGTTTGTGTGGCTACTTGTCAGGACTGATGCTGATTTACAGTGCTAGCACACTTAGATACCAAGCCGCAGTTTAACATGAATACCCCACTCAGACACAGTATACTGACTCCGAGCCGACCAGTCCTTGTTTTAGCCCCTTAATGCCTAGCGCCAGACAGGGTAACAACAAGTACCATCTTTTAACATCTGTTGGTATAACGCAGCCAGGGATCAAACCCCGGACGTTCCGGCTCTCCGGGCTGACGCTCTAACAATAGACCACGGAGGCAGTCCGTAAAGGGAGTAAGAAACACAGACCTTTATTGATTTCTTCCTCTCGACAGGTTTCTCTGGTTTTATAGGTTTGTTCTCTTTAGTTGGAGAATCTTGTTTCACAGCAGGACTAGGGACCTCTTCTATAATGGAAACTTTGCTGATCTTCTTGGCATGGAAGGACCTTTCTGCTCCATCTGGAGCCCCACGAGCATGATTGACGGCTGACTCCCAGGTCACATCGCCCCGTCCAGTGCGAGGCTTCTTAAAGCGTGACAACGTAGAATTGATTGTCACATCAGGAACAGCCATTATAGAACTGATCTGACTGAGGGTGTCAGGCGTCATTTCCTCTAAACTACTGGAACTGGCATTGGAAAAGTTTGCGCTCTGTGACCTCCTCATCATGTGTTTTTCTTCAATTTCAGCATATATGTCTTCCTCCGTTTGCTTCTTTTTTCTCTTCCTCAGTGTAGACAAACCACTGTCATCTAAGCTTGGATGTGCAGTTGACAGTTTCACCTTATCTTTGAACATTATGCTGTTGCCCTCTGGGTTCCCACGCATGCTCCGCCCTGCCTTAGGGGTAGTCGGTTTCTTCATCTTCCTTCTCAGTACTGGGGTGTCCATCATGTCGGTGTAGTCATTCATTTTGAGTTATACACACATTCTGAAAAGAAAAACAATTGCTTGCAAGGAATTCTAAATTGTAAGGATGGTTTTACGCCGCTTTTAGCAATATTCCAGCAATATCACAACTGGGACACCAGAAATGAGCTTCACACATTGGAATTCTAAATAATCTTATAATTGTCATACGAACATGATAACAAATAATATGACATGTATATTCTAAAAATGGATCTTCCAAAATGTTCAAGGATTTCTGTTTAGCTATTGCACCCTTCAACAGAGAGCTAACTCGGTTATAGCGTGCGGTAACACATAGCTCCCCAATTTTTTATAAATTGAAACAAAATGGCTAGATACTTTGTTGGCAAAATCGAACCCACTTTTCCTTGGCAAAAATGGTCCCTTTAAAAACAATAACTGAAATATTTAGTAAATGATTATGCATTAACCATGACACTATAATTCAACCATTCACGAAATATGACAGATCATGAGATCATTTTGAAATTTCACCATTTGTCATAGTAACACAATACATAGATCTAGATAAAAGATTTATCATATAAAATATATAATCTCTGATATGTCACAAAAGCATTTTACCCAATCAAAACAATAGCATTGCATGATCTGTACTGAGCCTTTAAGTCATGTCAATTGCATGTCACTTTTGGAGGGTAAACTTAGTCAACATATTGCATTGTGCATGTAATATGTGATTTTACTTGGATCTGATAAAAATATTCAAGGACTGCCATTTGTTTACGTGCTATTAAATGCTCTATGTGCTAGTGCTAATATTTGGAACAGACTGTTATGAACTGTATAATTAATAACAAAACTGAGGAAAATAACTCTAATTCAGTCTAATAACCTAGTTCTAACCTCAAATATACTTGATATCCTATATTCCCTATTTAACATCAGACTGGAAATTTCTAACGTGCCTACTCAGAGGGAGAGGATATCATAAGGACATCAATTTGCTAAGAAACAGTTCGTGTAGAAAGAAAGACGAATCACAATGTCTGTCTCAGAATATGAGACTACAAACATTGACACATACACAATCATATTTTGAGTGGCTTCATCTACGAAACACTGTGGTATTATCTCCACTATCATTTCATTCTTACCGATGTACTACTCACAAAATATAATTGTAAATGTGATGTTATAAATGCAATGTATACGTTCTTATCTTTTATCATGCATATCAATGTATTTCTTCCATATTTCATTACTTACAAACGTTCGCAAATAGCAAAAACAAAACCACGTTTTCGCGCTTACGACTCCTTTACGGTAAGTTGCATACGGATTATGAAATCTCCTAACCGCGACTAAAAGTACCGCAGTACTGTAACGCTATGAAGACATAACGTGTTTGGAGCTCATATTAAATATTAAAATCCGATTATCTCTAAGATAAATATATGTTGTGTATTCGCGAACTTACGATTCGTGGGACGGGGCTGTATTCCAACAGTGAAAAAAGGAAAGGGAACGTAGTATTTTCCTATTGCGACAACCGACAACGAACTATTGAAAACATAAACTTCCGGTTGAAGGGCACCACTGCGCCGGAGTGTGGTTGAAGGGCTCAACATGATATCAAAACTACTCCGGGCGATCATAATGGGCCCTCCTGGTTCAGGAAAGGGCACTATATCACAAAGAATCATGAAAGACTTTGACATGAAGCATTTATCCAGTGGCGATGTTCTGAGGAAACAAATCTTTGAACGGACAGGTTCTGTCTTTTAAGTATTTTCGCCTGAGACGAAGCAGCTGCTCAATGATAATTCTCGCACAGGGAAACTATTAAAGTCAGCTGAAGTACAGATGATTACGGGCACGACAACCCTCTAATCCATTTCGTAACACATCCACAACTATAGGTGTAACGTAAACAACTGATTATTATTAAACATATTTTATTGTCCAAAAAGACAAAGGGATTGGGCACAAGTGCATCACTTATTACGCCTTCTCCCTGATGAATGGCAAATGAACAATAAGTGCAATACAGCCTGCATGAAATTCAGTGGCTTCACCCCCTTCAGGATGTGTGGCTTGTCTAGCGCTAATTGATTCCAACTGTTGCTCTTGCTTAACCATGTTAACTGATCTTGCATGCCTTCTCAATCTTTAGGGTTGGTAACCTCCAACTCCAGATCTTTAGTCCCCTTTACAATCCTTGGCACTGAGTACCACTTGCTGATCAAACGCCCTGTTGCAATCATTTGGGTTAGGGTTAGATATCACACCACTTTTTAGCAAATTAATCAAAAGATTCATGGGGGGAAAAAGTGGCAAGGGAGCGTCAAAGATGTCAGTGACCTGATCATTACGAAGTTCAGCAAATCAATAAGAGTGTGCCCAGTAAACTGCCATATACCCAATGACATGTTTGGTTTGTCTGGGAATTTTGGGACAGAATACTTGCCCAGTACCATGTTTTGGTTGTATGAGCTGACTATTATTCTGCACAAAATGTGTGACCAACCAGCAGAAAAGGGACCTTATGGGTGCTAGGATACAATTGTGCAGGGACGTCATTCAGAAAGATGTTTGACATCAATATACTTCTGTATCAATCCCCATGTGTGTGGACTGTACAAAAATATCTTATTTTTCTCTCGTTAGTTCGTAATGTAATAAAAACATAATTTCAAAACATTTCAGCATTCATGTATACTTTCAGTTAATCAGACGTTATATCTATAAACTGCAGTCATTACATAAACAGTTATAAGTCTGAAAATGGGAGTTTGCAGAAAACGGGTTCAAGTGTTTGATGCCATGTATCTCTGTAATAAATATGAATTGAATTGTACTTTAGTGGTCCTAGGATACTCTAGTTTTAAAATAAAATAAGTCAAAATGTGATTTTTCATCCATAAGGTACATATTTTCCCAATCACTCTAAATCACTCCTAGTTGTTGCAGGCTGAGCTAGAGATATATCTAGGATTCCAAACTAAGTGCCTTTGCTAGTCAAATTGCAAAACATTCAGTAACTGTGTTTAAAGGGGGGCACGGTAGACCCAGTCGTCTAAGGCGCCGCGATTGGTTGTGCAGAGTTGTGTCCCTTGGGTATGCCAGAAACCTATGATTGTGGGTTTGAATCCCGTTTCGCCCCGATTATGTTTCTAGGTTTGTCAGCACCATACCCGTGCTCATTGGTTTCACCAAAGTGGTAAATGTCTGAGACCTGCACCACTTCAGGCTTTCCTCCCACATTAAGCTGACACGCCGTGATATAACTGGAATCCTGTTAAAAGCAGTGTTAAACCCAACTCACTCACTCACTACTGTGTTTAAAATTAAAATTTCTTAAAAAAATGCTTATTTTCATCATTTAAGGGAAAGTTTACTATTGAAAATTAACATTGGATTCATTGCAACAAAGCTAAGCATCAAAGCCTCTCCCTCTTTAATGGTCCAATTATGAAAGTGAAATACAAGTCCCACGAACCTCCACAAATCCACAACATTAGTTGTAACTAGAACATGACGATTGCGCCATCTTGCTTTCCAATTTAGGTATTGGTACTGACATTTGCTGAAGACTTGGGGAAGAATATCAGCCTTTGAGTAGGCCTAGATAAATCCCTGTGAGGATTGTTTGAATAACTTTCACTGCCACATACAAATGACATAATCAATTAATAGTTTTTGAACTCTAGCAGTAAAATAAAACGAGACCATGACATTTGTTTCAGCTGCTGGGATTGAAGCTGAGAAGTACATTGCTCAAGGTCAGCTGGTTCCTGACCTCACAATGGTGAATCTTATCTTCAACGAGTTAGAGAAACTAGAGAATCACAGCTGGCTGCTGGATGGTAAGCAAGTACCGGCATGTTCTAGAGTGACAAGATAGCAAGATTCTGATTATTGGATGCTTTTAGTCTGATTTGGGGCTAAGCATGGTGATATGATGTCCCATAACATTTGTTCAGGATACGCTAATTTGAAGTGAAGTTTTATTTATCTGATAAAACTATGAAGAAAGGAAACAAAATACTGGTCTCTTTCCTCTCAGACTACTTTTAAATTAAATCAATACACACTGAGACATGATGAATTGATGAATAATAAATATAGAAGAAGAAGTTTATTCGGTATCAAAGGCCACCTGGACAAGAGTACAATACATGAGTTTTGCACATGGACAAGTGGGATAGCTGTTATACTATCTCAATACAATATTTATGATACTTTATACAGACAGATTTCTTTTCAAATATACAGCAATAATTTTAATTAGCTTAACATTTTTTGTTGCTACTAGTTGATTAAATTTTGCTCATGATGGATACTTGTAATAGTAGCTCGTGATGTAGACCTTTCTGTTTTCCATATAAAATGGACAAACTGAAAGGAAATGGTATTCATCTTCAATTATATTATGATTACATTTCTTGCACTTAAGTGAATCAGTATTGACTGATTGTGCATATAATAAATGTTGACTTTCTCATGTGCAAATGTTGACAGGACTCTGTGAAACAATACCGGTAATGAATCATACTCAGTATCCTACTGCAACATCTCTCTGTGCACTGGTGCATCTGTGTATTGTTTTGATGTGGGTCTGAAAACACACTCAGTAATTGGAATAAATAATGAGTTCTTAGTTTTTTAGTAGGATGAGATGGTACATGTAATGTGACTGTTGACCTTCCAGCGCCTTTCAGACAACTTGGGTTGTATACTCCCTTGGAAGCTGAGAATGAAATCTAGTGCATGCTAATCCAGTGACTGGGTAATAATAATGTAGCACTTTGAGCATACTCCTGTGTGGTGTGGAAATACAGCGCAGTATAAATGGCCTATTATTATTATAGTGAGTGAGTGAGTATGGTTTTACGCCGCTTTTAGCAATATTCCAGCAATATCACGGCGGGCGACATCAGAAATGGGCTTCACACATTGTACCCATGTCGGGAATCGAACCCGAGTCTTCGGCGTGACGAGCGAACGCTTTAACCACTAGGCTACCCGACCGCCCCTATTATTATTATAAATTCATTTAGACTTTGAATAATCTTTTTAGGCCCACTAATTAAGGTTTTCCAGAACTTGAGAAAATAGGAAAGGGCTTTGCACCTTATACCAATTTAGGGAATCAAACTGGGATCTTGAGTGTGACAAGCGAAAACTTTAACCACTAGGCTGCCTGTGATCAGTGACAGTGATACATTTAAATGTGTCCTTTGGTTTTTATGTTGCAGGGTTTCCACGGACAGTAGCTCAAGCTAAAGAAGTATTAGATCGTGGCCCTATTGATGCTGTTATCAATCTTAATGTGCCCTTTGAAGTTATCATTGACCGCATCAAGGGTCGGTGGACCCACCCTGCCAGCGGCCGTATCTACCATACAGAGTTCAACCCTCCAACTAAAGAGGTACATATAGTCCAATATTGAAAAAACAATTTGGATGAATTGTTCCAATGGGAAGTTTTTTATCCAATCAGGGCACTGCTTTACTTCACTGCCAAATAGCTGATTTGAACGGCTAGAAACCTATGATTGTGAGTTCAAATCCCGGTTCGCCCCAATTTCATTTGTAGGTTTTTCAGCACCATACCTGTGCTCGTGGGTTTCACCAAATTAGTAAACATCTAAGACCTGCATCACTTCGGGCTTTCCTCCCACATTAAGCTGACACACCGCGATATAACAGAAATACTGTTAAAAGCAGCATTAAACCCAACTCACACACACACACAGCTGTCAGAGCATTTTACTGGAACTACTGGCACCACCTATGCAGAGTTGCATCCATTAGGTTAGGCTAAATGTCTTTGTCAATTGCAGGGTATTGATGATGTCACAGGAGAACCCCTGATCCAGCGAGACGATGACAGACCCGAGACAGTAAGGAAGAGGCTAGAGGGGTACCAACTCTCTACCCAACCAGTGCTACATTTCTTCAAGTGAGGCTACTGCACAGGGGTGTTTTATATTCTTCAGACATTTCCCTAGTTAGCATTCAATGAATCTGGATATGGATGTATTCATATATTCAGGGCGAGAGAGTAGCATAGTGTTTAAAGTGTTCACCTGTCATGCCGAAGGCCCAGACTTAATTCCAACACAGGTACAATGTGGGAAGCACATCCCTGGTGTACCCAACCCTCATATTGCTGGAGCATTGGTAAAAGTGGCGTAAATCCACACTCACTCAATTTGATGTATCAATTATATCATCACTGTTGGAGTATGAGTGATTAGATGTACACAATGTTGGAGGGGGAGGGGGCTGTCCTTCCCTCATGTTTGGTTTCCGGAGCATGACTCAAAGATTGTTCAATATTTTGTGATCAAAGTTTGCATAGATATGTCTTTTGTGTTATGGCTGAGCCTAAGCAGAGACTTCATCATGTTGTACGTTATATGTCAAGTCAGGGATGCCGTATGTCAGGAATACATCTCACTGGACTTGAATGATAGATACTTCAAGCAGTTCTTTAAGTTCAAACTAATGAAGATTATCATCAAAATTATTACACAGATGTAGGTAACTTAGGTTCATGACTCCAGGAACTGATCTGTTAAGAATTGACCTTCACTTTGTGTGAGTTCATTGGAGTATGAACCTTCGTAGAGTGAGGGCCAAACTGTATGAATGTTGGAGCTTGCGTCAATTCTTATAATTTTTTTATCACAATTTCTTACCTCAAAAGATTCAGGCCTAGATCTAAAGACAATTTTATTTAGTACGTGTGACTTCATGTTTACACTGACAGCCATTCAACAACCAGCCATATAACGGAGTAAAATAGTTCCTCAAAAAGAGAGGTGACATGGGCGTATGGATGCACAACTTGCTCTCCAGAAACATCTTACGCAGCACATGTGTTCAAATCATATCCTCATTAGATGAGAAAGGTCTGTAAAGAACTACCTCAGTAAGTCAGTCACAATGACAGCGCGTCGTAATACATTTACATCAAGTACAAGACGTCAAAAAAAAAGCCGACACGATAAACGTGATGGGAGAGATTTCCAAAGTTGTTGATGAACCATTGGCGGTTACATGTGTTAGTCATCATTGATCAACTGGCCGATCATTGAAAGGTGAATAATGATGCGTCAAACAGACACAAAGGTAAATTCATAGATTGCTGGAGACGGTCAATGTCAGCCTAGGCACGGATAGAGTCGATACTACGATAGTTAAGATGTGCATTTCTTCGTTTGTTCATTAGGATGGGCCGTAGCGAGGATATTCGTGAACAATCATGCAGTCACGCTCTCTGACATTTCTCAAAGTATACTGAAACGCTGAGACCAAGAATAAAGGTTCTAAATGATCAGAAAGAACGCTTATGCATGTTTTCGTGCTAGGGAATTCCCAGGGGTTTCCCCAGGAATGTGGAAGTTGTCCGTCAGTGTTTACGTCATTTCAAGAACACGGTCTCGTGAAAAACGTATGAACGTCAAATCGTGTTGTTCATATACTTATGAACGTCAATTTCGCGGTCATGTGACCGACCTCTCATCCAATGGAAAAGCCGTATATCGTGTAAACTTCAAATAAAAAAATTATTATATAGTACACCAACAATATACTGATTTACATGTAGTACACCAACAATGTACTGATTTACATGTGGAACACCAGCAATATACTGATTTACATGTAGTACACCAACAATGTACTGATTTACATGTAGTACACCAACAATGTACTGATTTACATGTAGTACACCAACAATGTACTGATTGACATGTGGAACACCAACAATCTACTGATTTACATGTAGTACACCAACAATGTACTGATTTACATGTAGTACACCAACAATGTACTGATTTACATGTGGAACACCAACAATCTACTGATTTACATGTAGTACACCAACAATGTACTGATTTACATGTAGTACACCAACAATATACTGATTTACATGTAGTACACCAACAATCTACTGATTTACATGTGGAACAGCAACAATATACTGATTTACATGTAGTACACCAACAATATACTGATTTACATGTAGTACACCAACAATGTACTGATTTACATGTAGTACACCAACAATGTACTGATTTACATGTAGTACACCAACAATGTACTGATTTACATGTAGTACACCAACAATGTACTGATTGACATGTGGAACACCAACAATCTACTGATTTACATGTAGTACACCAACAATGTACTGATTTACATGTAGTACACCAACAATGTACTGATTTACATGTAGTACACCAACAATGTACTGATTGACATGTGGAACACCAACAATCTACTGATTTACATGTAGTACACCAACAATGTACTGATTTACATGTAGTACACCAACAATGTACTGATTTACATGTAGTACACCAACAATCTACTGATTTACATGTGGAACAGCAACAATATACTGATTTACATGTAGTACACCAACAATCTACTGATTTACATGTAGTACACCAACAATGTACTGATTTACATGTAGTACACCAACAATGTACTGATTTACATGTGGAACACCAACAATCTACTGATTTACATGTAGTACACCAACAATGTACTGATTTACATGTAGTACACCAACAATCTACTGATTTACATGTGGAACAGCAACAATATACTGATTTACATGTAGTACACCAACAATATACTGATTTACATGTAGTACACCAACAATATACTGATTTACATGTGGAACACGAAAAATATACTGATTTACATGTAGTACACCAACAATATACTGATTTACATGTGGAACACCAACAATCTACTGATCTACATGTCGTACACCAACAATGTACTGATTTACATGTAGTACACCAATAATATACTGATTTACATGTGGAACACCAACAATATACTGATTTACATGTAGTACACCAACAATATACTGATTTACATGTAGTACACCAACAATCTACTGATTTACATGTAGTACACCAACAATCTACTGATTTACATGTAGTACACCAACAATATACTGATTTACATGTGGAACTCCAACAATATACTGATTTACATGTAGTACACCAACAATATACTGATTTACATGTAGTACACCAACAATATACTGATTTACATGTGGAACACGAAAAATATACTGATTTACATGTAGTACACCAACAATATACTGATTTACATGTGGAACACCAACAATCTACTGATCTACATGTCGTACACCAACAATGTACTGATTTACATGTAGTACACCAATAATATACTGATTTACATGTGGAACACCAACAATATACTGATTTACATGTAGTACACCAACAATCTACTGATTTACATGTAGTACACCAACAATCTACTGATTTACATGTAGTACACCAACAATGTACTGATTTACATGTAGTACACCAACAATCTACTGATTTACATGTAGTACACCAACAATATACTGATTTACATGTAGTACACCAACAATGTATCAATTTACATGTAGTACACCAACAATATACTGATTTACATGTAGTACACCAACAATGTATCAATTTACATGTGGTATACCAACAATATACTGATTTACATGTAGTACACCAACAATGTATCAATTTACATGTGGTATACCAACAATATACTGATTTACATGTAGTACACCAACAATATACTGATTTACATGTAGTACACCAACAATATACTGATTTACATGTTATACACCAACAATGTACTGATTTACATGTAGTACACCAACAATCTACTGATTTACATGTAGTACACCAACAATGTATCAATTTACATGTGGTATACCAACAATATACTGATTTACATGTAGTACACCAACAATATACTGATTTACAAGTAGTACACCAACAATATACTGATTTACATGTGGAACACCAACAATGTACTGATCTGCATCTTTCCATTTCAGTGACAAGAAACTACTGAAGGAGTTTACAGGGAAGTATTCTAACGAGTTATGGCCCTTGGTTCATGACTACCTGGCAACCAAGACGGCACCAGTACAGTACACACGCTACAAATAATGCCAGCTGTCTCCATGGCAACAGCAGTGGTGTCAATGTAACAATATACAGTCAACTGTTTAACAAAGTCTGATATTGTAAAGGGATGGTCTCAAAATATGAACTGCATTGTTGTGAAATGCGATATGTGGACTATAACATTACGGCTAGATAATCATTTACTAATTTATGACATAAATCCACAAAACAAAAAGAATATGGTGAATATGAATTTGAGCTAATAAAAGTACTTGTGATGATTTAATAAGAAGCGAAATGTGAACATTGGGTTATGGCCCATTCTTAAGAATGCCAGAACAGATATTTTGAAATGTTTTGACAATGGAGATTTGAACCACCATCCCACTGTATTAAAGAGATCATGTCATGTGGTAGATTGCCAGATTTTGTGAGAAGTTTTATCCCCCAGTGAATATTTTACATTGATCTTGTGAAGACCAAGTCATGATGTAACTAGCAGATTTTATATGTGTTTGGGACGTTGTTTTCTTCCATTTTGACTGTACATTGATATATATGTTTTAATATACCAAACATTTTATAAAGTATTTTTATCTAGGGCTGTGCTGTTCATGTATTATGACTCATTACTGGAAAGAAATCAAGAAATGTAATCAAATATGTCACATAGACGAACTGATGGAATTTATTGACTTTGTACAAGATATTAGAATCACCCAGATGGTGGACTGTTGTGTTATGTTATCCTAGAAATCAGCTGTTGATCAGCTGGGTAACTTATTTCAAGTTACTGGTGTTGTGTTTATCTTACTTATACTGTAGGTTTGAGCGAGCATGTGTTTCTGCAAACTGTCCCACGTCTGTCTCCTAGACACTATTTGTCAAGCTGTTTAATCCAGGAAATTATGTGTAAGTTGGTCTTATGAGAGTATTTCATTATTGTAAAGTTTATATTGGGATGATTATAGACGGCATTTTCAGTACTGCCATAATATTGGTTCTGGTATTTGTACAAATATAGGGTCTGTGTCAGCTATAGAAAGTAACAGTTTTTGTCCGCTAGTCCTTATAATGATAACATACAGAAAAACCCTTTAAAATGGCAAATTTCAACTAGTCCTTATGATGCCTTTGCTATTGGGCAGTTTGACAAGGACTATAGGACTAGTGCCAATTTCTAACGCTGTGTGTGTTTTTCGACAATTCATCTTTGCATCTTTATCCCAAACAGATAAATAGCTCAATAACTCAACATCACTCTCGTTTTTCAGCTTTTTTTGTGTTTTTAAAAAAAACAAAAAGCCCATAATCCCTCTTCTAATTCTGCTTTCCAACTCTGAGTTTGTAAGATGAAAAGCTCCCGACGTCCCCATTTCCTACGTCTTCCTTTTTTTGTCATAATGTTGAAATACAGAAATACATCCGACTGGTAATAATAATACTAATGTGCATATTTAGAATACGCCAAATCCATACCCTAGAGCATGCTCAAGGTGTTACATGTTTACCCCGGTCAATGAATATGGTGCTCTCGATTTTCATTCTCTGCTCCCTGGGAAGTATAGAACCCAAGCTACCTGAGAGGCGCTAGGTTAACAGTCACATTACTTCTCATCCTAGCACGTACCCATTCGCTGCTCAGTGACCATTGTCCTTTTTAAGTTAAAATACTTCGTACAGCATGAACAAGTTTGTGGCACAATTTGGAAACCATGTTATTTGTCATATAGCTAGATCATGTTAACAGCTCAAAATGAGAATTGCAAAGCGTCTATTAATCTATGATACCTATTTCAGATTTAATACCTAATGAGAAAAGGTTATGTTATCTTGTTTTGTAGGTGTTAGTTTCCGGTTAATCCTCTGTTCAGTTTGACAACTGTGATTCATCAGCAGATCAAGGAATTGCTGCACCCCTGGTATATGTACCTGTACAGTCAAGTCTCGTTAATCCAAACACTCGTTAATCCGACAATCAGCTTTATCCAACATTATGCTTTAAAATCAGTCAATTTTGAATCAGTCATACAGTCCGTAACAGTAGTTTAGTGTTAAACTTTAGTGCTTGCATGATTAGAAAACATATTCCGCTGACAATGTAACACAACAATATGAATATTTTATTTTTCCTTTTCCTACGTGTTTGTATCGTTATCTTTCGTGTAGTTGTCCAATTTTCAATCACGAACGTTTATACTACCTAATTTCGATTATCCGACATACTCGTTAATCCGACATAATCATATGCAACCAACAATGGCGGATTAACGGGACTTGACTGTATATGTAAGACTCCATGTTAGGACCCAGCTTGGTTGCAAATTGTAATGTCTGGCATTGCTCAAATATAAACGTATTCCTTAGTTCCATTGTTGATGCATTGGGATCAACTGTGTTTACATGTTTTCAGGTTTGTAATGGATGCAGAATATTGCATCCTCAATGCATATAAATTGAAAATGGAGGCAAATAATGTCTCACCCTCCACTGAAACTGATCCAGCTAGATTCTAACCTTATGGTTGTTTTGTTTACCTGTTGTTCATGGCAGACATATTGAAATATAAAGTGTGATGAACACATAATTCGCAAATAACGTAATCTGCCCAGTGATATCATGTTATCAATCAATACTTTGATAACATTCAGTTGTGATCAGTAGTCTCTTATGTCCAGGTGAGCTACAGCTGCAAGTATTGCTCTGTTTTCTGGAGGGGTTCATGGGGATGTTTGTGTGTCCCCATGTGTCTTTCTACAGGTGAAATCATTCTGTTGTGAAAAGGGTGACACTGTTGTATTTCAGTTCCATGGATAAGAGTGTTCGGAATGAAGAATAAAAATAAATGGGGCCTTGGCTTAACCTTACTGAAGTTATGGAGGGTTTTTAAATTCGAATATACTACTTAAAATAAGTTAAAGAACGCCTACAATCAGAGTGAGTGAGTGAGTTTAAATGTTAAGTCACATCGGCAATATTTTAGCACTATCGTGACTATCAAGGGTTAATCATAATAAATACATTGAAGCTTATATAAAAAATACTGCCAAAAAAGTAAGTAAAATAACAGACTTGTCTCAGAAAAAGGTATAAAACTAGTATGGAATCATAAGAAGAATAGCACTATACAGATCTACAATTGAAAGGTTGTGGGTTGCAATACCCACCAGCCATTACAGAGTAACTGTAGTCATATGAAAAAAAATTGAATACCAAGAACCCCTCAAATCCCCTCAGTCCTTAATTCCCAACACTGGTTAACAAGATTATATCTGATGAGGCTTGATAATTGTCTCATTTTTCTCTTCCCATGGAAAATAGAGAAGAATTTACCATACAAAGTATACCTCAATATCTGTCAACATGATGATTATGGTTGTTATTACTATATTATTCCACTATATAGGGATATTATTATCTTGCCATGATGCACACAACTGATTCTCATCATATGTCAAGTGTTTATCTGAACAGAATGGCCTGTCTGAATATACCTATCAAAGGTTTAGTATATTATTAATATTCAAGTTGTTACAGCAATGTCATTGTTTCATACTGGTGCAGTTAATTCCTTTTGGTACGACAATCATGGTTGTGTTTTAATTGTTCAAAGGTGCTCAAGTCTATTTCTCTTGAAAACGTCATACAGCAATAATCATGCCTCAATATTTCTTATTTTGCTCAGTAAATCGACCAGTTTGTTATGTCTCAATTCAAATGTTAAGTTTCAGATTTTAGCATGAGCTTATTCACTGATAGGTTGTTTTAGTGCTGTGTGTATTCAGTCACAGGAGCTGCATGTCAGTGTTTTTTGACATGTTTCACATTTTACTGGAACCTGGAACCTGAGTGTTGTTTTCATACTTGATTTTAGAGTTGTTTTTATGTGGTTCCTTTAACCCATCAGGGACCCGTGAAGACCCAGGGTAGAAAAGGTCTTGCCGTTAAAGGCGACTATGCTTGTCATAAGAGTCTTAAGAGGATTGGGTGGTCAGGCTCTCTAACTTGGTTGATGCATGTCATCGTATCCCAATTGCATGGATTGATGCTCATGATGTCAATCACTGGATTGTCTGGTCCAAACTCGAGGCCACCGTCATATAACTGGAACATTGCTGAGTGTGGCATTAAACAACAAACAAACAAAAATCAAATCATCAGGAGGGAGGCATTGATAATAGTATTGATAATATTACCTCACTTTTATTTGTTCTTTGTACTGAAATATGCCATTGAGATTTTAGGTATTTGAAAAAAATCTTTGTTGATACTTCTGTAGTATTTTAAAGTGTGTAGGCAATTCAAATCTAAATGTTAGTCCGTGCTCAACCTAGAGCCGACAGACCTATCCGCAGGCGGCGGGCTAGCCTAGTGGTTAAAGCACTGACTTGTCGTACTGAAGGCCCGGGATTGATTCCCCATGTGGGTACGATGTGTGAAGCTGATAGCGAGAATCTCCAGTTGCAGCGTAAAACCATACTCACCCGAGGGACGGTCGGGTAGCCTAGTGGTTAAAGCCTTCGCTCGTCACGCCGAAGACCCGGGTTCGATTCCCGACATGGGTACAATGTGATATTGCTGGAATATTGCTAAAAGTGGCGTAAAACCATACTCACTCACTCACCATACTCACCCTATAACTATCTCTTACAGAGTGTACTTTCTGTGATGGTGAATGATATTTTACCAACATGATTCAGATTTGCTCATTGTGAATCTGTAATCCATGACGACTACCACAATAGCAATGTCATCAATGTCCGACAGCAGTAATTTTCATTCTACATTATGAAACCCTAATCAAACTGGCTTTTATGTACTAATTGGCTAATTGCACATGAATTACATACACTTTCTGAACCATATTTTTGTTAACATGTTGTTCAATGGAGGACCATGTAAGAAGATGTTCTTTTGTACCATTAGTTTTGAAACAACCAGTTATGTGAAAATGTCATGATGTTACGAACATATATGTCATGTATATAACAACGACGCATAATTTTTTTTACAAGAATATATTATTCAGAAAGAGGCATGCTTCAAATATGTGATGATTTTATTAATGGAAATAAATGATTTTACACCCAAAACAAATATGTATCCTTTTTCATTTTTTTCTAATGACCCTCCAAGGGTACACTGTAAGCAACTCCGTTCACTTTCTGGTTTGTAATGCCGTTCCATTTACAAGCCATGTAAACACCAAGAACAGAAAAGAAGTTTCTATGGGTAAAACAGATTTGACCTTTCCTAAGAAACATTTTTTTTAGCTGCCCATCCAATTTTTTACGTGACACTCCTCATTAGTTTTCCACAAAAATCACCAAAATATTTATCAATAATTACAAAACAGAGTCATTGTTTTTGCTGAATCGCTTTGTGGATACTTGTAGTTTGTCTATTCAGGCAAATATATGGTGTTATGAAGGAAATCAGCAGCAATAATGTTAAGAACAATATTCAACCTTATAAATGATATATTTATTGTGCAATTCATAAATGTATCAGGGTAAGTTCAGATGACTTTCTGTCTCACAAATCACACCAGATGACCATTCATCTTACATCAAACTTATCACAAAGAGTTGACTTGAGAAAAGTGTACACATCTTTTCTCATTCAACTAACCGTCCCCATAGTCAAATGTCCTGAAACAAATCAGTGCCTTCATTCTGGACGGAAGAGGCAAATCATGCACAAGCTGAGCCATGTGATCACCAAGATACCTCCTCAAGAACAAGCACGTCACATCCCTGAGAGTCCTGGGATTTCTGGCCATATAGAGTAGAGTCTCTGCTATCTGAGTGTCCTTGATTGCTGCAGGCACTGTGTTGTAGTGGAGCCAGTTTTCCCGTGACACCTCGTAGCCTCCGTCCAGCATCATTTGCAGGAGCCCCTCCTCACCCCTCACTGCAGCCAGGTATAGTGGTGTCTGTTTTGCATAGTTCTCGGTGCACATATCCACATTCTTCTGTATCAGGAACTGAGCAATAGTCTGCTTGTTGTAGTACACTGACAAATGAAAAGCTGTGAACCCATTGATGTTTTTCTCGCCAGAACGAACACCTCTTTTGTAGATCATTTTAACAATATCAATATGGCCACTACTGACGGCAATATGGAAGCAGTTTTCATCATCATTTGTGGTTTGATGGATGGAAGCACCTGCATCAAGCAAAGTCTTCACCACATTCTCATAGCCATAACACACTGCTGTATGAAGTGCTGTCCATCCGTCTTTGTCTGCCCGGTTTACATCGGCACCATTGGTAATCAATAACTTACAAACTTCATCATGTCCTAAGCATGTAGCTGCATGCATTGGCGTGAACCCATCAATCTGTGCAATGTTGACACATGCACCTGCAGAAAGAAGATATTCCACGAGGTCAACATGACCGTATGTCGAAACCCAGTGGAGTGGTGTACGATGATCACTGTCACGACTGTTGATGTCGACACCTCGATGAACTAGTCGCCTCACAACCTCAAGATGTCCTTTGGATGCTGCCATGTGGATTGGTTGTCTAAACCACATATGATCAGACAGGTCGGGTTGAAGAGGGTCACACTTGTACTGCAACAAGAGATCAACAATGTCCTCAAACCCAGCAGTGGCAGCCTGGCATATTGGGTTCTGTCCATCGTATACAAAGTTGGGTGATGTGTCTTTAGTCCGCAGCCACATTTGTACTGTATCAATGTCATTATTGTTGATAGCTGTCAACAGGGTGACCCAGTCTTGGCATACAGCGGTGCTGGTTGATATGACAATAGGGAGGTTGCTTCCACTCATTTTGTTTCAGTTCATAATGTCACCTACAGGTTAACTGCAAAGAATATATGGCAATTAGAACATTCGACATATTGCCTTGCCTGTCAATACCGATAGAAACTAACATCTTTAGTCCACTAGTCCTCATAGTGATAACATATAGCAAAACCCTTAAAAAGGACAAATTTCTACTAATCCTTATGATACCTTAAGTTTTGGGCAGTTTGGCAAGGGCTGCAGGACTAGTGCCAATTTCTAACGCTGCTGTCATATTTTCATAGGGCATATTGCAATTGCATCAATAAGTAAAGGGCACTTAACTCCAGTATGGTGCCCATACACAGTGAGTCACCGTGCAACGAGGGAGTGGTTTGTTGGTCATTTGATTTACCAGACTAAGACTCGACTTGCAGGCCAATAAAGCACAGTTGAAATATTGCTGACTGTGACGTAAAACAATATGAAACGATTTACTCACTCATTCACAAGTCCCCAATGCAAATCAAGATGGCACTGTCAATTTTTGAAACATTAGAACCCGTCAAAGTTTCCTCGAAACAAATAGCTACTTGTGTCATCAAAATATCAATGCATACCTATGTACTAATATCAACGCTGTCATCAGCTGATTGTAAAATCACATCCAAATACAGATCGTGAGACGGCCATCTTTATCAAGCTCCTCACAGCGATAGTACGTTCCCGGAGCTCTCTATACTATCGCTGCCACCAGTCAAAACTCCCCACTGTGAATAGGTGGCCACAACCATGCTTGGAGTTGAACTCGCAACCGAATGACCGTTTTGTTTACAAACAAGTGACGACTGTCGTGACGCCGAATACACTTATAGCTGCTAAATTACTTTCTTCGTTTGTCAATTTGAATTTCTGTTTCATTACAACTATCGTGTTATTGATATAGTAAGAATGTAAGGGAGAAGTTGGTTGATTTTCCGTTAGTCTGCAATCTCGAACCAATCTGATTATCAAAACAACAAAGTAAATTCATCTGGAAAACATGGTCAGTCGCAAACCTTTTCAAATTGAAATATGATGGCATTCCCAAAGACATAAACAAAAGTATAAACGTTACTACATTTGGGGTTAGAGGGCAAATTTCAAGATTCTTGTAATGGCTGCGCCCACACTGGTGGCAGCGATGTTACCGAGAGTGTAACGAAGGTGTCACGCGCTGGGAAGGAGCTTGCATCTTTATACTAAAAGGGAGGCAATCGCATTTTAAACTGGTTCCTGTGGTGGTACGCGCTGCAATTTGATAGCTTTCTTATATAACTAGTTTACGTAGAAGGGAGCCCAGTCAAATATATTTTACATGCGCTTTAGTTATTATAATTCTTCTTGCGTCTGTTTTCTTTTCTGTTTTAAAAACCGACGATTTGATATGTTAAACAATTCCAACATTCAGAATGGCAATAACAGAAAAATACTACAATTTCGGATAATATCAACTCCACCACAGGGGCCTATAACGCAAAACTTAGCAGCAAGATAAATACGTCACTAACTGGCTCGTAGTGGCCGTATTCATCTTGCTGACAATGTTTGTGTTACAAGCCCCTGTGAACTCTACTAATGTATGGCATTTCTGCATCGGTCGTATAAATGAAAGCGATTTGACCTAATACGATTAAGCATTCACAGATTGTGAGTAGGACAACTAACAAAGTGTTTTACTACAAACTAATTCTTCAAAAATTGGTGTTTTTTTACAATTATTATGTGTAAATGAGTGCATACAATTATTGGTAAATGGGTGAATCAGGATTGTTAGTACGTACATCAGCGAATAACATTGTCTGTAAATGAGTGAAACAGACTGAATGTAGATAAGTGTAACAAATTGTCAGTAAATCTACTAGACAAGATTATCTGTGAATGAATGGAAGAGATCGAATGTAACTGAGTGAAAGAGATCGAATTTAAATTAGTGAAATAGATTGAATGTATATGAGTGAGAAACATTATTGTAAATGAGTTGAACAGATTTTCAGTAAATGAAATAAGCAGATTGAATGTAAATGAGTGAAACTGATTAAATGTAAACAAGTAAAACATATTGAATGAACATGAGTGCAACAGGTTGTCAGCAAATGAAATAAGCAGATTGAATGTAAATGAGTGAAACAGGTTGTCAGTAAATGAAATAAACATATTGAATGTAAATGTGTGAAACAGGTTTTCCGAAAATTAAATAAACAGAATGAACGTAAATGATTGAAAATGATTAAATGTAAACAAGTGAAACAGATTGAATGTAAATGAGTGAAACTGTTTAAATGTAAAGTGAAACAGATTGAATGTAAATGAGTGAAACTGTTTAAATGTAAACAAGTGAAACAGATTGAATGTAAATGAGTGAAACTGTTTAAATGTAAACAAGTGAAACAGATTGAATGTAAATGAGTGAAACTGATTAAATGTAAACAAGTAAAACATATTGAATGAACATGAGTGCAACAGGTTGTCAGCAAATGAAATAAGCAGATTGAATGTAAATGAGTGAAACAGGTTGTCAGTAAATGAAATAAACATATTGAATGTAAATGTGTGAAACAGGTTTTCCGAAAATTAAATAAACAGAATGAACGTAAATGATTGAAAATGATTAAATGTAAACAAGTGAAACAGATTGAATGTAAATGAGTGAAACTGTTTAAATGTAAAAGAGAAACAGATTGAATGTAAACATATTGTCTGTAAATGAACTAAACAGATTGAAAGTAAATGTATGAAAGATATTGTCAGTAAATGAAATTAACAGATAAATGAAATTTGTGAAACAGATTTCAGTAAATGAAACAAACAGATTGAATGCAAATAAGTGAAACAGGTTGTCAGTTAATGGTGTCAGCACATGAGCGAAATACATTGTCTGTAATAATCCAGGAACCTGATGGCGGCCTGTAAAATAATTGATCAGACAGTCAAGTGTTTGATATTATGGGCAACGTCCCACAAGCAATCAACCAGGTAACAGAAGCTAACAGTCCGATCCAGTAAGTCGCCTCAACGACAAGCATGTATAGGTAACTGCATGATGACCTATTCTAACCCGACTACCCATTCCGCACTACCTCGACATATATATGACTGAAGTCTACCCATACCGCACTACCTCGACATATGCATGACTGAAGTCTTCCCATTCCACACTACCTCGACATATGCATGACTGAAGTCTACCCATACCGCACTACCTCGACATATGCATGTCTGCTGAAGTCTACCCATTCCGCACTACCTCGACATATGCATGTCTAAAGTCTACCCATACCGCACTACCTCGACATATGCATGTCTGAAGTCTTCCCACTCCGCACTACCTCGACATATGCATGACTGAAGTCTACCCATACCGCACTACCTCGACATATGCATGTCTGCTGAAGTCTACCCATTCCGCACTACCTCGACATATGCATGTCTGAAGTCTACCCATACCGCACTACCTCGACATATGCATGTCTGAAGTCTTCCCACTCCGCACTACCTCGACATATGCATGTCTGAAGTCTTCCCAATCCGCATTACCTCGACATATGCATGTCTGAAGTCTTCCCATTCCGCACTACCTCGACATATGCATGTCTGAAGTCTTCCCATTCCGCACTACCTCGACATATGCATGTCTGAAGTCTTCCCATTCCGCACTACCTCGACATATGCATGTCTGAAGTCTTCCCATTCCGCACTACCTCGACATATGCATGACTAAAGTCTACCCATTCCGCACTACCTCGACATACCTGTTCATTTGTAATGGGTTCATTCCAACGTTGGGATCACGATGGTTTTTTACATCAATGCACCCAACATGACTTTCACCTCATGACCCATTGTATGCATTACTGGGCCGGGTACCACGTAAGTCTCTTGTTTATTTCGAGTCCTACAAGGTTATATTTTCAAGATTAACCTATTAAGTGGTCTCCTGCATGACAATAATACATTTGTTATTTGAATTTTTACTAGATTAGACTTAAACCCCTAACCTTGGAAACTTTATGTCTATATAATTATGTGATTGCGTGCGTATGTGCGCGCGTGCGTGCGTGCGTCTGGTGCTAGCACGGTGGTATGGAGGCCGCATTACGGGGATCTCCTGACCTATTCCCTGTATGAAAGACGTGTGTTTATGTTTCCTGACTGAATTTAGGCAGGTATGTTAATATCTTCCAGCCTATACGGCAACTAACATTTCATAGCGAGCATTCACTTGGCTCATTTCTATGTAGTTTATATTAACATCTAAAAATATTATTTATTATTGTTCTGCGTTGGGTTCGTCTCATGTGCAGCTCGTCTTCCAGAGAAGCGCAATCAGTACTCCCGACACAGACAACGGCATCGCTCCGGTTACGGCTTACGTTACGGCCTTCGGCCCAACATAGAGAGCCGTATTTCCCCTTATAAACCGTCAGCAAATGGCTCACAGGCCGACCCGATTTGTGAAGTGAATATATTGTGCCCCCGATCCTCCGGCTGCACTATGATCTTGGAATGCTGAAACATGGATGTAATGTATACCACTATAAGTAACCCCATGCTCGTCTGTTTCTCTCAAGGGGGGGCTTCTGTCACGCTGTGAAGAGTTTTGTCAGTTCGGACTCTTTTTACGTGTTCGTTCCTCATCTTCTGCCACCCGAAGACAATGTTTGTTATATACTTCTGAAATACCCACCGACTGGTTGTAGTTTATTGCCGCTATTGAATTCTTTTCTATATTCCATGTGCCAAAATGGAGGGGCACGAATGGCCCAGTGGTCTAATATGCGCCGCAATTCGCTGTGCAGAGTTGCGTCCCTTGGTCGCACCAGAAACCTATGATTCTGTGTTCGCCCCGGTTATGTTTCTAGGTTTGTCAGCACCATATCCGTGCTCGTGGGTTTCGCCAAAGTGGTAAACGTCTGAGGCCTGCATCACTTGAGGCTTTCCTCCCACATTAAGCTGACACGCGGTGGTATAACTGGAATACTGTCCAAACCCAGCTAACCCAACTCACTCACTCATTCTAAATGGAAATATTTACACAGAGGCATACCATATACATGAAATATTGTCCTCTCAGGTGAATGTTTCAATCAGCCACGACGACAGCGGTGTTAGATGTTAGTATTGTCGTAACTGCTTTCGGGCGTCCAGTGCGACCCTGCTACAGTTACTAAATGTATTGCCGTTCCTGGTCCTTGTGGTCAATTAAGCCATGACATTGCCCTCGCCTTGTCCACCACGGCTCGGCTCCGTCAAGGATTGATTGGTCTAATGACCCTTACTCCAAGTTGTCTCTATCAGCATTCACACCCGCATAATAAAGAAACGCAACACCAGTTTATACTCACATAGTTTTACTTACTCTCAGCCCATCTATCACTACAGAACAGGATCAGGCTGGCCACGCTCGTCACTAGCTGGTGGAAACTTAGAACGATCGGGATTCGACTCGATCGACTGCAAACCGCGCTCTCCTCTCCTAATGTTGAGGGTATCATTTTATAGTGTTCGAGCCTGGCCTGTCCTTGTCCCATGTCTCAATACCTCCATTTGATTCGTTACAAGTTTAGATCTGACCATGAACTCATGTGTGTCGCCATCGGAAAAATACCAAAGCCTACGTGCCAGATTGCTCATCTCTCTATTGATTTTGTGAC